CAGTGGGCGGCTACGTGAGGATCAAATGTTGAGGCAAGGTGTTATTGTTAGCTCCAAGCCTTGGCGGCTGGGCATACCTACGTAATATCGGGGTACGAACTGGAATGCTCTAATCCGCCTTCTGCGTCCTTTAGTAACAGCAAGTCGAATGATAATCCCAAACAGCATGCTACTAGCAACCCCGTATTCTATTCGTAAATTCTTTGCTAACAATATTCAGAACTTCCTCATCCAGAGTGTTGAACAGGGACCATCCGAATGCCTGCATTTAACCAGGTACGGGAAGAGGGCAGCGTTGCCCCAGTATCAGCAAACCCCTGCCTCCACACACCTAGATACGCTCACTGGAGACATGGCCATAGACCCTTGCTGGCCATCTGACTTTGTAATACGAACCGAACCAACCAGCCGCCTGTGGGTGTATCCTCCACGTGCCTTCCCACGAAACGTTGCACATCAAGTCGTCTCGCCTCCAAGCTGTTACCTCAAGTCACTTTTCGCCAAAGGTCTTCGCGGTCATGCATGTTGGGGGTGCACAGCGTCGCCAGTTATAGGGCTGCATTTCATCGTCTCCTCATTCAGGAAAAACACGTCACCAAGAAAACGCCTTGTTCTCACGCACATTCAGGTCTCACGTCTCCGCTTACGCATCTTGAATCAATACATATCCCAGACCAGTAAGATCAAGGCGGCTTGCTGACGCGACTTTCGGGATACGGAAAACATCCTTGTCAGCCATGAACAAACTGTTCTTCCATAGTCTGGTCTCCATGAGAATGGCTCGTCTCAGCTTGGCTCGAAATAAACAGCCCAAAAAAGAGAGGATGCAGCGATTAAGATGATACATAACTCATCCCGCCAGCTCCTCGTATAGCATTTGGCTCCCCTGCGCGTACAAGAGCAGGCGGATCAAACAACCTTCCCTCTTAAACGGCAGTCGAAACCAAACCCACCCATCCTCCCGTCAAGAAACGAAGAAAACAATCATCTATTTAAAACCTGCCATATCTGACGTACTGGGATACTCTGTGGGTATTGTCCTAGTTCGCGGCGGATCTTTTTGCGGTTTGTTATTTTTATTCACAGCAAGCGCTTCCTTCCTCATTCGATTTCTCGGCCACTTTCATAGGCGCAAATAGCAGCAACGGAGATCTTGTGAAGGAGCGTCGCATCCTGCATATCGCAGTCTCATCTATGAACCCGGTTAGAGTATTAGCGTGCAACGCCATGACAGAGCATTTGCAGCCTCATCCATCAATGCCGACTCATGACAATGGAGTCGTCTCTTTTGGGGTATTTTCAGCCCGGTGTTTGCAATATCAAAAACAATAGTCTCAGCCACATCCCATCCAGCCCAGCCTTAGACTGACCCTCATCTCAAGGCTGAACTTGCACTAGCATTTACATACAAGCCGGCGCCAGCCAGCAACAGAGCTGTAACACGGTACGTAGTATGTGCCCTTCTCATCAGTTGATTGCCTGTCACCGACCAAGGTACCAAGGTGTGACAGTCTAGCACAAACATCAATTCACAGGCTTTGAGCAACCAATCCCCAAAGTGCTGTATGGCAAGCAAATCCATCCTGCAGTTTCCTGCCGCCTTAACCGCCAATCACAAGCACCTGAAACCTGAACTTGCTCTGCCATTCCTAAGGTAGGTCTCACTAGTCGCCGCCGGCCTTTCTCCTCCGCGGTCTCAAGCCACATTCAAAAGGAAGTTCAGAGGGTGTGGGCAATACAATGTGCTTCGTACCCCTTGCAGATGGCAAAGATGTTTGGACACTAGCGGTGCCGCGCTTTTTTTTTTTGGTGTTTTTTTTTGGCCAGGTTTAACTTGAGCTACAAAGCCATAGTTCCCACGGCACATGCAGCTAACAAGCAAACAAGCGGGCTTGCCTAAGCAGCCACGGTGACCGGAAGGTTTAAGCGTTATTGTTTGCTTTTTTTACCCCTTTAAACGGCTATTTCACCCGTCCTCGGACAACTCCGGCGCCGTTTTGCGATGAGGCTGAAGAGTGACCGCCGGTCGTGGTTAGGCTAGGCTTTCCGTTCCTCGCACTCTATTTGCTTTGCGTCTCTCTTGATCGGGGAGCGGTCGAGCGGGCTAGTGACTCATGCCGGTCTACAAGTATTGGCAATGTATTGTTTTTGTTTGCGGAGTATTGTGCTTGTTGTTGAAATCGCGTTGGCATACCAGATGCCTTCATCGGTGCCTACCCTACACCGCATGATCGAAGCTTCGGTCTACGATGCGTCTCGATCACCTTTGGCATGATCACTCGGCTATTTTAATTTTTTTAGGATAGAGGTAGGTTCATTGTACGGCGCTGGAGGTAAGTTCAATAATAGCTGCTGCTGCCGGCGATGATAAATGTCTCCGTGATTGTGACAATCGTTATCAAATCGAAGGATTATGCCTTGACCAAGCACGATGACAACAAAGTCACGAGCATTTATTCCACCATCAAGTTCAACTATAAACACACGAAATGAAATAGAAGTCGAGCTTTGGCGATAGCCATAATCACTACGCCTGCTAGGCTTTACTGACACGGGCGAGGAAGGTAGGAAGCATTCAGCGGGTTCACAAAACCCGACGGTGCAGATGCAATGGACGATATACTAGGCATTTCTTTCTTTAAGAACTCTTCTCTAGATGGGCCAGCATATTAAACTAGGTATGCTTGAAGGGAACTTGAAATTGAAGAGCGACGGTTAAGAACTTGGGCTGACCTGCGATTGATTGCAGAAAAGCTGCGTTTCAAAGCATGCTCTTTCAGGATTCATATCCTCCGCTAGAGCGACGACGAGCACGAACTAGAAGGCCTTAACGACATCCCATAAAACCAACAATCAACTGATTGGTACAGGCGGCCAAGGTCGACGTGGCATGCGAGAGTGTGTTCTACGCACCTAATTCCACGAACAACGACTCAGATGAGGAATTCACGGTGGAAACTGGCTTGGTGGGGTGGACCTCCCATTCCCATCAGATGACCTGCTGCAATACATTGTCTCTGATGCATCTACCTCCCGGACATCCCGCGACTAGCCATCGCGGGTCGTTGGGCATGGGATATATTGGCCGCCCAAATGCAATTGGGAAACCCAAAACCCACGTAAGGCGGGCGGGGAACCCTGGCAGATCACGCGAATGCTCGCTATTGCTACTCAATGGCGTTTATGCATACTTTTCTGACCACAACGACACCCTATTGTTACAAAGCCGAATGAGGGGGGCAACGGCCAACGGACACTCGAAAGCGGGCGACGGATATCCATATCACATGTCTTGATGACGAGTATAATGAGACACATGCAAAGCCCGCCTTGTGAGGCAGGTGGGGTGGCAGGCAATCGCCTTCGAACGTTCTGGGCTTCGAAGAGAACATGGGGTCTCAACATACTTATCACGATGTGTAGCATCGGACAGTTTGCTAGCATACCACCCGGGCCTCCGAGCTTTACACTTGGATTGCGATATCCTGGGATAGAGAACATGTAGGTGGGAATTGCACATTGCCGTGGAAGCTCGCACCCCACGTACCTTACCTTTCTCCTCCACCAAAGCTGCTAAAATCCTTATACGAGGACCTACTGCGGGTGAGGTTTGGTCATACCGCCTGCCCCCACTCCGTATATGGATGGCAAGCCTGGACGCTAATCGTCGGCATCCAAAGGGTTTGACGGTGCTATGTTGCAGGTGAGCTGGATGGCAGCGCATAACTAGATGAGTAGGGCACCAGTTCATTTTGACCATCGGTCAACTCTCGTTGGCTACTTCAGCTGTGGCCGCGAGTTAAATATGCAAGATGACCGATCGACAGGGCTTTGGACTTCGGGGCGGCACTTGAGGGTCGAGACCGGGTTCCATGAACAAACGCGGGCTAAGCGACGGTGGACACGAGGCCCGGGGCCAAACATACGATATCGTTCCTGCCCTGCTCTATTCACCCGACACCGGCTGTAACGTTCTGAATGGCGCTCCCGGAGGCCACCATCCCAACCGGATAGGATGTGAAGGCGCCAGCAGATGGATAATCCATATGGTCCGATGTCAATGGCCCCGTCCGTGCTCTGTCGTAATCGAGAAAACCCCGGGTACGAGGTCGGCCATTCGGCCGATGCGTCTTGCAGGGTTCAGCAGTGGAGTGGTGGTGGAGCTGGGCAGGTGTCTGTCTCCCAACTTCTATCCCAAGGCCATTACAGTGATGACTATCCGTACCTTGTACTAGTATCACCAGCTTGACAGCTTGGCTCTGGGGTTGGCTGTGGAACCGGAGGAGGCGCATAGGGCAAACCCACCTTCCTCGCCGTCGTCGAGTGCTTGGAGGGCTTGGAGTCCAGGAGGTAGCAGTCGCTGGCTGTTTCTGTGGAACGAATCCATCTGGCTGCCCAAAGGTGGCGAGGACATATCGCGGAATGAGGGGACGAGGGGCGACCGGAGGGAACCCAGGCAGGGAGGGCTATGGACCCCGCGAAGTTGGCTGAGAGGTTTCTGCAAGCCGGCATTGATGATCCTCGAAAGAGTGGGTTTGGGGCAGCAAGGCGAGGGAAAAAGTTTAGAGAGGGTGCTTGGTGGTACTGATTGTGCTGCTGGTTGGGTGTTGGAGGGGGTGGTGCACGTTTTAAGTGTGAGTGCCGTTCAGGCAGGCAGCAGAGACAAACAGAAAAAGCAGCTGCAGCCACTTTGCCCTACCCACCTTCCTCTGCTCACTCCTCTCACGGACCTCCTTTCGCTTCACACATCGACTTGTTCCTGGGCCCCTTTTCCCCCTTGCTGCGTCTTCTGTTTTGTATTTCTTTCTCTCGCCCCCGTTGTGTCTCTCCGTCGCTCGCCCCCGCGTGGACTAGCTGTGTGATACATCATCCCACCTCGCCTCCCCGTACCTGGCGCTGCCCCAGAATCAACCAACAGACAGCCTCAACCCCACCCCCTGGCCGGTCCCCGAGCACCAGCGATACTACATAGCCTTCCACTCCAGCTCGAGGATCCAGCCATGCCAGGCCCAGAGCACCAGACAGACGAAAAGGGGACCCACAACGACATTGAAGCTTTCCACGCCGTTCTCCGCTCGAGTCGCCGGATTCTTGCTCTCTGTGGGGCCGGACTGTCCGCATCGTCGGGCTTACCAACCTTCCGTGGCACGGGAGGTCTTTGGCGTAACTTCGATGCCACCAATCTGGCGACTCCCGGGGCTTTCGCCATGGATCCTGGACTGGTGTGGCTCTTCTACGGTTACCGTCGGCACATGTGTATGAAAGCCAAGCCAAACGACGCTCACAAGGCCCTGGCCGCCCTGGCCAGGGAGATGCCAGACTTTCTGTGCTTGACACAGAATGTGGACAGTATGCTACCATCTGACACTTGCCGTCCGGGGTGAGAGGAGAGTCTAACGAGCAAACTTTGTTCAACCCAATTTATAGATCTGTCACAGAGGGCCCAGCACCCGCCTGATCGCCTGTACACTCTGCATGGCTCGCTCTTCGATATAAAGTGCAACAAGTGTGACTGGATCGAGCGAGGTAACTTCGACGACCCATTCTGTCCTGCCTTAGCGCCGGCCTCCGTTGACCCGCCTCCCGGCGAGACGCTCCCGCTCCTAAATCCATACCACCGTATCCAGCATATTTCGGAAGATGAGTTACCCAAGTGCCCCCGGTGCAAGCAAGGGCTTCAACGACCCGGTGTCGTGTGGTTCGGAGAAAGTCTTGACTTCGACGTGATTGCGAAGGCAGACAGTTTTGTCCGAGCCGGCCCATTGGTAACTGCAATGCTCTGCCTCCCTTGACTGATGTTCGCCCTGGCAAGCTGACGCTTTTTCATTCTTAGGATCTCATGTTTGTCATAGGCACGTCCGCAGTCGTTTCCCCGGCAGCAGGCTACATCGACAAGGCGCGTAGGAATGGTGCCCGCATCGTGGTGATTGACCCGCGTGCTGAAGACCTTGATGAGATGGACAAGCTCCGGACCGGTGATTTCGCCTTTGGGCAGGACGCAGCAAAGATCCTACCCGTCCTACTAGAGCCCATAATCGGGACCCGCCAGCCAGATGGAAGCTACCGAAAGCCTGGTTGACTGGACGAGAGATCATTTTATCTGTTTTCCCTTGATTTTCCGAAAAGACTATAGGAGCAACATAGACGGATACGTGAATATATGTCCTGGCAACTAATGCAAATAGTATGATCCCCTCTGGGGTCGATAATCGAAATGAGAGACGTCGCTTGAGTTTGAACACGGTTCTGTGTCTTTCATATCTGGTGCGTGTGACTGATGTTTGAGCTGACCTGATTGCTCAAGCAAATCAGAAAGTTGGATTGGCTTCATAGTCAACGAGTGATGCAAGCCGCTCGCGTCAGCTTCATCAACTAGCGACGAGGATGTGCATCACTGCATGAACACAATCTGAAATTTGGGATTGGCCCAAGTCTAGAAATCGACACATGAGCCCTCTAAGCGAGCCTCATTAAAGTTTGCCGAACAGATCCTCCGTTCGCGAGCATGTGGAAAAGACAGATCGAATCAACACCGCACCCCTGGTTGGAACGGTATACCCTTTCGGGTCCTGGGTGGCCGAGCTATGGGTGTCGAAGCGACGTTGTTGGTAATGACGAGGCCTAGACAACCTGAAACTTAACGTTATGGATCTATATGCTTAAACCTTGAAGCGTCGGGTTTTTAGCGCCGGCTTTGCAGGACAAGTATCAGATGCGGTCGTTGGGATAGGTGGAACCAGTATGGCTTATGGGAGATGAACGAGGGAGAGTTGCATATGCAGCTTTTTCGTTTGATTTGACAGTCTGTCGTCAGAAAGGCATCAATTGCGCAAGATTGTATCAGAAGGGCTCGTTAACCTTGCATCTAGGGCTAATTGATCTCCGCGGCTCCGGAAACGGAGCTTTGGGTTTTGGATTTTATCTTGGCTTCATGAAACGTCCCCCTTATATTGTGGATCCGTCTCATTGCCCGAACGGGAAATCTCTCAATCCAGACTCCGAATATGGCGGAAGGCAAGGCTCCGGCGCCCCAACTCAGCGAGCTTTTCGTCCGACTTCGTATTATCCTGCTCAATCTCATTTTGTTTCCCCTACAAGCTTGACACAACCCTTGGTGGGCGGTGGAGTGAAGAGTTGTGGTGATGTTTCAGCCCGGGTTTCGTTTTCAACCCCCAGCCATTGCGTCACGTAGGAGACATGTATATGAAGGCATTTCGCTCGCCGTTGAACTGTTTGCTTGGACAGATCCATCTCATCATCAACCCACACTCTTTCAAGACAGGCTCTTGACTCGCCCACCAACCTCCGGCTAGGTCTCTCGTTGTGTATAAAACATTCTACAAACAATCTTTTACATCTTTAACTCACGGACCGGTTCCACTTTCGTTAAAGCAGTCAACATGAAGTTCTCTCAGATCGCTCCTCTCGCCGCCCTGGCCGGCCTCGCTCTTGCCAGCCCCACCCCTACCATCAACAAGGTCGACAAGCGCAGCCTTGCCAAGCGTGCCTCCATCACCGAGGCCGCCAGCCTCGGTTTCGCCAGTGCTAACGGTGGCACAACTGGTGGTGCCGGCGGTACCACCACCACCGTCAGTGACTTTGCTTCCTTCAGCGCCGCTGCCAAGGCCGATGGCCCTGCTGTGATTGTCGTCTCTGGTACCATCTCCGGCGAGGGCAAGGTCCGCCCTACCTCTGACAAGACCATTGTCGGTGCCTCTGGCGGTGCCGCCCTTGAGGGTGTCGGAATCTACGTCAGGAAGGCCTCCAACGTCATCATCCGCAACCTCAAGATCTCCAAGGTCAAGGCTTCGAGCGGCGACGCCATCGGCATTGATGCCTCCAAGAACGTTTGGGTCGACCACGTCGACCTCAGCGGCGACCTGAGCGCCGGCAAGGACGACTACGACGGTCTCTTCGACGTCACCCACGCGTCCGACTATGTCACCATCTCCAACTCCAAGATCCACGACCACTGGAAGGCCTCCCTGGTCGGCCACTCCGACTCCAACGAGAGCGAGGACAAGGGCCACCTGACCGTCACCTACGCTAACGTCCACTGGTCCAACATCAACTCGCGTGGTCCCTCCATCCGCTTTGGTACCGTCCACATCTACAACTCCCTGTACGAGGGCATCCTCAACAACGCCATCAACTCCCGCCTCGGTGCCCAGGTCCTCGTCGAGTCCGTCAAGTTCTCCGACACCAAGAGCCCCATCGTCTTCCGCGACTCCGACTCCACCGGCTACGTCGTCACCAACGACGTCGACCTCGGCGGCGCCACCAACGAGGTCGCCGTCGGCACCATCAAGGGCAGCGACCTCCCCTACAAGTACGAGCTTGTTGGCAGCGGCAGCGTCGCCAGCGCTGTTGCCGACGCTGGTGCCACCCTCACCTGGTAAATCGGGTTTTTGTTAGACACGGGCTGGGCCCAAACTTCTTGGGGTTTGTAGATAGGAGCTTCTTTCGTGTTTCCCTGAATTGGGAGGGCTTGAATTATACACATAACATGTACTTGAGCTATTAGTACAAAGCCACTAGTTTAATTGATTTGTGGGCGTCAATATAATGAGTATCAAAAATCATGGGTTCGCACTGATTACGTGAAAGAAGTAATGGTATTCGAAGAGTGAATGAGTACGGTAGTTCTAAGGAGGTTGCTACATATGGTATCTGGCATGAAAGGCGGTTACTACCTAGTACATTTCAATTTCAATTGAAGTGGCTATTTGACTGCCGCTGCTCGGCATTGGGTGTTTTTGGAGCTCAGCGATGGTGAATGCCTGGACAAAGAATGAAAGAGAGGGGCAAAATGTCTAATGCCATCGTAAGACCGTTGGAAGCATGGGAAGGAGCACCGGGGCACACTGTTGTATGTCACGTCATCACTGCTCTTTGAGGTGGGAAGTTGGGAAGGAGCCAGGTGTTGAGTTCTCCAGAACGAGGAAGGAGGTTCCGGGTCAACGTTGGGCGGGAAGGCGGAAGGTGCTCTCTGCTTTCCTGAGATCTTGATGAAAACCAGAGGAGGACAATGTTGAAATCATCTGCTTGCCTGACCATCATGGAATAACCACTTACAACATCCCTCATCTTGATGATTGACCTGTTGGCACAAGAGTCGTCTCGAGTAGTGCTGGCAAAGATTCGAGAACAGTACGTCTATTGACAAGACAGCGACGACAATGCAGGAAGCCGCCCAAAAGTCTACCGGGCCAAACCAAGCGGAAGCCACGACAGAGTTTCGTGAAATTCAAGACCGATACAAGCTTGCCCAAAAGACCTTCCAGTCGCTCTTGAAGATCGGCCCCGGCCCCGACCGACGCACCGTCCTCGAAACCGCATGCTCTTCCACCGCGGAATATGCCGCCTTTCCAATCAAGCAGGCCGAGAAGGCCTTCTTCCGCCACATCAATGAGCACACGGGGATACCATACATCCTGCGCGAGAATGTTTCGCAGCCTTGGCACAAGCCCTTTCTTCTCATACAGATTCAGCTCCACGGCGGGCCTCTGCCTAATAAATTGACCCACGCCGCTCGCAAGGAGCTTCTAAGTGAGCGGGGCCAGATGTTCTTCATTCTCGATCGTGTCCTTCGATGCCTGGTGGATATTCTCGGACTGCGGAGGGATGGTCGAGGGGTCATTGCTGCCTTGGATGTGCTGAGGAGCATCAAGGCTGGTGTTTGGGATGGAAATCAGAACGAGTTGTTGCAGGTCGAGGGCATTGGAGCTGTCAAGATGGATAGGCTGGCGAACGCTGGTATCAAAACCATTCGCCAGCTTGCGGGCCTGCAGTGTTATCATATTGAGCGATTGCTCAGCAGGAATCCTCCGTTTGGACAGGAGATGGTCCGTAAACTCAATGGATTTCCGTTGTTACGCCTCAATATCGACATACTGGGGCCATTCAAAGAAGGACAGCAGCAGCTGGGAGCAGGCAAAAGCAAGCCGAACATGTTGCCAACTAACACAGGCACTCTCTGGATGACGCGCATAGTTCTCGGATACGAGAATGAAGAGGTCCCTCAATGGAGAAAGAAAAGTCTATGGGCAACGTTTGTTATTGAGGGCGAAGACGGCCGTCTTGTTTGGTTCTGGAGGGGAAGCGTGAAGAAATTGGAGAATGAGCAAACGATGATTGTCTGCCTGGCAGTCAAGAAAGGCGAGAAGCTCGGTGTGGTTTTCGCTTGCGAGACAGTTGTGGGCACAACTATACGGGAGTCTCTCAAAATTGACTGATTTAGCTGGGTTATCATTTGCTGAAAATTCCCTGGGGTTCTTTTCATCTATTTCTATTGTCTGCTAAATGTGTCGAACGAAATTAATGAGGAAATGAGCGTTGTTATACGAGGTGTGCTCGTAAACTGTATCCGTCAGCTCTAAACCGCCCTTCTGGGCCATTCGCATTGAATTTATTCCCAAAATCAGGGTGTCACATATTGAGCTAGTGCATGATACGTATTGGGCGGCTGTTTCGTTGGTACTGATGTCGATGGTGAGTATGTGTAGGTGGGTGTCTAGATCTGATCCTCCGACCAGACTACGTATTGACAGAGCTCTCAATGTCTTGGCTTCCCTCGATTAGCTATGCCTGTAGACATTATTCATGATGCGTCAAAGCTGGAGATTCTCCCCGATGTCTCGGAAGAAAGTATTAAAGAAAAGAGGAAGCGGATTCGTTCACCAAGCTCTGGGCTATCGCGCAAGCGAGTTGGTTCATTTTGAAAACTGTCATGAGATGAGCTTTCACCTTTCGGTGACTCTACTCGAGATCAACACGATCACCACTGCCATTTGTGCTTTGGTTATTTAGATATTTTGGAGGAATATATCGTTCGACATCCAACATCTTACTTGAGTTCCAGATGAGAGAGCTCACAGGCTACCAGCCCTCCACTAGGAGCTCGGCAATCTTGTAGCTCAGAAACAGGAGCAAGAAAAAGAGATCTCCGCGGTACCTGGATTTAGAAACCCTTTGAAGTATACTTAAAGAAATCTATCCCGGTGGTAGGTCCCATCCTCACGTTGATTGGAGATCTGCTGTGTTGAGTTCAGATAGGCTTTTTTGGTACGAGCCGGCTGCTATTCTTTTCCCCATCTTTCTGTTTCTTCTCTTGGTTGGACTTATATGGTAGCCGAAAGGTTTTCGACATCAAGGTGTATTTTGCACCGAATTGGACACCATATGTATCACACTTATGAAATGGATCGCCAGGCTAATAGACAGAGAGGTATTAGTTATACTTAGGAATGCGCACAATTTCAATGGGCAGGGGAGAAGACAAGATAAGGCTGGTAGCTCCAAGTTTGGTATAAGATGCGATAAGGTGCCAGTACGAATGTTTTGCAAAAACCTGCGTCGGCGTATCGTCTAGCCTGACTCCAACTGGATTCTACCCCTCAACACATCAAACTGGGCAAGTTAGGTTTTCATGCTTCACCACATCTTGTTCCTACGGGTGAAACGGGCCGAGAGAACTCTATAATTCGACTCCTTATACTTGCTGAAATGTCGTTACTGGTACATAGATGGGGTGTAGATACAATGTAGTCATACCTCTGACGCCTGACTTCCCTCTCCCATCCCTCTCCTGCCATCTTTACAAAAAAGCCTCCACGCCATTCAAACAGAATCATCAACCCGTCTCTCCATTGATCTTTGAGAATTAGCAAGTGAAGATGATAATTTTTTGGTGGTTGAGATCATTTCCCGAAAAGTAGCCTATAGTACAATGCAAGACGGATCCATGTAAACGCCCTGGTGTTGATGTAGGTGTTTGATTTGATGGTTTTTCCCCTTCCCTCGACTTTTGGATTTTTTTTACATCCTCTTCATATATGATCATTTGGTCTCAGGTTCTTTTGTGGCAGTCTATTCCGTTGGTTGCTTATACATCAGTGCTGGCTACCGGCGGCCAGCAGTCTGGTTGAAACTGTCGATAACAGTATCCTTCAGACTGGAGCCCTCCAGCTCGCTGGACTCTGACGACTTGACAGCCTTCTGGGCCATGGTGCGTGCCTGAGCCTCGCCGACCTTGCCATAGACGCTGAGACCCGTGGCAATCATGCCGCCGATATCGCCAACGTTCCCAGGAACAACGACTGCGGTGCCCTCCTTGGCAAGGTTGCCGAAAGCCTCGACGTACTTCTCGGCAACAGTCAGGCTCACGGCGCCCTGCGCACCCTCTCTGCCGCTCAGGATGCTCTGAGCCACGGCGTCGATACCCTCAGCGGTGGCGCGGGCCTTGCGCAGAATAGCCTCGGCCTCACCGTCGGCGGTGTTGATGCGCTCCGCACGCAGGGCCTCGGAGGCGAGGATGACGCTCTGCTTCTTACCCTCGGCGATGTTGATGGCGCTCTGGCGCTGACCTTCGGACTCGAGGATCTCGGCACGCTTGGAGCGCTCGGCGGTGACCTGGCGGTGCATGGCCTCGACGACGGCGCCGGGCGCGTGGATATCACGGATCTCGTATCGGAGGCAGGTTACGCCCCACGCCTCGGCGGCGTCGTTGATGGCGGCTGTGATGTTGGTGTTGAGGGTGGCACGCTCCTTGAGGACGTGGTCGAGGGTGAGCTGACCGATTTCGGAACGCATCGTGGTCTGGGCGAGCTGAGAGATGGCGTACTCGGCGTCTTCTACACCATAGCTGCGTTCATATTGTCAGCAACTAAAACCCCGAATGGAAAGAACGGGGCGTTCAAAGTTTCTCACCTGGCTTTGTAAGCATCAAAGACCCGAGTGAACAACACACCGTCCAGCTCGAGCGTGACATTGTCGGCCGTGATGGCGCTCTGCTTGGGGATCTCGAGAGCCACCTCCTTCAGGCTCTTGACGTAGGCGATCCTGTCCAGGAAGGGGACGAGGATGGCCAGGCCGGGGTCGAGGATGCGATTGAACTTGCCCATGCGCTCGACGATCCACGCCGTCTGCTGGGGCACGAAGCGGACGATGGTGTTGGCCGGTAGCCTGGGCTTCTGGAAGTATGTGGGGAGGGGGCCGACGATGCCCGAGGAGCCGGCGGAGGAGCTCGCGGAGATGCCGCCGGGGAGGAAGGCGCTGTTGGTGCCGGAGGTGAAGAGGCGGGAGGAAGGGGCCAGTAGGAGGTGAGGCTGCCGGCGGAGGAGAGGCGCGCGCATGGCGGCTACTCTGGACAATTGGCTGGCCATTGTGTGTGTGAGATGGTGGTGATGGCTCCCCCGGCCACAAGGAGCTTCGCCTGCCGTTGAGAAATGTGTCTGGTTGTTGAGGTAAGGCGGAGGGAGGAGGCGGGCGGCGATGACGTTGATCCACGAGTAAGGGCAGCTGCCTGCTCTGCGCTGAGTCTGGGGAAGCAGCCAGAAAGTTGGAAGCTTTGCTCGTGTGTGCAGATTCCGGCCGAGATACCGAGGATTATCCGCGCCGGGTGGAAGGTTCCCTCCTGCTTTCCGATTCAACGTCAGCGCGGAAGGGAAGGTCTGTGCTCCCCAAATTGACCTTTGGCGGGGTCAATGCTTGAGCCAGCCACTGCTTGCTTGTCCTGCCTTACCAGCATGACCATCTGCCCCTCCATCCGTTTCGAGGCGTCCAACTGACTGACTAACCGCCATAAACACCCCAAAACCAGACTCGTTCACCGTTCCACCTGCATCTCCAACCCGGGCACGCACCTCTCCATTCCCACCTCGTCTACTTTTTGTTTGGCCTTCGGTGTCTCCCCCCCCACCTCGCCTCGTCGCCTCTCCATCCCCCGCAAAGCTCCAGCTCCCACCACCGACCGAGTTTCCGAGGCCGTTTTGCAGCAGTCATGGCCAAAGTTCCCCGCAACTTTCGCCTCCTCGAGGAGCTCGAGAAGGGAGAAAAGGGCCTCGGCGCGGAGGCCTGCAGCTATGGACTGGAGGACTCGGAGGACCTGCTCATGAGCAACTGGAACGGCACCATCCTCGGCCCCCCCCACGTGAGACTTCCCACCCGGAGCACTGCTTCTCCAACAACCACCCACCACCCTTGGGCCGATAACGGGTTCGGGGGTGTTTTGATTTCGAAATCATTATATTTTGTCGCAAACGGTTTAGCTAACAGCGAGATGCACAAATCCAGTCCGTTCACGAGAACCGCATCTACAGTGTCAAGATGCACTGCGGCGAAAAGTACCCCGACGAGCCTCCCACGATCCAGTTTCTGAGCCAGGTGAACCTGCCCTGTGTCAACCCGCGCAACGGCATCGTCGACCCAAGCCAGCTTCCCTGCCTTGCCCAGTGGAAGCGGGATAACACCATGGAGACTGTTCTCATTGAATTACGGAGGTATGGTCATCTTAGGGAACCCCGCCCCCTTCTACGAGTTTCTGTGGAACGACAGATGGCAAACGCGACGTGACGAGTACTGAATTATATTGTTCCTATAGGTACATGGCCGCTCCAGCAAACAAGAAGCTCCCACAGCCACCCGAGGGCTCAACCTATGCCTAAATTTGGAAGCAAAGCGGAATATAGCGTCTATTCACAAATGCTTAACTTCGCTGCCGAGGCAAGATGCATAACTTGAGCCGGGAAATGGGAGCAGTATTAATGAGAAACGCCGGGGGACTTGGACCGTTTTGCCCAGTTTTCCCATCATGTATTCAACAAAATCAAACGGGCTTATCGTGAACTGTATGGACATTTCCCTTCCACCATCTCCTTGTGATCTCGAAACAGGGGATCCAAAAAGCGCCCAAGCCATCCAGGAATATCATATCATGCAAGATGATGTTAGTAGACAAAAGAAAATAACCATGTGTCGCAATGTGGGAATCATAAATAAGGATACAGGTAAGAAAGAAAAAAATACCCTCCCCCCTTCCCCCTTAGAGGGGAAGTAGAAAAAGAAGAAAATGGGGATGGGTGTGACAAAAGAAGTCTATTCGTCAAGGAAACCTCATCCCCCAATGCATTGATTAAAATGGCAAAATATATTGCTCGCTCATAGAATCGTCTCCCGTAAACCACCAAGAAAATAAAATGTGTAAAAAAAATCCGAGGCATTTCTCAGCCTCTTCGTCGCCTGTCGCGTAATGCAAAATATAACAAGAATTCTGTTCCTGTTTCTTCTATGTTTGGTGGTGTTTTTTTTTTGTTCGGTATCAAGACAAGTATGTGTTGAAGAGTTTCAGTCTTCGTCACCCCACCAGGCAACTCCGCCTTGGATTGGGCTAGGTGGTCCAAAGGCACTGAGCCGGGCGGCCTGGTTCTTCGCCGTCTGTCTGTCCTTTGGAACCTCGGGAAATTGCTTCGCCATGGGCGAGATTGGGCAGTCAACAGGGCTATCGGGACGAGGAATTCCAACACCCTTGCCCTCATCGTCATCCTCGGCTGAAATCGGCCTGCGCTTCTTGGGGATCGGGGGGAGGTCACGCTGAGGCGGGAGCAGGGGAGAGATCGCTGGCCACTTCTGTTCCTTATTGCCAACCTTGATGCTAACCTGTCGCTGCATAGACTCTCGCTTGCTCTGTCGACTGGCCGAGGAGGAGTGTGGGCTGCTCGGGAAGCGATCGGTCAATGATGAAATGGAGTCCTCGAATCCAGACGCCTCGGGGCTCATAGCACCTTCACTGATGGCCAGAGCTGGCCCGGCAGGGCTGTCCAAGTACATGACCATGTGATCGTCCGCAGGCGTCATCCTTTCGGTATCGAGCCGGCTCAGCCGCTGGGGAATCGCAATGGGCTTATGTCGCGAAGGAGGCGGCGGTGAGAGGAGGAAGACGGGACTGTCGGTGGTGAATGTTGAGTCGTTGTCCTCTCCCTCTCTGACACCCGATATAGGGAGGTTGAGAGAAGATGCGATGGAGCCGCTTGTCCTCAAACTTGAGAGGCGAGCGCTGCTACCAGCTGTGGAGCGTCGGAAATCAGACTGAAATGACTGATCAGTAATGGTGGCCTCTGATGGTCTGGATTTGTGGCGGCTATCCTGTCCACGATCGTCAACCAAGAGACTAGCTTTCCGCATATCCTCGCGACGCTGCCTCAGTGCAGTTATGAGAAGCTGCTCTTGGCGAGTGAGGTTTGTAATCGGTTCGTTGGATGAGGCTCTCGCGTCTATCGACGATCGGGCTGATTGGATGAAGAAGTCCATCGATGAGGGGCTTAAGGGAGGTGTTGGTTGTGAGGATTGAGGGCGTACAGAAGGCCTGCTAGAACCACGTCCCGAGGTTGTTCCCGAATATCGACTGTCAAAATATGAACGGTTGTTCCAGTCTTGCTGAGACTCTCGGCTCGCCAAAGTGGATGGAGCCTCAGTTGCCAGAGACTGGGAGTCAAACAGTTCAGATCCACTCGTCGATTCACGCCAAACCCTCATGGGAGCCGTGGTGGCCTCGGATGCAAGTGATAACGTCGATGGTGTTGCGGGTAAGTGAAATGTGGCGCCCCAATGAGAACTTCCAAGTGAGCTATTTGATGGGGAGAGCAGAGTCGAGGTTTTGCCCAGCGCATTGGCCGGGATGTTGAGCAGATCCTCTGACGTTGTGCTCAGTTTCTTCACTGTAGAATTGGATTGGCGTGCTGTAGGATCATGGACCTCCCTAGAGGAGGGACCCTCGCCTCGTCCTTCAAATGAGGAGGAAACGCTATTCGAATTCGTCGAGAGCGGCCGCACCGAAGTTGGCGAAGACGGGTTACGCCTTCTGGCCGGTGATGCAGCAAATAGATCCTCCTCATCCTCCTCTGAATCAGATGATAACATCAGCATACTCTTCTCCTGAAGGTCAGCCATCTGGAAACTTGTTTCGGTGCGTTTTGATGCCTTTGAGGTCCGTGTATGGCGACTAGACACACTTGCGGCGTAGGACGTCGGTGATGCTTGCTCGTCCGCCTTGGTTGGCGTTGGAGCCCGAACAATTTGGGTGAAATGGCTGTGTTCGATGACGGGGGAGGAGGGGTTGGCGGCAGGGCCCTGGTCGACGCTTTCCTTCTTCTTCCCCTGACGTGCTCTATAGTTGGCATATGCTGTGTCGCCTGGCAGCTCAGCTAGAACTCCGTCGGTTTTATCGTTCCTCGATGAAGACCGTTGTTGTTCGGAGGGTTCGGCCTTGTCACCCAGAACCTGGGCGAAGGACATCTGCTCGTAGTGCTTGTACAGGTCGGGTAGCTCGTTCATGTGTTCTTTGTGAGGATGTCGAGGTCTCGTTGGTCCACCAGTCGTAGGGCGGACAGGCTCGGGAGAGGCAGGCCGCCTCATATGCTCATACGTGGGACGGCGATGGAGAATGCGTGGTGATAGAACAGAGGGGGACCGCTTCATGTCGCCATTTCCCGCCGATTGCTCCAAATCCGATCCTTTCCTGGCACGGCCCATTGGTTTTAATCGGCTGAGGTCCAACTTTGCTGGTTTCTTCTTGTTCTTGGCCATGGCAGCAAGAGCATTGTCCATGTCAAGCACTCGCTCCGCTTTCGTAGGAAGTCCCTTGGCCATGGCGGATGCCGAGGTCTGTTGCGAGATTGCCAGAGGCATTTTGGACCTGTCGTACCATGACCGGATGGTCGAGGAGGAATTCTGCTGGCGCAACATGGCCCTGGGATCTGAAACCCCAGGGTCTGAAACATGGAGACGATCATCGTCAACACCCAAATAACGAGGTGCAATGTCCGACTGATCAGACCATTCCCGTTCGAGTTCCTTCAGTAGAGCTTCGGCGCCTGCTGCATTCATCCGGCCTCCTCCAATGACGCCGCGGGGAGGTTTGCCTTCGGCGGGCGAGTGGGCGAGGTTGGTGCTCGACACATTGTCAATGCTGATATTTGTTGATCCCAGGATCTTGTGCGCCTTGGTCATGGGTTCCGAAGGTGTCGGCGTCGCGGGCGATTTCTTGCTACGCCCGGGAATGGGAAAGGTGAATTTGGCCATGGCGGCTGCGACTGAAGGTGCCGCTGCTGGAGGCGAGATGGAAATAGTGGGCACCTGAGGACGCAATTGCCCAGCACCTGCTGCTACCTTGCACCGAGGAAGTCCTCACCAGACCGAGCCCGCACGCACGGCATATGGAATCCCAGTTGCCCAATGGTCGAAATCCAGGCCGAAGCGAAGCACAGAATCCAGGCGTGGAGAGGTTGGTGGCAGGTCGAGCTCGCGCGCGGTGCCCTGCAGTCGGCCGAGAGGGGTGGCGGCGTCCAGAGAAAGCCCGTTTGCGGTGCGGTGCAGTCGAGAGGCGAGCGACGCAGAGAAAAAGGGTCCCACAGGCCTGCAGACAGCTAAAAAAGAGCGACGAGGTTTAATGCGGCTTAGGTAGAGCAAGAGTCAGTGAGCTGTATGCACGTAATCCGGCACCCCTTGGGAGGGGAATTCGTTGTCTAGAACTCCTAGAAGAGTGTTCGGTCGTGGGAGAGGAGGAAAAAGAAAAGAAAGAAATGCAAGACAAGACGGCGCAAGTTGTGAAGGCTCGGCCGGGCATGATTATTTTGTTCCTGGCTAATAAATCTACGACTAAATTAATGAACGACGACCAGCACTAAGCTCAGGTCAAGGCTAAGGCGGTACGCAGGGGAGAGGCCAGGAGCAAGGGATCAGTGGTCCGGCTAGGACGACTTGCTATTTCTGGCGGATAACTGTTGCGGTGCGTGCGGTGCCGGGTCCCCACAGGAGGTACATTACATTAATTTCATGGATAAATGGCCTGCTCTTAGGTCACTTCCAGATCACCTAGGGCCCTAATAGCGGCTGGTACTAGCCCAGTAGCAGGACGGGGAGTACCTTTCCCATGGGGCCTGGGTGTCTGCACAGGGTACGACGGTAGGCGGGCAAGGTTCAGGTCGTGCCTCTAGGTCGGTCGGTCGGTCGGTGGACATGGCCACTTGCCTGGCCTAGCGGTAGGGAGGCGCACATAAAGCCGCGGGGCTTTCGGCTCTCCTTAGCAGCCCAGGTACCAGGGAGAGACGGCCTGTAACCACGCTGCAGGCTAGGTACCTGCCCTGTGCTGCTCGGAGCCCCGCAGCGACATTGAATGACAAAGCGCGGCCAGCCACTGACGGCACCTGGCCCTAGTTCACAATTGCATCCCAATACCACCCATTGCTGCGACTTGATCGCCTTGTCACCGTTTATAGTTCAAGCCGTCGTAGATAGATTGCCCTGGGTAGTTTCATGATCCGGATGACCGGGGCCAGAATCGAGGCAAAGGGACCGTTGACGAGGAGGTCCCTGCAACGTTCTGGAGAGCGTGGCATGACCGCCCATCGTGGGCAGACTGAAAGCTGGGCAAAAGTCGAGAGTCAGTCACGACTCACGACACATCAATCGACGCGGCCAAATTCACTGTATGACCGTCCTCATGCTGGGCCGCTAGTGTGCCAATCCAGAGCTAAAAACGCTAGAAAGCCACCAGCCCAGGTGCATTGACTCGCAGATTTGCAGATCGGATCACGAATCATGGGAGCGCTGCACTGCATCACCGCTCACATCTGGCCGCCCCCGGGACCATGCTGGGACGCCATGCCTACAAGGAGCTTCCCAAATTCTTCTGGGTTCAACAACTGGACCACCTGCTCCATTTTGGCCTCTCTTTGAGAATGGCCTAATGTACGTGCGCGCCAGAGGTCCGAGGGGATGGGGTGCGGACGGACGCGGGATGCTACCGTACGACGAGTTGGGGAGCGAACCTGATCTGCTTCACGAATCCCTTCATCTGCCTGTTTGCGCTGGTGCCGTCAGAATGCAATTATATGGATCTAATCCGCACAACGCCGCAAGGACCGGTGCCAGCTCACTCGTGATTGGGATACATGCAGAGGTGCAGCAGCTGGAGGGAGGGAAGTTCATCTCCTCAGCTCGCGTCACCAGACGAGACAGACGTTGGGCAACACACCCTTGCAACCGGTCTCTTGGCAAGCCAGGCGAATGGAACCACCAGAAGACCGAAGTGCAGATCCTGGAGGAAGAACACAGACCACACCACACCGTACGCTCTGGGCCACTGGCTGTCCGAATCTGGTGTGGCTGACGGCCTGCGGTGACCCTTCTTGTCGTCTCTATCCCTGCCCAATTCATGCATCCGGAGGCTTGCTGTCTGGTTCGTCGCCACACGTCGACCAACAGCTACACACCACCTCCGCAATGCTGCATACAATATCGACGCCTTTTGAGAGAGGCAAATTGGAGAGCTCGTCTCGTGCTGTCATCGAATGTTACCTGTCAACTGGTGCAACCCTTTTTACTGCTTATCCGGTTGCTACCACCCCTCATTCTGGCGTCGCGGCCAACTCATCGTGCCGTGGCCACTCCCTAGCCTCCGTGTCTCCCACTCGGCCTTGTTTCGATGCATTAAACCGCCTTTGTGGCTGGCCTCCAGTCAATCTGGAAATACGAACGGACAGCCGCAGGTGACGCTCCGCCGTCTCCCTTGGCGGCGCGGCCACCGAGACAAGTCGCAACCAACGGCTGCCAACCTCCATGGGGCGGTGTGCATCTGCATCTACATCTGCATCCGTCGCATCTCACTGCTTCTCGCCATTGGATGCCACCTCGCTATCTCACCCGCCTTTTCACTGGCGGGGTGCTATCCCAATCCACGTGTGGACGGACTGCTAGCAACCCGTCGCAACGGTGCCCGTCGCGAAAACTTGGTTCGCATCACCTCCTCGCCGTAAAGCACGCCAAGTGCTTACCTAGATTTGGTAGAGCACGACTACTACTGTGCGCTTGCTCTTGGTGTAGTTAGATGGCCGCTATTTTCCGTTGGCTTGCTGAAGCTAGCCAGACCTGTCATCAACGAGCTAACCAGCACAATGCCTGTAGCAAGAGGAGCTGCAGTACCAAGCTGTGGGATATTGCTGCGGTTCTGACTCGCCTGACTCAAGACGCCGCCCTTCGAGAAGAGGCAAAACGCGTTGCTCAGACCTTCTGTACCTACCTTAAGGACCGTGTGCTTTGTGCGACTGTCGGTTGTCAGCCGGCTGAGGGACCTACGTAGTCTCCGCTCTTGCTCATCACCTCTCCCGTATGCTGGAGAATCCCCAAAGCCTACGAGGGTTGCCCTTGCTTGGAGCGGTGGCTAGTGCTTCTAGGCCAACTGGAACAAGATAAGTTTTATATTCAGGGAAGGGTTGGCTTTTCCCCTTCATTTTCTCCTTCGGCCCAAGTGAGTGAAAAAAGTTCAGTAGCCGGCCATAACCGGTTAAGGCATTTCTCTCCATCCCACCAGGAAACAATAGCTAGAGGCTGTTGAGATAGCCACAAGTCAAGCCCAGATCCATCGGCCAAATAGCGCCGCTCTAGTCAGATGCGCAATCAATCCCGCTTCAACCCCTTTGTACCAGCAGGATGGTTAATAACTCGGCATTAGCATTAGCATCTGACATTGACATTTGACATTGGCATTTGACATGAACCGACACACGTGTGAACTAAACGCATGCATGTGTGAACGGTAGAACGGTGCTAGCGGTCAGATGGAGACTCAAATTTCAAACATAATTGCACCCCTGGCAAGCGGCTGATCCGATCAGCACTCAACAGTGTTCCCTCAGCCTTCCATGGAGCCATTCCGGCCGATCAGCAGGGCTATGATTGCCAATTCGGCGAGTTTTGCTTTTGCGGATTTTTCTTTTCCTTTCCGGTGATCATCATTACTTTCCATACTATGCTACTTTCGTAATACATCATTATCATCATCGTCATTTCAGCAATCTCTCTGCCTTGGAAACTCTTGATGGTTTCGCCCCACCAATGATTTCCCTCCCCCCAGCCCAAGCCCAATGCAAACTCCATATCGTAAATGTGGTATCCAACCAAGGGGGCCAGACAAAAAGCCATGTGCAAAATGAAAGGTGGAGAGATAAACGTAGATCAGTCCCCTGAACAGATTCCCCCGCTACAGATACCTTGTCTTCATCCATTCCTCGTTCCTCAGCCCCAGGTTGAGCCCGTTCTGCGCCCACCACCTGCGCACCTTGTTCTGGTCGCCGATGCTGTCCTCGAGGGCCTCCTCGATGTTGCAGGTCCGGAACTCAACCGGCTGCCTGCGGCCCTCCATCTCCTCGAGCTCGCCGTGCGCGAACCGCCGCCACCACTCGAGCACGTCCACGTGCTGGTGCACCGTCGGCGCGATGAGCACCTCGGAGTCGAAGACGAGCTTGCTGCTGCCCTTGAGCCGCCGCCACGTCTCCAGGGCGTCCACCTGGCCCCAGCGGCTGGCCACCTTGGCCACGCCGTCGCCGTGCGCGACGGGGATCCCCGAGGCGTCCCACCAGCGCAGGACGTCGACCTGGCCGTACTGCGTGGCCGAGAGGAGGGAGCGGCCGGGGCGGAGGACCACCTTCTCGTCCTGGGCGGCGGCGTCGCGCCACCACTCGAGCACGAGGAGGTGGCCGTTGGCGCTGGCCTGTTCCAGCGCCGTCTCGGTGTAGCGGAGGGAGAAGCCGGATTTCCTCCACCACCAGTCTAGGATGCGGACGTGCCCGTTCTTGGAGGCGATGTCAACCGCTTCCGCGTCGTATATGTGGTTCTCCCTGAACCATGCGCTCTGCTTCCAGTAGTCGAGCACATCGGTGCGAGGGTAGTATGCAGATGCCTTAGTCGGCAGTGTTGGCCCGTCAAAGGCTTTGAATAGATCGGGTCGGTTGGCCTCAAGATACGCTAATACGTCGATGAGGGCAAAGCGTATGACGAGACGGACCACCTGTGCGGGTAGGTCACGGAAGCCCGGTGGTGACTGGGAGATCTTCTTGCATATGGCGGCTGAGTCTCCAGTCAGTACTGTCCACTCCAGCTCGTGATCGTAGACTTGGAGTTCATTGTGAGGTTCCCTGGGATGGTGTGTCCAGGGCGGGGGCATGGGTAGGTTTGTGTATATGCCAAGTGCCTTGGCGAGCTCCCAGTCGCCTGTGTAATCTAGGATAATGGTCCATATCTCGGGAGGGAGTTTTGACTGTACATTAGCGTCAATGTCGCCGATCAGGGCCATGCCAGTCGCGATCTCGACGTCACGGCCCAGACCCAGTAGTTCGGCTTGGTTCTTGATGATGGTCAGCACTTCGTTGAAGCCATTCCAGTTGGGCACCCTCTTAGCATTGGGTTCGCCTTCGTAGTGCCATGTGATGGGAGTGACAACCCGTATCCAATTCCATTTTCGGTGTAACTTGCTAAGCTGTCGTTTCGTGAGGGGGTTCGACCACATCTGGGTGCTCATCCCGGGAACCAATATGATATTCTTGGTGACATCCCACCCGCGCAGCACTTCCCCGAGGAAAGTGTCGGCCGCTCCGGCAAGCATCTTGGAGATGCCATCCGAATCGAGCGGCACGCAGACCATGAGATCAGCCCACTTGACTAGTTCAAATGCCTGTTGCCTGTAGAATTCGACATCGTCGGCGTGGTCGGTCTGGCCCGGCGCGAGGCTCTGGTTCTGCATCACAATGATGGTCTGGGTAAGGCGAGGAACGACATCGTCTACGATGGCCCTGGCCTCAATCTGAGGGTTTTTGGAGAGGCGGACGACGAGTGTGAGGGCCCATGAAGTGTCTCTGGGCCCGGATGCGACGACGAGGAGATGAAGTTTGCGCTTCAGAGAAGAGGGGTCGTTGAGGGAGGTGCTGGAATGGGTCGGGGTCATACGGTGGGAAAATTTCGGATAGCTCGCCATGATGGTAGGACGCTATAATCTGGACATCCTCAAATGATTCGAGGCCAGGATATGGGGGCGAGGAGCAAGGCGGGCAGGCGGTGGGAGCGGCGTGTCTCGCAAAGTCGAATCGCCCAGCCCAGCGGGACTGGTAGCTGATTGTCGCAGGGCCGTCGTGCGCTGCTAATCGAGGCGCGCGAGGAGTGGAAAGAGAAGGAGGAGGGCCAGCAAGGTGAGACACTGCAAAGGACGTTGATGCTCAATCCGAAGATTGGGATGGATGGCCAATATCTTGCCAACGGTTGGGCAAACCTCCAGGTGTGTTTAGGCTGGTTCGGAGGATGGCCGCACTTTCAGTGGGACCGAGTGGCGGAAGTCAATCATCTGGGCGGGGGACTCTGGGCTGGGCTCCTTGAACCCCTCCTCCCTGCAGCCTTTCGCTTCTGCCAGTCGCGCATCGGCCAGCCGGGTTAAGATGAGGCATGGATTCGTCCTCCAACTGCCGTTCGGATTACGTAGTTCACCGCTGCCATCTCGAGATGCAGGGATTGATCAGAGCCGGGTTCTTCGCCATCTGCGTCTTCTACACGAGACAGCGGTGGCGGCACGGGGCTGGAAAAGATACCAACTGATACCTCCGGACCCGCTGCCCAGTGTTCCTGACGGCCGATAAACATCTCGCTCGCAAGTCTATGGTTTGTACCTCCTCCATTACCGGTCTGTGAAACCGGTGCCTCGGGTAGGGACGGCCACCCTCGAGCTAGAATGATGAAGACCCCTTCACGCAAAAAAGAACCATTATTCTGCAACCCTCACGAATTGTGTAAGCAATGGGGAAAAGACGATGTCGCCCAGCTGATGTCATTCTCGATGCTTTGCAGACCGGTGTGGCAGAGGAGCACAGGGTCGTTGCTCAAGCATCGATACCCGGAGCCTGCAGCAGTCCCCCAGAATTGCGGCGACGGGCAGAATGGGGTACATCGATTTCAATGCAAGTTGCTGCAAGACCCAAGTCACCTCCCTGTGCTTGCCCGCTGGCGCCTCGATCCAGGTATCCCTTCAGTTGGCTTGGGGATGGCGCGTTTGCCCGGGGCAACTTGCTCCACAGGCCTTAACCATGATGGACAAAAAAATCCTCATTGCTACTCAACCTTGTTCATCTGTGACCGCAAGGACGCAGACAGAAGCAAACCGTTCGTTCATTGTTCGCTCATCGCTGCATCTGTCCCGCATTCGATAAACATATGCTTTGCTAGCCTACCTGTATTGTCTGCTGGGTAAAACCTTATCTCATTTGCTATTGCCCACTAAAAATCTTTCTCAGCCTTGAGCCGCCCGTCCCCAGACATATTCTCAGTCCCGGAACCGGAGCTTTTTCTCTTCTTTTTCGCCTCCTGGCAATGTTGGACCAAATGGCAAACGAAATCAAGCTTTTGTCGGGTAGCTCCCACCCAGAGCTCAGTGCTCAAGTCGCCAGCCGGTATGCTCAGAAACCCCTTTGAAATCACTGGAGGCGGGTTGGTCGGGGATTACACATGCGCCGAGAGATGGCAAAATTTGGTTCATGGCTGACTGAATCATCTCACAGGCTGGGCATTGATGTTGCCAACACCATGAGTCTCCACTACTCGAACCAGGAGACCAGCGTGTCCATCGGCGAGTCTGTGCGAGACGAGGATGTCTTCATCCTGCAGTCTACCGCCCCGGGCGATGTCAATGACGGTCTTATGGAGCTGCTCATCATGATCCATGCCTGCCGCACCGCATCCGCCCGTCGCATCACTGCAGTCATCCGTTCGTGTCCTTCCGAGGGAGCCTTCCAAATCACGCGTGGATATTCTAACATGAGATGATTCTAGCGAGCTTTCCATATGCCCGTCAGGACAAGAAGGACAAGTCTCGGGCTCCCATCAGCGCTAAGCTGATCGCCAATATGCTCCAGGTGTCTGGTTGCGTGAGTTGTCCGATGGCCCTATCAGCGAAACTAAAGCTAACTATCGTCCCAAGAACCATGTCATCACCATGGACCTCCATGCTTCCCAGATTCAGGGTTTCTTCAATGTTCCCGTGGACAACCTGTATGCCGAGCCCTCGGTGCTACGATGGATCCGAGAGAACCTGGATTCTGACAACGTCGTTATTGTCTCACCCGATGCTGGTGGTGCCAAACGTGCTACTTCCATTGCTGATCGTTTGAACACGGCCTTTGCTCTGATCCACAAGGAGCGTCCCCGACCCAACGAGGTTGGACGCATGGTCCTCGTTGGTGACGTTCAGGACAAGGTTGCCATTCTGGTTGACGACATGGCTGACACTTGTGGAACGGTACATGACAGATTCTAATGACACTTGGCTCATTCCATTTGGCTGACAGGATTTCACAGCTTGCCAAGGCCGCTGCAACAGTGAGCGAGCACGGCGCCAAGGAGGTCTGGGCCATCGTCACCCACGGCATTCTCAGTGGAAAGGCCATTGAAACCATCAACAGCTCGTGCCTTTCTGGCCTGGTTGTCACAAACAGTAAGCGCCTTTTTGACCCCCATAAGCCGTGAAGAGCGCACTAACCATTTTCTTTCTTTCCTTAGCTGTTCCACGTAAGTGAATCTTTTGGCCGAAATCCGAAAGCTCCGGTGTTTCTGTTTTGGTTTACTTCTGGTTTCTCTATGGGAAACTCTTTCAGGCTGCTAACTTCATCTAGTCGGTGACAAGACTGTCCGTTGCCCCAAGCTGAAGGTCATGGACGTGTCGGGAACTTTGGCCGAGGTATGTTACATGAAGTGGGAGAGCTTATCACGGTTCCCAGTTACTAAGAAATTACCCAGGCTATTCGACGAACTCACAACGGCGAGTCCGTCTCTTACCTCTTCAACAACGTTCCCGTCTGATCTTGACGGTTGCGTGAGATGAGAGAACTTCATGCAGTGATTCTGCCCATGGCGTTGAGGAGTTTTTTTTGGGTAATCGACGAAAATAAAGGAGAAAAACAGCGAAACCTGGCACTTGTCAATTTTGACCTTTTATTTGGGCAGTGTTATGTTATAACCCACGTTCCTTGGAAGAAGCTGCTTTCTGATATGAGAAGACCTGCTTTGCCAGGTCGAACTGGACTCATATTGAGATCCCCTAGTCGGAATTGGAAGTATATGTGCGAGTTTGATGCGTCATTCAGGTATGCAACACCAGCCTGACTTCTTGAGAAAGCAACCACTTTCTTTTGCTTGTATCACTGGAGAGGACCTAACCCGCTCGATGCGGGAAATATTGAACTTTGAAAACGTAAATCCAACGTGAAAAGCTGTAGACGTGATGCCAATGGGTGGAGTTTATTGGATAGCATTCATAGATCAAATAGCGAGTAGCATTTCCGTACTATGAAATATCGAATACTCTTGGAATTATGTCTTTATTGTCCAGTGACTCATGTTACCCTGTAGGCTTGTGTTGAAATACTTCCTTATGGTAGGTATCTTGCGGCAGTATACGCTGAAAGGTCGCCTTCTCATATGTTAGGATAATGCAGAGAATAGAGACTGGTCAGCAAGTAACTCGATAAACGTGAAGATGCACGGCACATTGATCATCGCTATGTGCCCATGTCCATCATCTCGTATGTTGGTGAACTAGGGTCAGCCTGGTTCAATATCACCCAATGCCATCTATTGAAGCTCGTTGAAAATATTGGGCAAAAAGAGTTATTGAAACAAGACGCCAATTAATTCATTAGAATCGTAATTCCAATATCTCCAGATGGATGCCATAATTATAGAGCTGGGAAGTTGCGAAGTGAGGCTCTGCGCCGTTGCCTCCTGGGCTTACGTAAGACGCATGATGCGCGTTGAGCAGAGGTCACCATCCAAGGCGGTGAGGTCTTTCTGCCGGCGATACGTACTCCCTGAGGACACACTTACGGGTGAAGGTGAACCGGAGAGCGCTTCCTGAATAGATCGATTCCGGGTAGTCGCCTTGCGAAAAATAAAATAGATAAAAAGAATCCCTCTCTATCAGGAGCTGCATGGGTGCAGACCGGAGCTCATGCTCACGGATGGGTGGCTTTTTCATGATCCTGCCTGCCCGCTATGACGACGCAACTGCTGGCCACTGAGCTGGCTAATCTCATTCAGGAGAGCAAGCGAAGGCATAATGATCTCCGACAGGTATATATTGCCACCACACCGCAGCCTGTATCACGATGCTGATTCCGGGAAAAGGCAGCCGAGAAGTCGCTTGAGGAGCTCAAAAGCTTGAAAAACAATTCTGAGCAAGCTGCCGCTGAAGGTAGTGTAGTGACCCCCCCTCCGTCCGTCTAGTTGCCGCCGTGTGATCGTGTCGCGGATGGGATGGGCTTGAGCGCTGACTTTGAGAACAACACTAGAGTTATCCCAGCGACCAAACTTCGTGAACCCCTTCATTATTGCTTGTGGGACCAAGAATGCCAAGTTTACCGGGATTGCTATCGTGTGCCTCCAGCGGCTTATTGTCGCGCGCGCACTGCCCCGGTCAAAGCTGAATCAAGTCTTGGAGGCTCTTATGCAGGCCACGTCTGCGGGCCTCGATGTCCAGTTGAAGATTCTTCAGGCATTGCCGTCACTCTTACAAAATTATGCTTCGGACCTGAATGGTGATTTGCTTGTTACAGCACTGAACATCTGCTTCACGCTACAGAGCAGCAAAAATGCTATCGTTACTCACACTTCAGCGGCCACTCTGCAACAGCTTGTGGTTTCAGTATTTGACAAGGTTGTCACGGAAGACAGTAAGTACAACTGTGCGACTCATCCCATTCATAGAATGAGCGCGTATTGATGAGAGCAGAGAGCGGAAGCGATGTTTCACTCGCGGGTAGCGCTCCTACAGAGGACGGCACGGTCGAGCTCCGCCCTGCTGCGTTGGATGCATACAGAGTAAGCATTCAACTTGACTTGACGAAGAAGACTATGTGTGCTGACAGGATAGATATTCAACGACCTTTGTCTATTGACAGAAAACCAGCGCGCTGAATTTATTCGATTCTCTGGAATCTCACAAACATTCGGCTTGGAGCTGATCGAATCGGTCATCACTAATCATGCTTCTGTATTCGCCAGCCACCCAGAACAAATCCATGTGCTGCGAGTCAGGGCCATGCCTCTCATTATTAGCACTCTAAGAGCAAACCCAAGCTTTGCCACGTCTGTCAGGCTGGTGCGGATTCTGTACACTGTGCTGCGAAAGCACATAACCGTTTTGCCAGACGAGTGCGGTGACGCCCTTGAGATTTTGACACAGCTCCTTGATCACGATTCTGCGCTCTGGAAAAGGGCTTTATGTATGGAAGTATACAGGGGCATCTTTGCTGACCATGCCTTGCTCCGTCGTATATTTGCCACTTATGATGCCAGGAAGGGGGAGAGAGACATTCTTAAGACTTTGACTGCTACGTTTGTAAGGTTGAGCACTGAAAAGCCCAGCGTAATCGGCCTTGGCCATCAATCCACGCTGCCCATATCCAAATCACAGGGCCTGTCCGACGGATCGTCGGACCAGGCGATTCTCGAGGCTGGCGGCGTGGCTGGCATCATAACTGGCTCGGTGGGATCCGAGAGCTTCAATATTGGCATCAGCACGCAATGGAGTTCAGTGCGTGTCCCTTTTATTGACCAGCTCGACAAAACTGAACCGCCAACTATTCCCGAGTCTTACACCTACAGTCTTATCCTGACGTGTTTGTCGTCGCTTTCCGATGGACTTGCCAAGTTCATTCTACCACTCACTGTGCCAACGGAGAGCCGGACCCGGAGGAAGGTTTCCACCAAGGCAGACGGTAGCCTTGACTCGCCACTCCCCCCTGAGTTGAAGGCAGAGCGAGCCGCATCTTTTAAGAAGAATCCGGTTCCAGTCAACCCACTCATGCTTGAAGGCCACCCCATGCTCGAAGAAGTCAAAATCTGCGCTGCTATGGTTGATGAGTGCTGGCCTGCGATTCTTGCAACCTTTTCCACGTTTCTCTACGCCGCCTTAGACTCCGACTATTATCACGGGCTTGTAAGAGCCTTCCAAAGATTCGCACATGTTGCGGGCCTCCTCCAACTGCCCACGCCACGCGATGCGTTTCTTACTACCCTGGGGAAATCAGCCGTTCCTCCAAATGTGTACACTGCCTGCTTGAACACCACCCAATATCGCCCTTCTACACCAGGCACAGGCCCTGAAGGTGCAGCAGCCAGTTTTGTGAGCCAGGCACGCGGCTTGCTAAGTTCTGATAACTTGAGTCTTGGCTCAGAGAAACAACGTCAAGGATCTTCGGAAGCATATCCTACGTCTCTGACTACGCGAAATCTACTCTGCCTCCGAGCATTACTAAATCTCGGTATTGCATTGGGGCCAACGCTTGCTTCAGCCTGGCGAATTATTCTTGAGTCATTGCAACAAGCTGATTTTGTGCTGTACTCGACACATAAAACTCCAGGAAGGACCCCTTCAGTTGCTCGAGGCCAGGATGGCTCGGCTGAGGGTGATCAGAGTGCGCTGACAGCCAACTTCGGCCACGAGGTCCGCGCTGTCGAGACCGCCGCTTCTCGTTTACTGGAGAGCACAATTGATTTCCCGAATGAACCATTTGTGGAAGTTGTGTCTGCAATATGTCGACTGCTTGAGCGACAACCCGCCGAGCCAACGGAGTCGACGGATGAAAAGCCTGCGCCACTGTCCCCGCGCCAATCTTTACCAACCCCTACTGGACAGCATCGGCGAGTTATGAGTTTTTCCATGGCTGACTCCACTGGGTCAACACAAGAGGATCAATTCGCGCTCTCAAAGCTCGGTGAAATTGCTTCCATCAATATGGAGAGGCTGCTCACATTCCCACCAGAGTCTTCTGGCTGGACGCTTCTGATACGAGAACTCGTGGAGCTGTTGAATCCTATTGCTAGAGAAGCCATCGTTCGGGTGAGAGCTACGGAGACACTTATGAAGCTAATGCTTGAAGCTGCAAACTTGACTACACCCATCCCGGAGGAGTCTCGTGGTCCCATTCAGCTGCGGATATTCGATGCCCTTACCGATGCCCTGGTCCCACTCCGCTTTGAAACCCGCGATGTCTCTGTGACGGTTCATTCCACTGATATCGAGTGTCACAAGATCGTGCTTGATGGGCTCAAGAACATATTAGAGGAATGTGGCGAGAACCTGATTAGTGGGTGGGAGACAGCATTCGGCATCATTGGGAGCGTGTTCAACCCCGCGGACTCTGAGATCAATGCTCAGTATGTCTCAGCACTTACCACTCGGTCCTCCAAACTCGTACGACCATCCTTCAACTCTTTGCAGCTGATTGCTTCCGACTTCCTGGATTCTTTACCGAACTCCTGCTTCCTAATTCTTGTTGATACTCTCTACAAATTTTCGTCCCAGCATGACGACCTTAATATCTCATTAACGGTTTGTGCTCCATTTTACTCAACCACCATGTTGATATAGCTAATGTCTGTCCTAGACCGTAACATTTTTCTGGGTGCTGTCGGATTTCCTTTCGGGCAAAAATAAGTCGCTTGAGATCACAACGGATCTCGTACGAGACGGCAATCCTTCAGATCTGGCTAAGATCGCGGCTGATCCAGCCCATAAAGGATCCAGCCCCGCGTTGTGGATGCTTCTCCTCCTGAGACTTGCCTCAGTTACGTCTGATGAGAGGCTGGAGCTCCGCAACAGCGCAATACAAACTTTACTGCGAATCTTTGACGCATACGGAGACCGGTTAACCCCTGAGGCTTGGTCCATTTGTATCAAATCTGTCATCTTCAAGCTTTTATCCTCTTTCCAGGAAAAGATTCAGGAAACAGGTGATGGAGAGGAACACAAGAACGAACACGCAAACTGGAATGGATCCGCAGTTGTTGTTCTGTCGGGAGTGGCCAACTTGTTGGCCGGTTATCTGGATGTCTTGATACAGCACCCCTCATTCCAGGATTTATGGCGTGAACTGTTGGAGCACTTTACCACGCTGCTGGATTTCGAAGTTTTGGAGACAAACACCGCCATCTTCAAAGCTCTCGAGCATGTCCTGTCGCACACGAATGGCAAAGATATGCCGACACTTGGAAAGGAGCCAATCGATCTGGCTTGGGATCTGTGGTCTCGGGGAGTACCTGTTCCGCCCAAAGCAGCGCAGAAGGGAGACAACCAAGCCTGTCTTGTCGCATACCTCGAGGCTCTCAATGAAGTGTACAGACTCATTCGCTCAGATTTATCTGTTGATAGGGTCCGCAGAATTCTTGAGCTTCTTCGACAGGCGGTGGAGGAAGCGTCAGTAAGCAGCTACGTTTCTGACATTGAGCAAGTCACGCAGGTGCAGGGCTTGATCCTGAGTTTCATCCAAACGATCCGCACAGATGTAGATGGTGTACCATCTGCAGTGATCAAGGAGGTTTCTGGCCTCGTCACGTTGCCTTTTGAGCAAGACTCTACATCCTCAGGCACAGGCACACGGCGAACTTTTGTTGCCATGTCCAAGTCTGGCATGCAGATTTTGGAGACCGTGATTCTCCAACATGCGACTCAGAAAGATATTTATGAAAGTGGTGCGTTCTCGGCAGCATTGGTAGCTCTTGGAAAGCCAATAGAATTGAAATACATATTCCCTATCGCTACGAAGTCAACCCAGCCATGGAGGTTGGCAACATCCACAGCGTTGTCGGTTCTACAAGCAACATTGAAGCAGCTTGGCCCCCTGGAGATCCCGCCTGAAACGAGCCAGCCAGTCTGGACTGCTGTTGTTGCTATTGCTGATGGCATCTTTAGCGCCGAGGGGCTCGAGATGACGTCCTCGGCTGCTCAAATAGCAGACGACGAAGGATTTGATATTGAGTCATTCAGAAAGCTCAGGGATCTTATAATTCCGTCACTGGGGTTGGGTGATGTTTTAGAGAAAAGCCGCAAGGACTACGCAGAGAGTGTGTTCAAAACATCTATCGTGCATGCTCCCACACCTGGAGACGAGTCAATTCTTGATAAGGTCAAAGGCGGCGGGCTCTCTGCCCTCTACACGCCACGACCCGGGAAAACGCAGTTTATACACCCCAACAGACGCCTGCGAATGTCCTATGTCGCCCTGGACGAGCTCTTCTCTCTGGTTTCTGCGGAACATGATGACAGCGCGACAACGATTAACGGGGAGGCCTCGTCGGCCTTGTGGGTTCGCATGGCAAGCACCGCAGCCCCCTTCTTTATCATTCGGTGTGCCTTGGTTCTGAGAGCCTTCATTGCTGATCAGCCACTTCGCGGTCACATGCCACAGCCATTGAGCCAGCGCAAGGAGCTCCTCCTGGTGCTCACGAAGCTGGTCGCTCTCAGCAGTGAGAGCGAGGCTATCCCGGCCCTGGACGGCGTGGAGAGCAACAATAAAAAGCACCTCCTGAGGCTGTACCCTCTGCTCGTCAAGGCGGGAGCTGTGAGCAGCGACGAGACTGTGTCGGGTCTGCTGCGGAAGGCGCTGGAGGCTGTTGGGGAAGAGTTTGGTTTGTGATGTTAATACCTGTAACATCGGGACTTAGATTCCACCTTTTGTCATGGCTAAAAAATGAAGGCATTGCGTGTGTTGTTGGGTGTTGTCACATTGATAGATATAATCGATTTTCTTGTAATATCTTCTGGGCCAGCTGTTATTCTTTTCGTGGTATCACTCACTCGCATCTCGACTGCGCCTCGCCTCGTTGCCTCTACTTTATGGCTACAACTTTGCTGGTGTACTACCTTAAGCGAAGTGGTCTATATAAAATGCACTTTATTTTTAATTTATTGGTTGAGCAGAGTACTATACAAGCATCGCTTCGAATCCAAGGTATTCGATCTAATGCTAGACTGCAAACGCTTCAATGCAGGATATAATACAGAATGCACAGATTCAAGATTTGATTTCTATGACTTGAAGATCTCCTCTTCAAGGAAATCCTGGATATGGCGCGCCACAACGTCGACAGTGGACGGCAGGTATATAAGGCAGTGGTTCGCGGGCGCAGGAAGAACGAACCCCCTAAACGCCGGCCTGCCCGCGTCAGAAGAATCCGAGTCCCCGCGGATATACTCACGGAGGATGTCCAGATTCGCCGGCGGCGTGATATGGTCGGCCTCACCGAGGATCAGCAGAACGGGCACGTCGACGCCGGCCCAGATCTCAGCCCCCGGCTGCCCGGCCCTGGTGCGGCCATCGTCCTCGAAGGTCGGCGCGATCCCGTAGATGAACCTCTGCCACACGGGCGTGCGCGTCTGCATGTTGTACCGGTGCTGGACCCTCTTGATGTGGAATCCGGCGCCCGGCTCGAGCCACTGGGTTACGCTGTGGGAGTCTGGCCCGCCCCTCGCGTCCCAGAGGCTGGCGACGTCGAAGACCCAGGAGGGCAGGCTCGACAGCGTCCTGAGGACCCAGGATGCGGCAGGAGAGAGCTGCTTGGCGGGCGGGCACGTGGCGATGTAGCCCACGACATGGTCCCGGATCCTGGATGGGGTTGGGGTAGTCCTGCTGGCGAGCTGGGCACAGATGGCGCTGCCCATGCTCTGCCCGTGGAGGACGATGCTGTCCTTCTGGCGGAACTCGCTGGCGATGATGTCGACGACCTCGACGAGCGACTCGAAGCTGTATGCGCCCCAGGCTTGCGGTTCAAAGGTTGACCGGCCACACCCGGGGAGGTCGATGGCGAGGAACGAGATAGTGTCCTTTAGACGGGCGATCAGGGAGTGGAACTGAGCTGCAGAGCCGCCGAGGCCATGGACCATGACCAGCAGTGGGAGAGAGCGCTTGTCGGCCTCGGGGTGGCGTCTGTAGACGACCCTGATGCTGGGGTAGGTGAACTGGCTGGTGGTGTAGGATTTGATGACCGAGTTCTCGCGCAGGAGCTTGTAGTCGGTCTCATCAGGGTCATGAGGACGGCTGGGGTCGCCCTCCACCCAATCTTCGTAACCAGGTTCTGGAGGAGATATGGACATCTTGGCGAATTGATGTGTTTTGGGTGATGCATGTAAGCTGGGGGAGGATCCTGGCTTTAGAAAATGGACATCTATATCCCCGTATTATATCGGCGGATCGAACCATCAGCAGGGCATGTTAATAACGCAACTCCTGCGCTTAAGATAGTTAAATTCAAAAAGAAGAACCAATATATACATATGCAGTAGTTGATATATTTATTACTGAGAGAAGAAAGATAACGCATGACGGCGACTGAAGAATTGGAGCTTTCATAACTAAGGCGGGTGGTTCTCATATGCTTTCACACATATGACACCCAGGATTGCCCTATCTCTACCAAAATAGAAGATATTACTTTTTCCATTGGTTTGGGAAGAAAATAAACATTACACAAACCGTCCAATTGTGCAAATACAATCCCTACACATGGATTCAAACGGGGCGGAACGGAAATGTTACCAAGCCAAAGCTCGCTATCAATGTTGGATCCCAGAGGCTGCTGTTCTATATGGACCATCTCTTTTCCAATTTTGCAAAGAATCACCTCGTTCCTTTGAAGGTTTACTTTCGGGTCCTTGGAGAGTTTCCCGAGGTGGCATATTGGCCCAAGCCCTACGCCTGCTTCCCCACGGCACCGGTCCCCGAGGGTAACCACGCATGCCACGGAAGAACCCTCTACATCTCTATAGATTTGCAGGGTATTTTCCTGCCGCTCTTGGTAGAGAACCTGGCACGCAATGGTGAGAGCTGAGATAGTGGCCGCAAGTACGATCGAGGCCACCAAGAAAGAAAGCAACCCCAGCTTATTTGGACGAGAGACTGTTTCCTCCAGGTCTTGCCAGTGAGATGTAAAGGCCTTGTTGCATCATCAGGATATTGAGACAGACACCAATCGTCAAAGAGATGCTTTAGTAATATAGAGGCCGTCTCAGTTGCCCAGACTTTCCATATGGGCTTTGATTTACCTGAAACTCGCGAAGATTGATCTTCCAAGCAGGTTTATTCCCCCGTGGAGATATTTCCTAGCCCAAGTCTGCCTTGCGATTTAGGGAACTCTGGGTGAGAGAGATTTCTCCTGAAGACAAACACTGCTAGGCTGAAGGCCCTCAAGAAGAATGACGACCGGACAGTCTGTTCGAAGCCATGGCTCACTGTTCACCTCGGTTTCCATGCACTACTTCACTCCTCAGTCTAAATTGAAAAGGTCAGGGAATGTTGTCTCATCCAATTCAAAAACCAAGACCAAAAAGACCAAAAAAAGTGCCTTCGCCCGGCTTCGAACCGAGAGGCTCCTGCTGCCGCCTGTACACGATGTACCCGTCCTCACCTGCTACCGTCGGGGTGAGGCAGAGGCACCTACAGCCGGTCTGATCATCAGTGAGAGTACATCGCACAGGTTGGCGTCATTGGAACGGCGCACTGACCACTGCGCCACATGGTCTGTTGAATGATATGCCCGGGGAAGTAATATATAAAGGTATCGCCCTCTGTGCTGTCGAGAACTGATGTAACACGATGCTCGCTTTCAAAGGTTGAGTATTGACATGGCCCAATCGTTGCTCTCTTCCCTAGTACGCAGCTTGACATCTATCACTGCCACCAAAAGTTAAAATGATATTGGCATTATTGTCATGCGCTGTATATTTCATTACTATGGAATAATTATAAAAGCCAACCTCTAGCTTGGTCGTCGATTCACTTTACCGGACGCAGCTTATCATGCTTTGAAGTCCGCGAATGTGCCACCTCCCTATCAGCAGACATTGTGAGCTTGTGTCTTATCCTACATATTAGCCCTCTGAGCCCACCGAGACGGTAAATATTCAGAATTTTTGCTGCAAAACGAGGGAAGGCGTCGGTTAGCTGAAGAGTTGGATAATTCTCAAGGCCACAACATTCATATGATTTACATGGCCTTCAGCTCATATATCTTCAAATATTCAAGTATTTTACTTGGATCAATATTTACATCATTGAATTTAGGCTTATTGATTGTTTTCATCTTTAAAAGTATATTAAAGGCTAGATCATGAAGCAGGCATGTTTACTTTCTCTATTCTCATGCACAGTGTGCTTTCACTTCACAGAACAGTGGGTCCAATTTACATCTCTGCAAGACACCCTAGCGGCTGTCTACAGCGCGATTGCCCGGCCATTAAGGTTCCCAGCCGGCGCTTATCAAGCTTATCGTCAAAATCACGATCCAACTCTCAATGTCCGACATCACCACATCACCACATCACCAACAAACTATATGCGATACCACCCTCGATCGTACCTCGCCTAGTCCGGGGAACCGAACCAAACCCCCGATAGAACAATCAAGCATCCTATTCGACTGGCACATCTCCACATCCGCCCACCATGCAGGGCTTCAACATGGGACGCTACGTCCCCCCCGAGCTCGAGGGCACCAAGATCTCGGGCAACAACCTCCACCGGCGAGCCGCCCCAGGCACCACCCGCCCCGACGGCTCCCAGACCGTCCGCTTCGAGATGCCCTTCCCCATCTGGTGCTCCTCCTGCCCCAAGGACACCATCATCGGCCAGGGCGTGCGCTTCAACGCCAGAAAGGTCCCCGCGGGGAAGTACTACTCCACCCCGATCTGGAGCTTCCACCTCCGCCACGCCGACTGCGGCGGCGAGATCGTCATCAGGACCGACCCCAAGAACACCGCGTACGTCGTCGTATCCGGCGCCCGCAAGCGCGACCTCGGGCCCGAGGGGGGTCTGCAGGGCGAAGGCGAGGGCCACCGGCCCATCCTGACGGACCAGGAGCGCGAGAGGCTGCGCAGCAGCGCCTTCGCGAGCCTCGAGAAGACCATCGCCGACAGGGAGCAGCTCATACAGGCCAACGAGCGGATCGGCGACCTCCTCGAGGTGTCGTCCCGCCAGTGGGACGACCCGTATGCGCAGAACCAGCGGCTGAGGAACGCCTTCCGCAAGGGCCGCCACCAGAGGGAGAGGGATGCCGCGGCGGGCGAGGAGCTGAAGGACCGGATGAGCTTCGGCTATGACCTGCTCCCCGCGACGGAGGAGGATGCGAGGCGCGCTGCCTTGGTGGACTTTGATCCCGTGGGCGGCAGCAAGGGCATTGAGGGTTCTAAGGCGCTCGCGAAGCCGCTGTTCCAAACGACGAAGAAGAAGGAGCCGGCATCCTCGAAATCAAAGACCCGCGGCCTTCTCAAGGCCGAGAAGGAGGCGTCGGCGCGGAAGAAGGGTTTCGTCTCCGAGGTCATGGGCAACACGCGGCTGGCGCAGGATCCGTTTCTCAACAGCACCCGGGCACCAGACACCAAGGGCCCTCCAAGACTGCCGGGAGTCAAGCGCAAGAGGCCGCTGGAGTCGGAAGCAGAGCCACAGAGACAACCAGAGAAGGCGCCAGATACGGCGGCCGCGCCGCCTCCACCAGCTGTGGCAGTCGGTTTGGTCGATTACGATTCAAGTTGATTTGCACATAGTCCAAGATCTTTGTACATTACAATAGACCTAGCGCATAGCATAGATTTGCATTCATGGAGTTTGGGTTGGGATTTGGTTTTACTGGGCAGGCGGAGAGCGTTACATATGATACCCCTAGAAACGGATTGATGATATATATGGATGGAATTTAGACATAGGTAACTTGTGATAGTAATAGTCACTAGGAAAATTTATCAAGGCGGGAATTGGAATCTACAAACGGGAAGTAGGGTACTGTGAAAATACGACATTCATTTGGTTCGACTCTTGTCGCTATCTTCGCTACCAAGTCCGCCCTGCTAGCCAATACTTGTCTCTCCTCGCCTTCCAAAGAATAGCTTGCACAAACACTTCATTTTCACCTACGCTACCCCATTTGTGCAAGACTAAAATGCGACTGCAGTCTCCCTCTGATCTGAGTTGCTTCGTATAAATCAAAATGAACACCACTTGGAGATGAGATATCATGTGCAAACTAAAAGAATGAGCCGGAATAAGGATAGGAAACCAATGTGCCAAGGCAAAAAAAGAAGAAAAAATAACTGCAAAAGCTCCCGGTGTAGCTTATACCTGAACCCATGAACAGACCCCAATTACGCCATAAATGTATTGTCGGCCTTCTCTCGCCTTCTCTCGGTCCCCTGCCCATCGTATCCGCTGGGAGGGAAGAGTCGCTTTTGGCACGAACAGCCGAGTCGGTTATACGTCGTCCATTTGGCCGGCGGGCTCCTCGTCTTCGTCGTCGAAGCTCGCTACGGAGGACAGGTCGTCGTCGTCTTCGCTCTCGGCTCCGGCGTCGTCGGCCGCATCTTTATTCGCATACTTCTGGACATATTCTGTTTAGGCCGCAGGGCACATGTTAGACAAGATCTTGACGTCTCGATGCAGAGGCGACCATTTCGCCACGTCTACTGACCTTTGACCTTGATTTCGTAGTTCTTGGGCTCTCTGATAAGCAGCGCAGCCGCCTCTCCGTTGAGAGGGTCGGTAGGGTTGGGGTATCGTAGGAGTTGCGGTAGGAAGACCTCGAAGATATTGATCATGTCGAACATGGGGGACCACGTCTGGTTGATGACGTCCAAGCACACCGATCCGGACCTGCAAACAAAAAAGACCTCGCCTTAGTGTACCGCCTCTTGAAAAATCCAGAGTTGCTCCGCCAGATGGGATAAGGTTTGAGTGGTTCCTCCCCCAACTACCGCGTCTCGACACCTGAGGGCCAAGTCGGACATGACTCACAGCTCGTCTATATTCGGGTGGAAAATCCGATTGACAAATCCAATGCTCGGGGATTTGTACGGGTACGTGTCCGGCAGCTCGACGTGCACCTTCCAGAGGCCACCTTCAAAGGGCGCTGTTGGCGAAGAGTTAGCGGATTCTCGACGACGAAAGCCCGCCTTATCGGCATCCGGGGGGACCAACTCTCTGCCGGGCCTTTGAATCGCACGAAAAACTCTTGCCTGTTCAATCGAGATGTATCGGTTAGGGCGCGGGGTCGCATGGGCGAGGGGATGGCTATGCCTAGATGTCTCACACTGCTACCAGTTAGCCAAGCGAGATACTAGCAATACAAGAAATAGCGAGTCCCTACTATTATCATTGACTAGAGTCACCTCATAATCGCTCATGAGCCTGGTATAGTGAGTACATATTCATAGGTTCGTTCTGGGTAAACGTCGTCGTACATTCTACCACATGTTAGCTCGGATGATCACGGACCTAGCTTCGGGGATATTGGGGGTAGTACTTCATGACCTAGAAAGCAGGGTTAGCAAGATGCGGCCAGTTAAACGTATACAATGCAATGTCCCAAGGATCAGCGACTCACATCAGTCTCGATTCTCCTGCGTGGGCTGCTCATCTTGGCGATGTTCCGATATCGTTGAAGCGGGAGGATTCAGTAGTGGGGTGGGTGTGTAGTTGGAATCGGCAGGAGGCCCGACGTCGCGGCTAGAAACGCCAATCTAGAGAACGTCTGACGCTGGTGAGGGGAATCGCTGAACGGTGGCAGGCGGCTCGATCGAACCTGGCAGGTTAGAGTGCAAATAAAGGGCGAAACAGAATGCTGGCTGCGTTGGAGCTGTGGTTGATGCGAGCACAATCAGACTTGGTAGGGAATATAGGTAATAAGGGTAGGCGGGGACGAGCCTGTAGCGCAGGTAGTTGGCCTAAAGCGTCGTCGCATCATCAAGTCACCTGCTTGCCTGGATGGCGCTACTGTTGCCGCCGAGCAAAGGCAAATAGCAGCAGGTGACGTCTCCTACAGGGAGTGTCACCTCACTGGCAGCGATGTGGAGGGCCCTGATAAGCTGCCCTGGACGCATTCCCCGCTCAGTCTCAGCGGGGCACAGCAGTCGCGACCCAACGCCCAGGACGCTGTAGGGAGCCATTAATAATGGGATGAGGGGAATGCCGGTCCTTGAAGCAGAGAGAGCGTCAGACAGGACCCATTGACAGAACATCAGTGGCGTCAAGGCTCCAATCAATGGCTGTCTGCTGTCTCTGTTCCACCCCAGAGCCACATGTCAGAGCCAAACGTGGATTGCTGACCTCCTTAGGTATCAATAGCTAGCCCTCCGCACCCTTGAAACAGGGAAGAAGACCAGCTTCTCACTTGTGAGTCTTGATTCCAATTAGGGAATACGCAATATGGATCTCATCCGATCGACGATAGCCGAACATTTGGGATGTTCCTCTACTAGAGCGATTCGAAGATCTATGGTAGCAATAGGGCATCATCCCATTCGTTCTTCCTGGCAGCATTGCAGTTCTCATGCATTGCCTCGAAAACCGGATTCACACGTACGATCTGCATTATTGTTTTGCTGCGACACTGCTACATTCCCACACAGCTGAACAAACGAGTATGACAAAAAAAAGTCACATGCACATCCATTTTAAGAGTCATACAAACGCATGAGGGAGCGCTACCTTAGTCACCGTGTCTAGGGCAAAGCCAGGCAACTCATTATCGATAAACGAAATAGCGTATTGTTGCCTCGGCTCTTTGTATGCGATTTGGCTCTGGGGGTTTTGCCCCACCGGAGTAGATCACACCGCGGCCCGGTCGGAGGGGGGAGGCGCTGTAATCGCGAGCAGCCGGGGGAGCCATACAGTGGTTGTGGCAGGCTGGTAATTTAACCACCAAGAGATACTCAATTCTACAACGTAAAAACCATCATGATGGGGTCAGTATTAAAAGCGCGCTCGCCACGCCAATCCCCTTAATTATTTTTTCTTCTCTTTCGCTAAGGTAGTTAAAAAGAGCACATTTTTTAGACAGCTCAACTTCGGCTTTTTTGTCTTCGCACAACACAATAAAGAGAGCGGTACCAGTGCACATTTATACCATAGGCATACTCAATCACTTGCTGGCCGCTGTAAAGTTGTCTGGAGAGCACCAATTGGCACCTAGGGCCCATATACCCACGGGCAACATGTCCCGACTGCTCGCTGTCGGTGCTAGCAGGTCGTGTGTAAATGCCGGCCTCAGACTCGCCGCCAGAGGAACCGCTGCACGACATGCGGCCCTACCCACTCTCACATCATGCACGCCATCACCTGCACTGACAGCGCCATCCCTCGCTCACCAGAGCCATGCACTGCAGCAGACCCGCTACAGCTCGCACTCGCCCATGGGCGCTGCGCCCTCCACCAGCCGGAAGAAGGTCACCATCAGCACCCTGCGGTCCATGTACCGCAAGCGGGAGCCCATCACCATGATCACCGCGCACGACTTCCCCAGCGCCCACGTCGCTGACCATGCCGGTATAGATGTGGTGCTTGTCGGTGACAGCTTGGCCATGGTTGCCCTTGGCATGGAGGATACGAGCGAGGTCCTTGTCGAGGAGATGCTTCTTCACTGCCGATCAGTCAGCCGAGCCACCAAGTCCGCTTTCACAGTAAGTTATTCCACATCTACAACATCTGTGTCATGGAGAAAGTCGAGTTTAACGAATATATTTGCTAGGTTGGCGACTTGCCTATGGGTAGCTATGAACTCAACCCTGAACAAGCTCTCGCAACAGCCATCCGCTTCGTCAAGGAAGGTCGCGTGCAGAGCATCAAGCTAGAGGGTGGCAAGGAGATGGCCCCATCAATCAAGAAGATCACCACTGCCGGCATCCCTGTCTTGGGCCATGTTGGCCTGACACCGCAGCGCCAAAATGCTCTAGGTGGCTTCCGTGTCCAGGGCAAGACCAAGGAGGGCGCCTTGCGCGTGCTAGAAGATGCCCTTGCCGTTCAGGAGGCTGGTTGCTATGCCGTTGTCGTAGAGGCAGTCCCCGAAGATGTTGCCGCTTTGATCACAGAGAAGCTCTCCATCCCTACCATAGGCATTGGCGCTGGCGCTGGCTGCTCGGGCCAGGTTCTCGTGCAGATGGATATGCTGGGCAACTTCCCTCCTGGGAGGTTTCTCCCCAAGTTTGTGAAGCAGTATGCCAACGTCTGGGGCGAGGCAATCAAGGGTATTGAAACGTATCGCGATGAGGTCAAGAGTGGCCAGTATCCCGCCCCGGAACACACATATCCTGCGCCAAAGGAGGAGGTCGAGGCGTTCCGCGCCGCCGTCAAGAATCTCTAGGCAAGGCTTGGGCAGCATCCGGGAGGTTGACTGCTTGGATTTTGGATTTTTTCTTGCATTCAGCGGATTTCGTCGAGTCGAGAGCATAGCAAGCATCCCGTATCTTTGATTATGGATCCTTAGTCTTAATAATAGCATACGAAATGGCCTTTTTGGATAAATAAAACAGAGACTTTAACCAAATGCTGGCGTGATAGAGTAGGCGACAATAAGTTGGCCCTGGGCGTCTTTGAAGCACTGTGAAACGTTCTTAGTACACAGCCTGCATTGAAGCAAAAGGGGAGTGCTTACCTGATGCAAATTCCCGACAACCTCGTCCAAGCTAGGCGCAAAGGCAGAGTTGATGTAGAGAAATACACTGTCGGTGTCCTTGCACCTTAGCTTTTTCCGGAGAAATCGCACCACCTCCTCAAACTTCCTCGTTGACGTGATCTTGCACACATCCTGCTGCAGGCTGGGTGCAGATCCCACGGGCTTGAATCGCACAATCACCTTGTCCTTCTGGAACCCTCCTACGCTCGCTAGAGCCGCTGTGGCGTCACGGGGAAGGTCTGCAAGGAGAGTAGAGGCTGTCATTGTGAGGGGGACCTCCGGTGAGGCTGGGCGAGAGTCATCGTCTGCCAGGGGGGTGAAGGGGCTTGCTGGGGGGGAAGTTCGGTCATCCATGGCTGTGAAATGTGTTAAACCAAAGAGGGCTATGTTTATTGTGTTTGTGTATGTCCGCAGAAGCTAGCTTGCTTCCTCTTCGTTGTTGTTTGATGATGTGTAGAGTACGATGCAGTCCACTTCTAACAGGCTCCATCGCACCTGACGTTGTGATACAGTGTCTTTATGCACCAATACACACTGTACATCGATAGGGAGACAACTTTACAGAGACATGGGAGTTACTTTATTAACGTTACAACTATCGCCACCTAATTCCAAACCGCTTTGAGATGATCATCTACCTCTAGTTCCCATTGATGGTACCATTTACGTGAAGGCCATTCAGCTCCAGGCACAGTCGCTCAAACTCCTGCTCCGTCCTCGGCGCCTTGGTCAGGCCTCCCAGTGTTGCCATCGCCAAATCTGCTATCTCGCCCCTTGACAGACTCTCGTACACAATGCTGACCCAGCTTCCGATGGTCTTCTTTCCCTCAGTAGGCAGGCCGTTCGTTGCAGCATAGAGGGGATCGTCGTCGATGCCACAGTGGATGGGTACTTGGAGTCTGGAACGAATCCACGTGTAGAGCGGAGCAGTTCCATCGCCCAACTGTGTTGCCACCATCGATGGTTTCGTGGCCAAGTTGGGATAGTATATGGAGGACGCAGTCGCAGCGACAACACTTGTAAAGTGGGATCGGAAAGCCGAGACTCGAGACACGGAGACATCCACGTCCAGATCACCCAAGAACTCGACGACGGGCGCCATCACGGCCTTTTCAACGAATGGGATTCGCTCTTTCCAGGAGCCCAGATTCGCGTTTTTCCATGCCTCCTCAACAACTGGATAGGTCTTTTCAGCAAGCCGTTGAATGTTTGCGGCCGATAGCCCCAGCGGGTGGAAGGCCCCAGCTTTGGTCTCGTCAAGGAGCGTCTTCTCCTTCAAAGTCTGAAGGAACAAGACTTGGGTCGCCCGCAGATCTACAGCCTGGCAGCATACATACAAATGGCACGCGGACATGTGTTTGACTATGTCGACCGCTTCCATGGTTCGTCTAGCAGACAAAAGGGCTAGAGAATTGATGCCTTGGTTATGCATTTCGGCAGACATGACATGGGTCGAAACCGGGTGGGCCAGTGCGGCCAATTCAGACATGTACGCCGCCATGTTGACGTCGATTCCCTTCATAGTGAAGTTTTCCTTGTCAGAGGCGTTCAGGTTTGCTTCCAAGAAGTTATTCGTAGAAGGATGGATCATCTCGGTGACTTGGGAGAAGAGCATGCGACCGATCATCTGCAGAGCCAGCCTCGTCTTGTCCATCGCCGAGGTGACCGCAACGGCCTGGAAGTTGCCTCCGGAGTAGACATCGCCTACCACAGTTCCATCTGCCGCCACTGAAGCATCCACCAGGGGGTTGTCAGAGGTGGAATTAAGCTCCACCTCAAGTTGTCGTTGGGCGAGGAGCAGATCCTCTAGATACGGACCGATCCACTGCGGGGCCGTTCTCGTCGAGTATCGGTCCTGCCAAAGTCCTTCTCCTTTGCGTCGCCGTGAGTCGAGTCCAACTACAAACTGCGACCCGCGGAGCGCTCGCCGGATGTTGCTTGCGGCCTCGACCTGTCCCGCGTGGGGCCGCACCGCATGGATGAACGGCTGCGCCCACTCAACATTGCCTGCCATAGATTCGGAGGCAAACGCGGTGAGGAGTTGTGCAAGGTAGGCAAGCTGCTGTGCGTCGTATAGCACAAGACTGCCAACCGACACAGATGGAGCCGTCCCATTGATGAGACCGAGACCTTCTTTTGGTCCTAGACCAGACGGCGAGAGACCACTGCTCTTCAACGCCTCAGGGGCTGGGACGACCTTGCAGTCCCTCCCTTTGCCAACCTGGACAAACACATCCGGATTCCCCGTCAGGGCACCCGCAATGTATGACATTGGCATCAGGTCGCCTGAAGCAGAAATCGTTCCTCTGAGGGGCACCATAGGCACTATGTCCTTCTTGACCATGGCAAGGAGGCTCTCCAGCACCTCCAGCCGCAGAGCAGAGTGACCTCTAAGATTCTGGTTCACCCGGGCGACCATTGCACCACGGACCCATTCAGGGGGCATCACATGGCCGGGCTCTCTCTCCGAGTTGCTCTGGGGATCTTTATCCAAGGAAGTGATGATGGCACTCTGCGTGTGCTGCAGGAGACCAATCTGAAGGTCAATCAAGTCGTTCGTCCTGGCATCCGCACTGCCTCCGAAGCCTGTGTTGACACCATACACGACTGTGTCGTTTTCCAGGTACAATTTCAAGGCGTCAACACTATGTCCCAGCTTTTGGATAAGTTCTTCATCCCTGCTAATGGTGGGGAGAACTCCATGGCGAGCGACGGCAACAATGGAGGATATATCAAGGCTTTCACCATCGAGCACCAAATTTGACCCTCCAATCTTCAAGTCCTGGAGGCGCTGCCAGAGCTTGAGCGTGGACGCCGCGTGAGCAGTGGGCTTTGAGCCAGTCATATTCCTCCCTTGCGTCACGTTCACGCGTTTTTGCCTGGGAAATTTTCTCAGATACAGGACGAGGCTTCAGATGATAAGCACTTTGACAAGACTCATCCGTGGTAGTCTCTTTAAGCAGCAATGAAACGCTAGTCGATCTAGCAAGGCTGTATCTGTCTCCCCCAGTTATTCTGGGGATGAGCAAGATATAGTCCCAAGGCTCGGGTCAGATGAAAAGATTCGGCGAATACAATCGATAAGACGAGGTTTCACCTCCCTTGGCTTAGTGTGACGAGGAAGGCGGTGAGAGCTCTTTTCGGAGGACCTAGAGGAGTCTAAAGTCGGGTGATGCACGTCACTCCCGGCGTAAATGCAAGAAGGGTGCAGTAAACTCCGTTGGTGTGAGTCGGATCTCAAATCCTGTGGCTGTAAGCCGCCTGGAAACCTTCTAAAGCCCCGTTGCCTGTCTCAGCCAGCCACGCAGGCCAGCTATCCAACGGTTATTAACCCATCTGGAAGATCCGTGGCTTGGTGGAAGCATAGCCGGTTCGCTGGGCCGAGCAATTAACTTAAACTTTCCGAGAAGGAAGCTACTGTATCAGCACAGCCGGTGGGCAGACTAATTTCAGGGGACTCCAGCCAAAAACCCAGATTTCGGATCTCGCGGCGGCAGCCGGAATGGCCGGGCGAGCTGGTGGTGTGGATGCCAGATCCCACCGGTTCATAATACTCGGCCAGCTCACCACCACACGCAACCTGCGGGCATCACGCGGATGCAGATATCAATACGAGACAGCCGACCACTGCCCGCCATTCGTTCTCTGGAAGAGAGTGGTGTGCTTGTCGCTGACTGCGCCGCCGTCGAGGCCGTGGCCGGAGTCCGTATCTCACCCCGCAGGTGTATCACAAAGTCCCACAGCTCTGACTAACTTGTCGGGCCTCAGCCATTCACGGTGAAACTGTGTTGGTGTTTGCTTATTTCTTCTTCTTATTGAGACATGCTGACTACACATACACAATCTAATTAGGTTTCATGTATGTACAGTTGTGTTGCGGATATTGAATCCCATCCGCATCTTGGATTCTGTTTTTCCTGTTTCCCACGCACCCGAAAACCCCTCGGCCCATGAAATGTAGTTAATGCCCCATGGCCAAAATCTCAAGTGTGATGTCTCTTGTTCCATCAAGACTCCCCCTTCCCTAAACGAACCCGCCTGAACCATCCTCGAGTTGTGTGTATAAGTTTAAGTAAAATAAAAAAAAGGCAGAGGCCAGTAGAAACGCCTTTATGGATAATATGCAGCCAAAAAAGAAAAATGCCAAACCATGCCGCTAGATGCCGTCGCATGCAGATCATGTGCGAGCGAAAGGAAGATGAATCGAAGAAAAGTAGGTAGGTGAATCGACTTGATCCGGGCCAGAGGTGTGTTGCGTCGAGGCCAGTAACCCACAATAAAATTAATCATCTGGCACTCGACGCACTCTCTCAATATATAATCATATTCATAAGAAATCTCGTCGAGGCAGTTAATGAGGGGGAGCAATGTTGTTCAAGGTCGAGGATCGTGATGCAAGTAAAGCCATTCAATCGTTACTCGAGAGGGGACAGAATCCGTCTGCCATGGGTATTGGGAGATGCTGTGCTGTCTCTAGTAGTGCCAGTCGTCATCGTCTTGGATAGCGACGGCTTTGCTCACGCGCTTGAGTTGCGTGAGGAGTGAGTCTAGCTCACCCCAGTTATCATCATTTTCGGCAAATTTGCGATGCTTGCGAGACAGAATATGCTGTTGTGCTGTTAGCGTCTTTTCCTTCACTGTAACATAGAAATCGTAAAACTCACCTCATCAAAATCGCGAAACTTGTCTTGGCAGTTCTCGCAGTAGCCGGGCTTCAAGTCCTTCTTGCTCTTAAGAGGTTGTGACTGAGATTTCCGTTCCTTGCTCTCTGCGGTCTTTGCAACATCTTCGTCCTGGCCAAGGGTCGTTTTAGACGTCTGGCGAGTGAGAGTAACAGATCGGCTTGAGGTTGCTGCCTCCACAGATTGCTGCTCTGCGAGACGCGAACTAGCGTGTGATGTTGGTGCTGTCTTTTGCAGGACCTTGCGCTGGAGGCCGTGAATTTCCTTGCTCGTTCCAGCCTTCACACCAGAAAGTCCCGATGTGGATGAGATCATCTGTGATCGCACAGCCGATGTAATGCTAGCAGCTTGAAGTCCAGAAGCAACTGGCTCACCATGGAAAACTCGACCACCTTCGGCTCGGCTGGTAAACGCGTTTTGTGTGGCTTGCTTGGAAAGCGATGCCTTGGCAGGATTGAAAACCTCGGTAACAGAGTGTGCTCTGTTGTGGCCATCTTCCATCTCGGCCAATGTCCTCTTGCCCGTCACTTGCTTTGTCACAGAAACATCCACAGGCTTGGGGATTGCCGAGGTTTCCTCTCGTTTGGCTGGGCGGGCCTTCACCTGCTGTTCGCGCTGTCGACGGTTCTCCCTCTCAGGAATATCAACATCCTCCACAAAGGGACATCGGCCATTGCCCACACTGCGGAACTGGGGCCAATCGCCATCCGACTTGTTCGCCACCTTTGCATACTCGCGAACCATGATAGGCTTGTGTTTCTCATCCATATCCCACACATAGATATAAGGCCCTTTGAAGTGGGATAACTCGCGGTTAGATGCGCTGGGGTCGCGATCGGAGGGTCCATGGATTCTCTCGTTGTGAAGGAGCTGAAGAAGACTGGGTTCGTGCGAGCCCTTCAGAGTATGTTGAGCACTGCGCGAGCTAATTCCTCGGGTGCCCTGTACGGCTTGCTGCGAATCCGACTCTAACAAGACAGTGACCATGGTTTGAAACTTGTCCAGCGACCAGATCTTCTTTCCCATCTCCCGTGCCTTGTGCAGGACATCGTTGTTCCTAGCACCCTTGCCTGGTTTTGTTGGGTCATTGACTTGCTGGGATCTCGAGGGAACATTACGGAACTCGAACAGAAGCTTCCGTCGCGCAGCAGTGTTACGGTCCAGCAAAGAAGGGTTGATGGTTTGAGGTTGTTCCTCTGGTTCACGTTCCTCCTGTTCAGGCTCTTCGGCCGCCAGTGCCTCAGATCGTTCGCTCGGGATGGTTCGTGTTGTGATAACATGGGTAACGTCGATGGAGAAGAAAGGCTCTTGGCGCTAAATCGAATTGGTCAGCACATTAAACTCTGGAACAAGACAGCACAGGATCATGAAGGACTTACAGCACCGAGATATGTGACCTTTTTCGTCAGCTTGGCACGAATATCATCTGGCACGCTCTCGAAGTAGAAGACCATCTTGGGAAATTTAGCCCTATAATGTTTCTTCCAGACCTCCTTTTGGTCATTGGCGTCATTTTCCACGACCCTGGCTACCGTGGACACCCTTCCTCGTTCTCGAGTTGTTCCGCGGATCGTGGTTGTGCTCGATAGCCCCCGCTGAGGGAGTGTTGTGGTTTGTGAACGGGGCAGCTTCGAGGGCGACCGGACTGCACGGTGTGTACCATTCTCGAGGACCTGCTTCTTGTTTGGTGGTGGCTGTCCGTAAGCTTCCTCGCGCTGAAGGTTGGCATGGGAGCGTTTCTGTTTTGAGTAGGCGGCAATAGCAGCCGCAGCTCCTCTCATGGGCGAATTGGCGGCATGAGGGATGCTCGTCAAAGGGCCACGTCGTGAGGACATGACCGCGACGGGAGCTGGAGTTGGGGATAGAGATACGGTTGCCATATATCCACTCTTCTAGCTTGCTTGCTCCGGAGGTCGAGGCCAGAGCGTGGGCAAGAGAATTCGAGCAAAAGTGGAGGGGCTGGGGTTGGGCGAACCGTGAACAAGCACGCGACGTGGACGGCGACACGTGCAGGACACGAAACTCCCAGGCTGACGACGAGACAGCAAACGATTCTAATGCGACATTGAGGAGCAGGAATGGGCCTCGAGGATAAGAAAAAGGACAAACTCGAGCAGAACACAAGAGGGTGTTTTGCTGAGGAGATGGCTGAGGTCTGGCTGTGGGAAGAAACAATGCAGGAGCCTTTGCTATGCCTTGGAGAACAGAGTGTGTTGACGGTGGAGCCATCGCGCTTGGCACAACAGCGCTAAGCCTGTCTGGGCACCCCCGTCAAAAACAACGCACGGGCCATGCCGCCTCACCAGCAACGGCTCGCCATTGCCCCGCCATCCGCTGGGCAGCCCGCGCTGTAGCGCCCGGCAAACAGCACCTAGAGCGCTAACAGCAGAGCTCCTAGGAAACCAGACGCCACAACAGCACCCCTACCCTACAGACAGCTCGTCTACGTCAATCGCTTATCCGCAGCCTCTAATGCTGCATCCACTACTGGCATGACGATGATCTTTTTGCTGCATTCTTAATTGGCCAGCAGACCTGCAGAACATAATTGTGCATCTCCCAGCACATGCGTGCCTGGCGTTAGATGATGGCAATTCTCTCAATGCACGCTGTGAGCGCGTGAGTGAGACACTCCCTGTACCTGAACTGAGCGACGGATTATAACTGGAGGCTCCCCGTCGCCTGTGCTGACCAACCACGGCCGCCGTAGCGCTGTCTTGACTTTTATCTTTTTTACAAAAATTCTTTGCCGCCATAAAATGAGGATAAAATGAAGGTACCTCTGCCACCATTCCGGACCTTGTGCCGAAAACACCATGCCACAACTCGCTGCCTCGCCAATGCCAATGCCCGCGCATTGACAGTTGGTTTGCGCTCGCGAGGGCAGTCCCGGAGAGGCTATGCCACTACATACGTCTCTGCCGCTGATCTCCAATTCGGGCAACCTGTGTACGAAACACATCCCCATATCCTCAATCCCGGCGAGTGCAAGTTCACCCTTCTCCTCTACATCTAACCTATACCATAACGACCCTAACAATGCAATCGGAAATTAGTAACGCCAGGAATCACCGCGCAAGAATATGCCGACCGCCGAGCCGCCCTTGCGCACTCGATGGCTGATGGCGGCATCGCCATCCTCCACGCCGCCTCCCTGCAATACAAGTCTGGCGCAGTTTTCCACCCATACCGCCAGGAGTCGAACTTTCTCTGGTTAACTGGATGGAACGAGGGCGATGCCGTGGCCGTCATCGAGAAAACGGGCCCTCACCTGGGCGACTACACTTTTCGAATGTTTGTAAACCCCAAGGATCCTCGGGACGAGCAATGGTCAGGTTACAGGAATGGCGTCCAGGCCGCAGAGGACGTGTTCAATGCCGACGAGGCATATCCAATTGGAAATGCTGAATCGGCACTGTCAAAATACCTGAAGTCCGCAAAGCTGGTCTACGCGGATGTTCAGCCTACCAAGGGCTCGGCGGGCAATTTCCTCTACCGATACTTCGCGGCGCGAGACTCTGGGCCTACGAAAACACCGCTCTATCCTGTCATGAATAAGCTCCGCGTAATAAAAAGCCCTGCCGAGGTTGCGAACATGCGAAAGGCTGGACAGATATCCGGGCGGGCGATTACCGATGCCATGAGGCGAGCGTGGACAAAGGAGAAAGACCTACATGCCTTCCTAGACTACCAATTCACCATCAATGGATGCGATGGGCCGGCATATATCCCAGTCATTGCTGGAGGCGAGCGTGCTAATTGCATCCACTACACGGTGAACAACAGCACTTTCAAAGACGGCGAGTTCATCCTGATTGATGCCGGAGGCGAGTATGGCACCTACATCACCGACATTTCGCGAACATGGCCCGTGAATGGCAAGTTCACCGCCGCCCAGCGTGATTTGTACGAAGCAGTTCTCAGGGTACAACGTTCGAGCGTGTCTCTCTGCCGCGCATCTGCCAATCTGTCTCTCGAGGACATACATGGCGTGACCACCCGCGGACTGGTAGACCAGCTTCAACAGATTGGTTTTGACGTGAACATGCGCAACATTGGCCAGTTGTTCCCCCACCACGTTGGACACTACATTGGCCTTGATGTACACGATTGCCCAGGCTACAGCCGTAGGGAGGTATTGAAACCGGGCCACTGCGTGACCATTGAACCCGGTGTCTATGTGCCTAATGATGATCGGTGGCCAAAGCACTTCCGTGGTATGGGCGTGAGAATCGAGGATAGCGTCTGCGTCGATGAAGATTCGCCCTACATTCTTTCAACGGAAGCTGTAAAGGAAGTCACTGACATCGAGGCACTCCGGTGATGTGAAGAAGTGTGACCATATTTGTACAGATATTTGCAATAATACAAGCACATTCCTCCATGGGTCTGGGCAGTTAATCATGAAGGCCATTGATTGAAAACCACTGGCTAGCCTATGAACGTGCCACAGGGTATAACCCGGGACAAGGGACAATGGGACTGATCCCTTGATACAAGAAGGCCTCCTTACACGATGTTTCAGCTTGGGTCTTTGCCGAGAGACATGATGATGGCAAATTTAGCATGAACCCACCCACTGAAAGGCCTGGGTAAGACACCTCATTTTACCTATAGAAAAAGGAGATCGCCAGCCCCTTACCAATCCCCCTTTCCAATCCCCGCCTATTTAGAAAATTTCATCTTTTTAAGATCGACCAAAAGATGGTGTGGGATACGACGTCACGGCACATGAAGGTTGGGTTCAGGGTAGGCGTCGACTGAGGGGTTGGTAATGCCTCGCCATTTAGGTTGGTATTCCACTATGATACCGTTCGTCTGATCTTTTCCAGAAAGCCACAAGAATAAAGAGAACAAAAACAGAAACATGAGGGTTAAAAAATACCCTTTGCCATCCTGTGTTGGGCAAACCTTGTATCGTGAATGAAAAATCCGAATTATCTGAATGCCCCTCATTCACTCGACCCACGTCCCCAAATTCTACCCCCCAAAGAACCATTGAGATATCGAGGAATGAAACCAGAACGAAAGAATCGTCGTCATGCCTCCTTCCTGTCCAAGGAGAAATAATTGCATCATTATACCCTCCGTCAAGGTGTCCGCTCTACCCTCAAGTCACCGCATCATAGCACGCTGAGACCTCAGTCTCCCCATTTCCACGTGTCCAGGAAAGGCCTTTTTTCCAATGATGGGAATCTTGGTCTTTTCGGTCAAGGCCCCAGGCTGCCATCAGCACACCATCTTCGACGCCGGGGGTAGCTAACCCGATATGCGGGTTGTTCTCTCAACTTAAGCTCGAGACAACTGCAACCTCAGCATTTCAAGAGCCGCCTTAAGCACGGCGAATTGTCCCGGATTGGTCTTTGGGCCCGTCTGTTGAAGGCTGGCTGAGAGAATGGCGAACCCGTTCTCGCGCATTAAGACTGCTGCAAAAAACATTGGTATTGGTTGGCTGCGGCCCCCAATGTGGCACATCCCCGCAACTCCCCACGCGAGCTGTCAAGCTATCCTGTGCTGAGAATTGGGATGAACTGGGCTGAATCATACCCTAGGGACTTGCTCCAAGGGTCTTGTCCCGCTCCGTCCGTGGGATGGTTCGTGTTTGCAGTGAGTGGTTGCCTTGATGGCATTGGGGTGACGGGCAGGTCCCAATGTTTTCGGGGAGTGACGCCGATCTGACTGGAGCACCTTGCTCAGAGGTCTTCGAAGACGCCATGAATTGGACCGGTATATGCATATTGTTATCCGTAGCGGATATCAAAGCTCGAAAAGATTTAAAAATATTATCAAATGTGTTGTTAAGAATAGACTCAGCATAAAAGAAGGTAGTCATACCGATAAATTAAATGAAGGAAATGGCTAGCATACAAACTTGCTAAAGCTAATAAGGAATCGCTCATGCTAGATCTCCCATCTTAGATCTCAGAAGAAGTTAAAAGTCCAACTCAATGACCCAGCTGTTTTCCAAACCACATCCCATCGCCTCCATGGGGCGCCTAAGCTGGCGCCATCATGCCATGTTCCCCTGATTGGGCGTAATCTGAGATATCATGTCTCTCGTTTTGCAGTCGCTGCATTTCTCTTTCATAGGCAAAACTCTGTGAAGAGGTCCTGGCCCTAAGCATCCGTTGAGAAAAAGCTTGCACCTGTCTGTCTCATAATATCCTTGATGGCCACAGGTCCATAGGTAGTCCACCTGAGTGCACATGATGATGGCGAATGATTGTAATTATCGTTATTGGAAGGTGAAAAGGGATAAAGTTTCCGTGAGTAAGTAAATATTTGACATGAACACTCCAGAAGTACTCGGCTGCTTTTTGGTATGTACGACTGGGATTGACGTTGTAGTATGGTGAAGAAACTCGAGAGATCGCGGGAAAGGTCTCGTTCCCTTTTATATTCGTACCCAGAAGAGCGAGAGAATTGATTAGAAGCAGATAAATAAGTGATTGACAAACAAATGAAGTCCTGATATCGTGATATAGGTATTCGTCGAATTGTTCCAAGCCTCATACCACCATGCAGTGTGGATGAAAAGATCCGGCTGTCTAGTAACAGCGACACGCAATTGGGGCTTGGGAAGTGTGTTGAGGTTTCAACACATGAGTTCTTCCATTTCAAGGTATTTAGAAAAATGACAAAAAGAGAGATTGGAAGGGCTGGGGGGTGGCACGCCTCGCGTCTTTATCGACGGTTGTTCGCTTAGGTGCTGCACTGTTGTCTCGTCGGCTGATAGCGTAATCGGAGTGGAAAGTGAGCAGGCTTGTTTCGGATTCTAGGAAGCAGCTTCGGCAGCTGTGATAAGCATACGAGCTCTCTCCCGCCGGAGGGTGCGTGGTGAGAGAGGGTCGCGGCCGCTCCTCAATGGCCGTTGAGATTTCAAATGACCACAGTGTGGGTCGAGGGTTGGTCGTACGGCTCCATGTCCAGGATGTTAGTTCTTCAACCATGGCCGATTGTTGGCCTACTCTTCTCATTAGTCAGGAGAGTGAGGACGCCCTGCACACACCTGTGTCAAGCCTCCGTTATGCATTGATACTTTGATTCCCCGCCTGACGCACAGAGCAAGCCACTGGATATGTAAGTGAGCCTGGATGGAGGCATCAGCCAGTCGGATCGGCTTTGGCGACAGCTACGCTAATCCTCCAAGAGGAGGTAGCATACGGATTGCCAGCTAACTGAGCATAGGTGGTTTCCCATGTGAGACTACACTTTCCATTCTTCATTTTGGGCAAACAGCAAGGGGGCTATCCAAAGAGAAAGGATTTCCAAAGAAAGAGGATTCGTATGCCAGGTGTTGATGCATAGCGCGATTTTCCAAACTCAATCCATGGATGTCGAAACTGAAGACCGGTCTTCACTCCAAGCACCAGGCGGGGCCAAAAATTTCGGGTTTCCAACGCTGGACATCGTGTTCCATGAATAGGCCTCCATCGAATGGAGATTTTCCGCCCGGAATGCTACCACGTAACAGCAGGATCCTCCTGCAAGGTCAGGCGAGGAACGACGTGCATGAGAGGTAGTTTCCGTTCCCTTACCCAGGTAGGCTAGACAGGAAGTTGGAGAAACCATAATGGCTGTCACATATTAGTAGATTCCCCATTTCGTAGTTCCGTTGTTGGATATATGCATGACCGGGAACTAGCTAGTGAGGGCTGATTTGCAGCTTCGTACATGCGTTCGGGCAGCCTCTAGCTCAGACTACCTAACTAAGGTGTCCACAGATGCCTCCAGTTCGGTGCTGAGAAAAGAGAAAAGCTGACCGACCGACCCGGTGTGCAATAGTGCCTGTTGGCACCTGAGGTAGGTTCCCACTGCCTGGACGAGGTAGCTGAAGGCAACCTGAAGGCAGTCGGGTGAAATCTAGCGGCATGTGCGCCGGGCAGCAGTCTGCAATCTCCCATCTGTTGCCTCCACGCCCGTAGCTCGACTCTTCTTGTGCTGCAGCTGCAGACTGTAGGTGTTTCCCCAAGAAATGTCCGAGTTTCTGGCACGTCATTCGCACATCAAGGTACCTCCTTCCTCGGCTTCAACACCTGAACTAGCTCCTTCCTGCTCAACATCCGGGCGCTCTTTCCCCCGCAAAACTACCACACCAGCAGCAACGCAGTATTTCCTGGGCTTTCGCATACCATTTCGTTCACATTTATTACCCACCCCCCACCATTTTGCAAGAACCTCCTGGACTTTTCGCCATGGTCCCCATTTGATACATCCTCTCACATTGCGCTCTAGTTGTCTCTCCGGAACGGGGAAGCAAAGCACGAGACCCCATAATGCGACTCTCGATCTCACGAGCCGTCCTTCTCGGTCGCATAGCAATATATCTATGCACTTTGACGAATGCTTATGCCTTTTCTTGGGGTAGTCGTCGGTTCAATGGTAAGAAGCGGGAATCTGGCTCAACGCCCAGCTCTTTAGCTAACCTGTGTTCAGGAGCAGCCAACTCGCTGTTGAGAAACTCCGAATTGCGCGAGGTTCACCAGATTGACGACTCCCTCACCGATGTGTATGCGACAGTGCTTAGCGAGTTGCAAGATCTCGAGTCCGAGCCCCTCTGCCACCGCAACGCCGCCCGCCTCCTTGTTAGTCACTGCCAAATCCTAGATGGAAAGAACGAAGCCACCGTTCTGACGGATAGTGGAAGAACCGCAAGAGACTTTGTTGACTCGTATGCCGCAAGTTTGGCCATATGCGATCTCGAGAGAGGCAGCTTCACCATCCCTTCTAGTTGCGCAAACTTTCGCGAGACCGCGCTTGCTAGAATAGCCATCCCGTCCACACCTCAGCTACATGTCTCATCGGTCGAGATAGACAAGTGCCTCGAAGGGCTGGCGCAGTCGGATTCAGCTTGGAACACGTGGGTCAGCTATCGACACAAAGCGCTGCGATTCTGCGATGCTGCACGCGTGGATAACGAGAAAGGTGAGGCCAAGTGATCGAAGAAGAGCAGAGGTTTACATGCTGACGACCCCTATAGATCGCGACATTCTACGATACCAACGACTCACGAATATTCTCGCTCGGTTGACCAATGAAATCGACACTCATTTGGAGGCTCGTTTGAAGTCTATGGACGAGACATTTCAGCGAACCAAAGACGACTTGGCGGAGATCGCACCGCGAATTGATGCTGTCAAAAAAGGCCTGGGCGAGGTTGAGAACGCTGTTTCCGACGGGCTTGTTCACACCCTGCAGGTAAGACTTGTGGGTCGAATGGAAGACGTGTTCCCATCACTAACAGGTTTGCAGAATGCGCAAGAAATGCTGCACCGAGGGTTCTCAGACGCTAGAGACCTACAAGACCTGTTATCGACCATGCTTCAAACGATCACTCAAAATACAGACGATATCACCGAGGCCCAGGCGACTGCGTTGCAGCTCGTGAGGAAACAAGCAAGTGACGAGGCAGATCTCGTCATGAGTTCGTTAACGGCGGCTATTGCATCTGCCGGGTCGCTGCATAGGGAATTGGTAAGTGAATAGCCCAGTCTCGCAATGCAAGAGATTCGCTGACACCAGGTAGGAAAGTTCTAAAATACGGGCTGCAGATATAGAGAAGAAACAAGATGATGTGGAGGCCGTAAGTCATTCCTCAATTTGCTAACTGATGCCACTGACTTACTGACATGCGGCAGAAAATGCATCGGCTTGACTCGCTGGTCACCGGAATATCCTCTCGATACGAAGACCAAGGCGAGCAACTTCGGGAGGCAGAGAGGCGAGCGAAGGAAATATTGGTGACACTTTACACTGCGGCAAATTCCGCCGATTCGATCCAAAATTCCATAACGAGACGACTTGGCATCCAAAGCTGGGGGCCATATCTTTATTGTCCTGCGGCCACATTAATGCTGGGCTCGTATAGGCTCCCTCCTTCGATGACCAGAAATATGGCTTTGATCGCCCTGGGTAATTCCTCTTTTCTGTTTTCTGTAGCGAAAATGGGTTGCTGACTGTTATTCCAGGAGAAATTGCTGGCTATATTGTTTCCAACATCGGCAAACAGTTTGACATCTTTGTCAAGTCAGCGACTACTGCTGTCGCGACGCCCCTGTTGACCACGTACAACACCACTTCAGCAGCACCTAGTTGGCTCACTCTGAAAACTCTATCTCTTGAGGACGAAGAAGCTCAATGAGATCTCTTACTTTCATTTACCTTCGCACAGCGTGTCAATCGTGAGCATCGGGGGCCAGTAATTCTGGGTCGTTGGTATGCAAAATTGGGAATATTGGGGTCATTTTAAAATGGCCATCATTGTTACTAAAAAGGGCTTGGGCAATCCGCGTTTGCATGATTTGTTATTCGGGCGTTGAATGGGATTGTTCGCTATCGAGGCTTACCGCCGCGAGATTATTTGGGATCATATAATGATATCTGAATTACAGATCGGGTAAGGATTAGAGAATTGGGAATGGCGCCTTTAGTTTGATTTACCTCTGGGATTGGGCAACAGGCGAATAAGATATCAGCCATAGTAGATCCGTCACTTTCTTTTCAATCCTTGAATTGTATCTTCTGATTGTTTCTGTTGTATCTGTTGACCGGGGTTTGCCTTACTACCTTCCTCCTCCCGAACTAGAGGGAATCGCATCGCTCGCCTGCAAAAACAGTTCCCTCTGATCCATCCTTTGCTGGCCATGCTTATACAAAAGCCTCCTGCGCTCGCGGAGTGCCTTCTGCAGTACCTGGTGTTCCCCTGCATCGGTGGGTTCGTCCTCTATCCTCTCGCCGAGAGACATTAGGCTGCGCAGGGCCTTGTCGTCGCGGTCGGTCCATATCCCCTCGGTGTTCTTGGGGATACCGTGCCCAGCCGACAGGGACTCGAGGGCGTGGGCGGTGAGGCAGCCGGGGGTCATGGTCGTGGCTGTCATTGCTTTCACGACCATGGCGTGGGTGTACCCGAGGGACTGGTAGTGCTCAACCCACCCCTCGATGGTGGTGGGCTCTGAGATGTGGGCGTTGGTCGCCCGCGGGGTGACGTTGCCGGTGTCGTTCCTGTCGTTGCCCATCGTGGGTATCGGGTGGGGTGGTGGTCTTCTCGGCGGGGTTGAGCGGCGAGGCGGGCGTGCTGGAGGCGACTTGGGGGAGTCGCTGCGGGCGAAGGAGGCTGGGAGGGTTCGCCGCTTGGCCGGCTTGGGTAGGGGCTTCGGGGTCGTGGGGGGTGGAGGGTTTGATCTGGGGGCGGGAGGTGCGGTGGCTGGATGGGACGGGCGTCTGGGTCTTGGGCTCCCGTCTCCTGCTGGGGAGGTGTGGGTGTGCTGCGGTCTTCTGACGACCTTGACGGGGCTCTCGGTGTGTTGTGCTTCGAGGTCGAGTTGTTGGGAAGGGGTCACGTCGTATGAGCTTTCATGAGTAGGGAGCGGTGGCGTTTTTGCGATAGGGGTCGAGGGATGGTTTCGGTTAGTTGAGCTGGTTCTGCGGCTGCTGGGGAGTTGCCGTTCTGGTGTGTATGACCCGAGGATTGGAGACCCAAGAGCAGGCACTTTCCGTCTTGGGAGTTGTGCGGGAGGAGGTGACGATGGGAGATCATCATATGGGTCTATTCTGTTTCGCTTTGGAGGTCTGGGCGATGAGGTGTCATCCTCGCGACGACCAAGGGGGCGTTTCTTGCTTGCCCTGGGCGTAGCTAGATCCTCCGACCCTGGGTGGGATTCTAGTTCATCGCCCTGATCCTGATCAAGGTCCGACTCGAGTTCATATTCCTCCTGTTCCTCCTCCTCCTCATCGAAACTCTCGACGTCTTCCAAGAAGTCTTTCAAATTGTCATTCCATACCTGTTGAACGGCACGTACGATGATTGCTCTGGAAGCGTCGAACCCCAGACCTCGAGTAATAGCTTCCCAGTCTATGTCGTCAGTTGCGCCGTCGAGCAGTGTCACCATCTTGTACAAAGACACTGGCTGGCCCTTGATTGTTGGGGAAATATTTAGTGGTAACCCGTTGACGCTTGCGTAGGTCTGTAGATCAAGAAGCAAGTTCCTCTCCTTTTCTAGCTCCTCAGACCCGGCGACGGGAGACGACGCATCGGACAAGTGGTCCAACAAATCTGGAGAGGGTTCTCGTTGAGGCGTTTCCGGGATCGTATCTGGGATGTCCTTGGCACGAGCCATGGTGCTCTGTTTCTTGGGAGAAGACTTGGGAGCTGGCCTTGGAGATGGCTTGGGGGAACCCTTTGTTTTGGGAGCCTGTGCTGATGGAGGTGGTGGAGGAGAGTGGGTTGGTTGATGGGAAGTAGCATCTGTATCGGCCGGCGCTGAGGCGGCTATGGCGTTCAACTGTTCTAATGGGAGAAAAGTGAGTTTCTTGTTCCACCGATCCAGCCACGATTGCCAGGTATGTCTGGAGTTCTTCCCAAAGTTAGTTGGATACCATACGACTGCGCGGAGGTTGAGAGAGGCAGGAAGATATAAAGCTATGGGGGAAGGACATACAATTCTCTCAAACTCCTGGCACAACTTAAGCTTAGATTTTTCGCGGTGAACTTGGGTGAGCACCCATTTCACAAGCGCGGCGTCGTCAGCGGGAGTATAGGCAACTCGTTTGCCTCTTGCCAAAGTGCCCGAAGCAGCAGGCCGCGGCCGATCTGGGTCGGGACCGATGAGGTACTTGTCTTTGATTTGGGCCATACCGCAGTTGACTGAGTCTTCAATGAACTTCCACGTGTAGGAGCCCTTGGGAGCGTCTTTGCGTGCATCATCGGCGATGAGCATGTCAGCTTGCCTCTCTGAAGGGACAACTGAGCCACCGTTGCTCTGTCATTGTTAGCTGTCGAGTTACGTGGCGGCGGCTACAAGGGCAAGGGCAAGGAGACAAAGGAAGGAAGATAATTTACCCTTATTAGTTCAACCCATCTTGATCTCATAGGCACACGCAGTGCAACCCAAAATTTCACATCTTTGAACAATTTCCCCCCTTCCTCACTCGGGACACCGTTATATGTGATCCCCGATGCCATCGTTTGGTTCTATCAAGTCAAAAGCAAATAATGCGATGGCGGAGACTCGGGAGGCTCCTAGTAAGTACCTGTCTAGTTGCAACAGGATTTCGGGTGTCGCGAGTTCAAGCATTTGGGGTGCGGTTAGGCGATATTTGGACGGCAACAACAATAGCTTGCGCAGGCTGGAAGCTTGACCATGCAATTCGAGCCATCGGCCTCCGCCGGGCGATGCCGGCTTTTAAAGAGAGCAGCGTCAGTCGCGCACCGGCGTTTGCGATCATGACCTTCGGGACGCGTGATGGCCTCGGCGCGGTATCACGTGGGCCGCCCTTGCGGAAATGCACTTAGCGGGACTGGCTAATGGCGGATACTTGCATATTCAGGTCCGCCACGTGTGGCAAGCTGGTGATGCTCTAAGCCTCACTAAAAAAAGAGATGACAGGTGTGTATCAGCGTCTTCGTCTCATGCTTCCTAATTGAACTGCGCGGAGTCCGGGCGCATTGCGAATCCCCCTTCTCCGTCATCCTCACTCTCCATCATTCTCCTCTCCGTCAAGGCAGCGACTGCTCCCCACGTGCATTGCTTTCTCCCGTCCGCCAAACCGTTGACCATGGTCTTATAGCCAGCGCTTGCTCACAGTCGCTCGCTCCCGCCTGACCTGGCAGCTCCGCTGTAGCCCGCCTCAGACGACTGCCAGTTTTGTCACCGAGGCACACCTGCTGATGAGTCGGGCATCATGGGGATCCTCACTACTCTTATTATTGTCATTCTCGTCATCTCGTTTATGACGTTTGTGACCTTCTTTGGAAGACTACCTGCACTGAGGTTTGTAGACGCCGCCTGTCTTCAAGATGCCCAGTGACATGCTGTTTCTGAACTGGACTCAACTGGGCTAACTCGCTTGCTTCAGACGTACGCCCATCGCTGGCCTGCACCGCCTAATATGGGTTCACATTCCTGCGGCGCTGTACTATGTTGACCAGAAGCTCACTTCTGGTCGGGTGACTTCCTCGACGGTCAAGTTCTTCAACTGTATGATGTTTGACCGTCACCCAACAGTTGTGGTAAGCCATTCCGGCTCCTCGGAACTGGTCTTTTGCCAGGCGCTGATTTCCTTCGCTCCTAGATATTCTTCTTGGTAGTATTTGGCGCTGGAGAAGTCCTCTTTATCCCAGCAGCATGGCCTATCGTGCCCTTATTCACTAAGTTCACCATCGTGGTCCTGGCGCCTACGCCCTTTTTCACTCTCTACAAGGCCTGCGCCGCGGACCCGGGCTACATCACCCCTGAGAATCACGCCTACCACATGTCGCTGTATCCTTACGACTTCACGCTCTTCCATCCTGGACGCCTGTGCAAGACTTGCAACTTGATCAAACCCCCTCGGTCCAAGCACTGCAGTATCTGCAAGCGCTGCATCGCCAGGGCGGACCACCACTGCATCTTCATCAACTCGTGCGTGGGGTACGGCAACCACCACTGGTTCGTCCTCCTTCTCCTGTCCTCGGCCGTCGTCACCTCCTACGCCACCTTCCTGGGCCTCTCCATCCTCTCGGAGTTCCAAAAGTCCATCTACCCGGAGTGGTCCGTCTGGCGGCCCAGCGGCATGTCGTGGAGCACCTACTTCAGCATCTGGGCCCTGGGGATCCGCGGGTACACGCGCATCGGCTCCGTCACCCTCCTCACCATGCTCACCTCCCCGCTCATCTGGGGCCTCCTCGCCTACACGACGTACCTCATCTACTGCGGCACGACGACCAACGAGACCCTCAAGTGGTCCGAGTGGAAGGAGGACATGCGGGACGGCTACGCCTTCGCACGCTCGCTCCCTTCCAACAGACAGAGGCAGCTGTATGCCGAGCCGACGTGGACGCGCTGGCCTGTCCAGCCTGATCGGATCATGGTCACCACGAGCCACGGCCAGCCGCCGAATTCATCGCAGCAGATCCCCGGTGAGGGCCCGTGGGAGAAGATGACAAGTTTGTCAGACGTCACTAATCTGTACGACTTGGGATTCTGGGATAATCTCCGCGACATATTTCTCAGCGAGCCGTTCGGGGAGCGAGAGCCCGTGTCGGAGCGCGAGCGGCCCAGGCATAGAAACGGAGGTGGCCACCCCCCCTGATAGAAAAAAAGATGGTGTAAAAGCTGTTGTACATTCAAGCATAGAATACATGTATATCATATCATGGGAAAAATATCGTGGGAGGAAAAAAATAGCGGTTGGGGATTATATACATTACACTGGGTTGACTTCACGGAGTTTCGAATCATGGGCAATGCACGCTTAAATCATTATCATCTAAAGTCACTCATATCCATCATGTCTACAACGCTTCTAGGTCTTGGAATGCCCGAACAAGACTTTATGCCGCTGCCTTTCCCCATCTAGAGCTCGCGTACTATGCATTGTGCGGTTTTGCTTTATGTTTGTTTTTTTAATTTACAGAATGGTGCCGAAGCTGTGAGAACGAGTTAGTATTCAGCAACCCAAGACACGGACGGCATCGACGGAAAACTCACCCAAAGGTTTGCTTGATGCTCTTCACGTAGTATTCGACCCAGTTCCTCTTGGTCACCTCCTCCTGCCCAACCGGGACGCCGTCCCAGGTAACCCGCATGATGGTGACGTGGTCGACGTCGTTCTGGTCGAACTCGATCTTGAGGGTGGAGTAGTGACCGGCGGGCCACTGGCTCAGGCGCCAGCTCTGGACAATCTTCTTGTTCTGCTCCAGCTCGAGGTACTCACCCGAGACGTTGCCGCCGAACAGCTCGAACTTGCCGCCCTGCTTGGCGCCTTCGAACAGCTTGGGCGGGGAGCGGGTGAAGGCGGCAATGCGGGCGGGGTCGACAAAGGTCTGGTAGGCCTCCTCGGCGGTCGTGCGGAACTCCTCGGTGTCCGTCACGGTCGTGGTGTTTACGGTGCCGCCCGCGCTGGTCTGGGCGCTGGTGGTCTGGGACGATGAGGTGCCGTCGCCGGCCTTTTGGGGGTGGACCTTGGCGGGCGTGAAGCCGCTGGAGGGGTTGCTGCCCTCGGCGTGCTGGATGTCCTTGCCGTGCTCGGCGATGAGATCGCTGGCGAGCTTCTGGAAGGTCTGGCGGAGCTGGGGCACGAGCTTACTTCGGACGAGGTCCTTCACGGGCTGCTTCTCCTTCGACTCGGCGAAAATGTCGACATCGAACTACGCAGAGAGAGGCAAGAGGTTTAATTAGGTTTTGGCTGATACGTTGGGCCAAGTGGAAAAGCTTATTACTTACCACGTATTCATCCTCCTCGGTGTCATGGGCGACCTCGGGGATGGTGATGCTACCAGATACGTCATCCGCATCGGGGGCAGACCCTACCGACTAGGTGTCAACCGACGGGGGTTCTTTCATGCATGGATCAAGAGCGGGCGGAAAGTTCAGTTTTACCAGTATACTCGAGGACGACCTTCACGTCAAAAATGGTGATAACCTTGCCCTTACGCTGGCTCACGTCGACATCACCGTCCATGGAAGTCAGTTTGGAGATCTTGGCCTCGACATCGCCCTGCTTGGCCTCGAGCGTGCACGCATTCTTGGTAAACCACTCCCTGGCCCATTCCCGCACGTCCTTGTTGACCCAGTGCCAGTTGTTGGGGTTGTGAAGAACCATGGTGGGCGGGAATTCGGGTTGGAATCGCGGGGGATCTGGATGTGGAGGTTCTGCTGCGCAAGGATGCAATGTTAGCAACGTCTCGGCAATGGTGTATGAAGAAGACGAAGATAGATGGGAGACAGAGGTGCAGATCAGTGAGGCCTCTGAGGACCACAGCATAAAAGTCATCAATGAAAGGGAGTACAAGTCGCTCTATGACTGGTGCCAGCTGGTGTATCATCATGATGCACGAGGGGATATGTAAGCAAGAAAGAAGAGTATGTAGGACTTACTGTAACGAGGTAGAGAGTGAAGACGACGTTGGTGTCAAGGTGCTAGCAAATTGAAAGGAGGGAGGTTTGGGTTGAAGGGAGGGGAGCAGCTGGGAGGTCTATTAGTATGGGAAGGTGGGCGGGATGGTGAGGAAGGCAGATTGAAGGTATCCGCTAGAACTACGGAAGCGTCTAGAAATTTTGCCAGGCCGGAAGGAAAGCTCTGGCCGCCAGCCTCGTCCCCACCATTGGTGAAGGCCGTACAAAGCGGGGCATCATGTCTCCACGAGCCAGTCAGAAACCAGTTCCTGCCAGGCGAATTGGAGAAGAGAGAGGGAAAAGTTGGCTGTGAGAGAGGCAAGCCGGTTATATTCTCATGGTGCGGTGTGGTCACGTGCCCCGGGCTTGTCGCGTTGACCATGGCAAATTTTATCATTAATTTCACTAAGAACGCGTCGCGAGAATTTATTATCAAATGGTGTATTTTTATAGATTTTTTTTATCTTTATCTAATTTACATATCGGTGCTTCCATCGTTGTTTGTGTTCTGTTGTGTTTGTTCATGTGCATTTTCTGTGCGCACAATTGTCAGCCACCAGATCTGTCCGCATATTTCAATGCGTCTCTGTCTCGTCTCGTGGCTGTCTGTTCGTGCATTTCATGCTAATTCGTTGCACTCGTCATTCCCTGTTCGTCATCGTCGTCATCATAATAATAATAAGATAAAGAATCGACACAAGATCCAGCTCCCTGAAAAAACAATCCTCTCCAAATCTGTACTTCCGCCTCGTAGAGTGGTGTGTATGTGTCCTGTCCATACGGGTATAGTATATCTTTCTTCTGGTCGTCCCCAATTTGATTAGACTTGGGTGTGGTTTGCCCAATCCCAGTCCCAATGTATGGCAAACGCGTCAACGCGTGGCATAGAGTAAATTATGCTCAGGGTCTCCAGCCCAGTTTGTCTGGGGAGTGTCCATCTGCCGATGCAGTATGCCGTCAAGACCGAAATAAGTAATAGTACCAGAAGTGTGATGTACTGGTTGAAGAACTGGAGGGCCTTTTCATTCCAGCCCGGTACTAGCTGAGCCATCTCGGCCACTGGAGAGAATAGAGTGTCTCCTAGGTCGAAGTATGACTTGCTGATACGCTCTCGGTAGGACAGATTCGTGAGGCACTCAGTATGATGTGGTACCTCCATCTCAACCTCTTCCATCAGAGGAAAGACCTCAGTGCAGGGGAACTCGTCCTCATAGCTGAAGCCCGCACATTCATATGGCTTAGATGGTGTAAGGCTGGGCAGCTCAGTCTGCCACTGCAAGCAGTCGATGCAGTTCTCGTCTTGACCGGTGTGTTCCAAGCACTGGACCCACCATTCCCGCTCCTGTTGCCTCGTGTACCGAGGAGACCGCGGCGTGTGGACAATGCTGGAGCCCGTCAGAGGAGTCTGGGTTCCATCAGTGAGAGATGGACATGATCCGGTGTCTGAATCACGCCGCTGGTCCCTGGAGATTTTGTTGATGTCGGGCTTGGGAATCTCTATGGTGAGCTTGGGTGTGGCGGCGAGGGGCGGTAGAGCCGTGCCGAGCTTGGATGCGTTGGCGGCGCGTCGGGCGAAGAGCGGTGCGGAGGATGTCGATGCCATGGAGAAATACAGGTGTCGTGATGACGATAAATATGGTCATAAAAAGCGAGAACAATGCAAAACAAAGAAAACCGTAAAACAAAGTTGAGGAATAATGATGTCGTTTAGGCCCAACCAGGTAGGAGGGGACTTGGATCTTGTTATAAGTCCCAAGCGTGCCTTCGGCTCACACCTCTACTTGGGTAGCAAGGGTCGGTTGAAGAAGAGGCGGTTTGTAGCAAACGACATGCAACCCTTGGAAAAGACATGGGAGAGCGGAAACAAGCCCAACCAAAACAAGGTAATCTGGAAGATGGCCTTACTGCGACCGGCCCTGGGACGCTTTTTTGAAACGAAAACGAGCCGTGACAGCTGGATCGAGCCATGCCAGAGTTCATAAACCAAGGGAGATTTGGCGCCTCTCCCACTAACGGGGTTCGCCTTCGACCAGAAAAATTGCACCTTGGGGGCAATAGTCGGTGAACTTGGCTTCAGGGGGTGAGGGGGTTGGCCAGTAGTGCGTATGTACCTACACGTCGCCCATGCAGAGAACAGGCTATTTTTCGGGTCCTGGGGACTTGGCCACCAAATGGAGCCGGCCTCATTCCATTGTCCCTGGCCTGTTCAGGCAATGCTGCTGTCCAAGACGTGTGCCCTTTGTCCAAAAGGGTGCAGCTTCCCCTGCTCTATCTGGCGGTGCAAGGACCGCCGGTTCAGCTGCTGGATTGTTCGGGAGTACTCGCGCGCGTTTTGTGACAGCTGGGCGAGCACTCCTAGCCTACCGATCATTATGCGCATCCCTGGGGCATGATCATTTTGTTTCCATAACGACTGCGGCCAAATGAAACCACTCCATCCCCACCAGCACATTGAATACGGACGAGGCGGTGGACGAGTGCGCGACATCCTTTGACAAGTTTCAGAAGTTGGCGTCTTGTTCTGATCACGCTTGCATCCGCGGCGCTACCGCGTGGAGGAGCGTTGTTTCCTAGCGGTACTTCTGCTGGCTGTGGGCAAACTTGTCCAGGTTCTCAGACAGACCGCTGAATCGATGCAACGGGAGCGCCACCCGGAAATTCCATTGGGTTAGCCGTCTCCCTCCAGCTGGGCGCTTCTGCGCTACCTCCCCCTAGGCTGGTGGATGTTGATAGGGACTAAGGTGCCAGCGCCCCTTACATGCATACCCGGTTGTGAACGAACAGCTCCACATTGCCTCAAATCCAGAAAGCAATCACAGAATGGCTGGTCGCCTCCTGATCAGCAAAACGCCGGTCTGCCATCGCGCTGCCAATCTCCCTGCCACCCACGGATCTGATTAAGGTAGCCACCGTCAGCCATTGGTTCAAGCCGTGATGTAGCTATCTTATCTCTGATAAGATATGATTAGATACCCGCCCCTCCCACAACCCCGCAAGATCACACGCGATGAGTGCTTCCCCGTTGGGTTGCATTTGCGGTAGCATCCATCTTGGCTCATGTGGTAAGCTGTTGGAACATTATACTGAGTATTCTAGCCTCTCATAATGGGTGTGACCTTCACTTTGTTTGATAAGCTTACTTGTGACTTCGCGCCTCGGAAATCGGGTCTGCCTCTCTGTACTTGGATGGAAATCATGATACCCTCGGGACCAGAGCCGGGAAGATTATTTGAACCCCCTCTACATCCCGCTCACAATCATTAGCTAGCGAGGGGAATATTAATGAGATCGATGCCGCGCAAGGGCGCTAAGACGGAAGAGGTAGCGGCACTTCCCGTATTCCCATCTACGAGTCAGGCGTCAATGGAGAGGCACTTTCTGCTGAACAGTCTGATCGTTCAGCGACAGCGCAAGTTCCTAGATTTCACGATCTATGGACCCTTTGAAGCCCTCCCAGGATACGCCAGCTGCCGCTCGGCCCGGGCCTGCTCGCCGTCTGGCGTCGAGCTCCAGGCAAATGGACGACATCAACCCCGAAGTTCTGGTCAACTACCTCTATCAACAGCAAGATTCGAAATTTTGGATAAGCAGTGGCGCGGGGGAGAAGGAAGGTGTTGTCTTACGGAAAAAAGGAGGCCAGTATCTTGTATGCCCTCCACAGCTAACAGGATCCCCGTTCGCCAAGGCTGCCGCCGCTCTTCAAGTCGAGGTCGGTCGCCGGGCATATCCCACTCTGGTTTGGGACTTAACATCGCTGACCCTGAGTTCCCAGTGCGTTATGACGGTGAACTCGCGTATCATAAGAACCTTCTTGCAGTGGTTCACCGGACTAGAAGTGCCTTTGGACAACGGCTGTCGAGCCCAAGTTCTTCCCACTATTGAAGATATCGCCCACGCCAAGAGGCAAAATTTCGCTGCCTTCGTGGCATCAGAGGGTCTTCTGGTTGTTTGGGATAATGATGCATTGCATATCATATCGCGCGCTTCTAACATTGAATCACAGCTCAGGGATATTATTTGGAAATCCGATGGCAATGAAGATGAGGCAGACGAGTAAAGCGGGTCGGCGGCTGAGCAAGCTCATCATGGATGGTGATCTCATGTGAGCTTTGAGATCGGGCTCTCGTATTATCTGAAATCTTTGAGCAACCCTTCCCAAACTCATCATCATGCGTTCGCATACTGAGGTGGCCAAAACCTTGTTCCGTGTTTGAAATCCAATTGACTTGAAGGTGCGGGGACATCGATCTTAGTGCACCCCCTTGGAGCTGCTCAACCTTCCCATGGCAAACTCCTCAATGCCACTTCCAATCATCCATTTGCTGCTGTCCCAGATATCACAGCTCTCTCAGGATCCCTAGGCAATTTCAATTGGTTTGGTCTTCTATTGAGGCGGAAATTGGCCGGCCTGCCCGCCATGTGTTTGATCCGAACTCGAGTATCCCTATCTCTGTAAATCAACCACTTTCGCTAGTGGACAACCTGGTTGATAAGGACCTTCTGCGTGATACCCGGAGTATCGAAGTACGCTGAAGGCGCTCGCCAATGGGCCACGGTGAGCATCGAGGGTTAATGTATGAACTGCTGCCGTCTGATAGCCGCCAACCACTGTAGTCAACCGGCTTTTCACCCGGCTTGTTGAAAAGGATGAAAGGCTTCCCGCTGCGGGGGTGTATACGTTGAACATGAGGCGTCTGAAGCTTCTCGCCCTCACACCGTCCGGACGTTAAGGCAGTTCTGCAGGATTGCATGCCCTCCTCCTTGGGGTGATTTAATAAGGTATCCGGCAGCTCCTTGGCTCCGTCAGCATATGGCAAGGCTCTACAAAGCCTATGAAGAAAGCACTCTTGGGACGTCAACAACTTGGGTGCGAGACAGTGGAGGTCGCTGCTGCGCTGGAACGACGCTCTTGGCCCAGCCACATTTGTTGTCGCACTCTCCACGCGAAGGGGGCTTAAGTTTATGTTCTAAGGCTAGACGATGACCTTGGTGTGTATAGCCCGCGTTGGCAAACCAGGGAACATCGACGCCTACTCTCAAATTGCGACCGCGTACAGGAACCTATTTACTCGCACTGATCTCCCCGGGTCTGACGCATTCATTTGTTGAATGATGGCTTTTGTAAGGATGAAGTGCTGGTTCTCGTTTTTGGCTCTGTGCCTCATAGAAACAGAAGCTGTGGCAATCTGCTATTTGAGATAAATGGTTATTCCCTTCTAAAAGCAGCCTCAAATTTAGAATCATTAGCTAAGGTCAAGTACGATTAGGTCGTATTGAATGTCACATCTCATGGCTCAGCGAGAATACAAACGCGGCCTGGGAATCCGTGCTACGCCACACACCGATCTCAGCTAGCAGACGTGTGACTTGATGCCTCTCACTCATGGGAAAGAACTTATTGCGGCTAATCCGAGACGAAGACAAGTGCATGAAGAGGCTTTCCAAGTGAGTTGACGACGTGCCGAACACCTTATCGACATTGGGGGGGATCCATTTACTGTCGCAATTGCTGCGTGAGCCAATTGCCAGCGAGCGGTTGATGGAACGATACCATTGAAATTGGCGATTGGTATCGCAGTTCAAGTATCAATTAGCTTCAACCGCTGACTTTACCCCTAGACCCCGGAGATTTCATGTGCCCTACCAACCTTGGTGAACACGAAGAAAGGGTACGAAGGACTTGAGGGAGGGAGTGCCTACCTACATAGGCCGATATTATACACTTGAATAATCACAGATGTAAGCGCTACACTCGAGTGCCTTTCCCGCAGCTTGCACGGCTTGCATGTACAGCAATTTTAACCTCAGCAGACGGGTTGTCTCGCTGCACGTCACCGGTTTTGGCGAGCCGGAACCGCAGTGGCTCGCAATCGTAGCCCAATGAGGCTTTCGCAATCGAAGAACCGGAGGCACAAAGAAAGCATCATTATTTGTTTATATACGAGAGGCACCATATAGGCATGCCTCACTGCTCTCTATGCTACACTTGATCATTGTATTTAGCTCTGGGTATTGACCCATAGAAGCAAACCATTACTCCGACGTTACTATAATGCCGTATGCTGAAGCTCAGACACTTGGTGCTGGCTGATGTTTTGTATTACCCATACCCGCCCAAACCCGATTAACTGCCGTCAATATATACCATGTAGGAAAAAACACTCCTATGTCCCCAAATGCATCCATTCGTTAGATGCCGCCAATGGTGAAGGCGGAAATCAGCAGAGTGCCAATGGCGAGGCCAAGCACGCTGACGGTCCCCTTCACGGCAGCACCCTTATCATCCTCCTTGTCGTTGTTGTTGTCGTCCTTGCCGCTGCTGGACGAGCTCGTGGCCCCCGAGATGATGCTGGCGGTGATGGTCGGGTCGAGGGAGCCCACGTCGGTGGCGGTGGCGGTGTCGTTGCCGGTGCCGCGGCAGAAGACGTCGCGGTCGCCGGCGCCCTCGCCGTGGAGGCAGTCGACCAGGTCCTCGATGGTCTGGTCGACGGCCAGGCAGTAGATGCCGCAGTCGTTGTAGTAGCTGACGATCTGGGCGTCCTTGCAGCACTTCTTCATGTAGTCGACGTTCTTGTCGGTCCGGGGCATGGCGCAGTTCTTGTCCTCGTTGGGGGTCTGCCAGATGCTTGCGCACACGGCCGAGGTGCTCGGGGCGGCGGCGGAGGAGGTAGAGACAGCGGTGGACGACATTGTGAATTGGTGGTTGGACTGACTGAGTTGAGGAGGTCTGTGAAGGCTGTAGATTGGCACGAGTAAGAAGCTGAGAGAGAAGCTGATGGGAAGAGACGGGGATAGGAGTAGAGAAGCAAGAAGGCGAGCAGTGGTCCGATTAATCAATGCATGAGCAAGCTCGCTGCTCTAGAGAGGACGAGCGGCGTGTCGCTCGGGCCGCCGTCTCGTCTCACCAGAAACAAGTCATGCCGTGACAAAACAAATTAACACACGAGCTGTCCCAGGCACTAATCAAGTATGAGATCAGCCAAGCTTCGTATTCACGCCCAACGGACGAGGGTCCCGGCCTGTGATGCCGTGCCAACCACCAGCTGAGACACAACAGCAACAGCCACATCAACTAAAGCGGGCTCACTAAATTTAGGGGATCGCCCCGTCCCACTCGTCTCCTTTTCCCGGTTCTAATATTTTAAGGTTTCGGGAGCTCCAGATCGTGGTGACATTGTCTAATTATCAATATCCAGAGCTTGTGTGGACACTCTACCGAGTGGTTCGGTAGTAGGTAATTTGCAAGATGTGCCGAGTTGGAACTTTGGGGACGGCAAACTTGCCGGTGTTAAAGTGATGCATGGCAAGTGAGATTATTGTTTCTTAGATGACTCTCCTTACGTGGCGGTCAGGGTGTCTTTGCCTTAGCCAAATTAACAATTGGAACAACGGCTGCATCCAAGCCATGCATTATTATGAACATGAGATGCTGTATGGATGGTGAATGCATAGAGGCAATGCTGAACAAGCTCACATGCAATTCATGACATGAAGGGAAACAGGTCATCCGGCGGGGCGCAGGGTTGTTTGCCTACAGGGGCTTGTTTAGTGACATCATCACGCTCTCCCCAGCAACAGCTCTCTGAAAAGATCCCGACTTGCTCCTGGCCGTGAAATTTGTTGACAGAGAGATGCGACATCAAATTCAGGGCCATCCACGAGTAGAGCACTCTCTGGCCTACCTAGATTGATGCCGCAATGTAAAAATAATTTGTAAAAAATACCATAGTGTACTATTGTCTCATGAACATCGTCTGTTGACTCTCACATGCAGCCTCACGGGGATGGGGGGATACTAATGCTTGAAGTTATCAATTTGTCACCTGGCCCCAAAGACTTCTGTGTTTGTAGGGTAACCTGATAAAACATCTTGTTAACTCCAAAGAATATTGGTAAAAGAGTTGAGTGTGATGGAGGACTTGGAGGGAAAAAGAAATACTTGGCAGGGCTTCCGCAAGTGCTGGCCAAGTTTGCGGTCTCGGAGAAATTCCATTTGTTCCTGACAATTGTGATTTTCTGTGCTCTTGCTAAGCTTCTGATACACCCTCTGAAGAAGTGGTGGACAGTAGAATTATCTTCAAGCACTCTTTGGGGCGGGCCGCCTCAGTGGCCTGAAGTTGGATATTCCTCCCGTCGCCAAAGACTGATCCCCACCACAGGCCTTCATTCGGGACCATTAGGAAGAGGAAAAAAACAAGAAGACAGTAAGACGAGTGTAAAATGATCTATGTGCATAATTGGTTTATGAATAGGTTTGTTCAAAGATGGATCAGTTGTCGTTGGCGGCCGACGTTGCTCAAAGCTTGGAGCTCACTCCTTGACAACACCGACAAATGGAAACCAAATAAAAAAAGAACAAAAAGAAAAAAGAACGGGGAGGAGGGGATTCGAACCCCAAGCTTGTAATTATCGGCGCTTGTTGTCGTCGGTGGGTCGTCGCGGTCGTCGAGAGCCGTCGGGAGTCGTCGAGGGTGTCGTCGAGGGTCGTCGAGGGCCGTTCGGAGCCGTTTTGGGTCGTCGAGTCGCGTGTGTCTGACTGTTTAGGAATTGGATTGGGCAAACGCCGATAATCACAAGTTCTACCAGTTAGACCACCTCCCCTTATGTTGAATTGCTTGCATCGAAATTCGTATATGACACATTGGAGTGTTCAGAGGTGTCGTGGTGGGCGTTGCACCTCGTCATCGGCACCACGGAGTCCAGCGAGAGTGCGCGTCCACCAGCAAGCGTAAGCGGTCATTTATTTATTAGTATTAACTTCAAAAAATATTTCTTTTTAATAAAAGGTTCACCATTGTAGGATTTAGAATTGCCAACAAGACTGCTAAAAATATAAAGCTGCATCATCACTTGAGCCTGCCCATGAAGCAACAACTTCATCGACGACAACATTCTCAACAGTCTTGGCCGAATCATAGAAGAGTATTATCTAAGTGATTGAACCAATCTCCAATATTTCGGGAAATTGCATTTCCAAAAGGCCGAGTTTTCCCTTTTCATGGAAATGCCCACAGCACGCTACAGTTAGGCACTGGGCATGTTCTTTGGGGCCGCCTGGTCAAACGCTCACGACCACCTCACCTTGGTTCATTTAGCGTTAATGTGATCTTCCATGAGCCAGAGCATGCAGTGGATCCGACGAAGCACATCCGTTAATATTCTAACTTTAATACCGAGTCCCCAAACAAATCCGCTTTCACATCGCGATATTTGGTTTCAATTCCTTGGCGCCATTTTCACACTTCTCACAACTACTGTACACCACAAGCTATAATTTCTCAGTGTTCCGTAAACAGCTTTGGCTTTACCTTCAAAGACGCTGCGCTTTATCTAATTCCTTTTTTTTAAACCAGCTTTCTCTTTGGGAGCTCTTTGGTTCTTCCCATAGCTTGGTTTACCTAGGTACTCTGTGATGAAGTAGCCACTCCCACAAGGGATCGGGTGTTTTCCCCAGGCATATCGTCCCACCAGGCCCGCTAGTGCGACTGACAAATTCTCGATAAATCCCACAATGCCTCAAAGGCCAAATTAGCGTCAATGTGATTTCCCGCGAGTCAAACCGTTGGTTACGCGGCAGAATTGCCGTGCTCGGAACTCGGAACTGTGGCTCTCCTCCTCCACGCAAACCCAGCAGGAGCCAATAATTGACCTGGTCAGGAACCACCCCGCTATTCTCCCTCCACACTCCCGATTTCCTGTGCTAATAAAAGCAGGAATTCGTCAATATCCCGTCGTAAAAGACCGAATATCTCGGCCAGCCTCGGAGTTCCGCACATCCGTATTGCCCTACATCCGCGGCGGTACCTTCTGCATGAGGATGGGGCCTCCACTCGGGTCAGTCTAGATCCCGTTATCAATCTCCGGTTCTCTCGATGTCTCCCGGCTATAAGACGCCGTTGCTTTTTGTTCAATAAATTATTGACGCAAATCAAAATGGCTGCAAATTTGAGGAATGTCGTCGTCCTTGGCGGATCGTATGTTGGTCTCGTAAGTCTATTTTTGAGCATCTTCTGCCCCCTTGCCTACGCGCCGTTGTCTGGACCAACCATATTGACGTTTCATCCTGCGCAGGCGGCGGTTAACGAGCTGGTCACAGCACTCCCAAAGACCCATCGTGTGAGTGAACAAGCGACGTTGCTTTGTGATGGCACCTTCTGATGCGAGACACATGCAGGTGCTCCTAGTCGAGCCACACACCCACTTCCATCACTTATTCGCCTTTGTAAGTGATGGTATGTCTCCTCCATTGGGCACCATTGGTAGCTGACCCAAAGAACAAGCCCCGATTTGCTGTACTGCCTAGTCATGAGCACAAGGCATTCATCCCTTACACGGGTGCATTTGCAACTGCTACGGACCCATCCGCGCATTCCATCATTACAGCCAAAGCCATCTCCCTTACCAAGGAGCATGTGGTACTCGACCGCGACTGGCAAGGATCCTCCAAGGTACCCTTTGACTTTGTGGTCGTTACTACCGGCACACGCCTGTCGCCTCCGGGGACCATGCTGCAGGACGATAAGCCGTCCTCCATTGGCTATTTCAAGGACTATCAGCGGAAAGTGAAGAGCGCGAAGTCTATTGCAATTGTAGGAGGAGGCGCCGTCGGCGTGCAAATGGCTACAGATCTAAAGGAGCTCTATCCTGAAAAGAAAATAACTCTTATCCATTCGCGTGACCGTTTGATGCCACTGTACCATCCGAGAATGGACGAGATCATTCGGGAGCGTTGCAAGGAGCTCGGAGTCGAGTATGTTGATTGAACACTCGATCCCCACGCACCCATAATCAGACAGCTAATTGCAGGGAAATAGGTTAGCCACTGGGAGCCGGGCTGTGGTGCCTGCCAATGGATTTCCGACAGATGGCAGTGAATTCGAGGTGGAATTGCAGGACGGACGCAAGATTGCAGCTGACCTGATCATCCCAGCGACGGGACAGAGCCCAAATAATCAGTTCCTCCGCGATCTCGAGCCGACGCCCGGTGGCTCGATCCTGAACCCGGCGAATGGCTTCATCAATGTACTGCCTACTCTGCAATTCAAGGACCCCAAGTACTCGCACTTCTTCGCTGCGGGCGACGTTGCCGACAGTGGAGCTCACAAAGCCGCTCGTCCGGGAATTGGACAGGCGCGCGTTGTTTCCGAGAACATTGTCGCCATGATTGCGGGCAAGCCGCCGATTGAGAGCATCGTCGTCTCACCTCCAGCGATCCATCTCACTCTGGGACTGGTATGTGTCTCCCCAGGGCGAACCAGACCGGGCGGGGGCGGACTGACACAAGCGCGCGTAGAGAAAGAATATGATCTTCCGCAATCCAGAAAAGGGCCAATCGGAGCCTGTGGTCAACATGAAAGACGAGTGAGTGGCCAATAGCTATGACAAACAAGAAGCGACATTATCTGACAAAAAGCAAAACAGCGGGGTAGAGGACATGGGGGTTCACCGGATCTGGGAGAGGAGAGGCGTCACGGTCAACACGAGCAACGATTACCACCTGTAGAACTTCCTATGCGCCCGTCGCTGTGGCAGGAGAGCGTAGCATCTATAGAATGGAGCCTATGCCGGGATCTATCGCTCGTCAGGGGAATCTGAGCTGGATTTCGATGGCTCTCAACCGACTTCTGACACAGATCCATGTGAAGGACCGGCAGCTTTGTGCCCTCCATTACGACGCGCCAGCCGCTTTGGCCTCTGGAAGTGCAGAAACGCGCGCGAAGCCACAAGCATTGGTGCCCAAAAACTGTTGGTTGGTCGGTTAGATGTGGCCATTTATTAGGCCGCATGCAGATACTACGCAATACCTATCTAGCGAGGTCCCCAGCCTTATTATTTCAGCTCGCATCTTCGTCCTGCTCTCCATCTCTCCCTCCCTTTTATTCCCCTCTTCCTCTCTTCTTCCCACTGGCTGGGGTCCATTCGTCTCTCTGCTTCTCTACACCAACCGCGCTTCCAAACCCTTCTTTCGTCCTATCTCCTGCGAGACAGAGGCTGCCACTATCTTCTTCTGTGGCCTATTCTTCTTAGCCACCGAGTGGTCCATCTTGTCGTCGTTGATCGACGCCGTGTTTCCACCTGCTCCTTGAACCACTTGAACGATTTTGCCCTTCTGATTCAACGTGAACATCATGTCTCACCCAAACCCTCACGCAAACCCTCACCCAAACTCTTACACAAACTCTCAACTAAACATTTACCCAAACTCTCACCTAAACTCTCGGCCAGACTTGCGGGTTTCCAACCACTATAGCAATCGTAAGCATGCCACTACCCGCAGATGAGGCTACCTTATCTTGTCGAGCCTGGTTCTTGAGCATCTCGTTGACAAAATTGATTACAGATCCCAATGGTTGCAGCTTTGGCGAGGGCGCGAGTCAGATGCCGCTCCCTCTACAAGATGCATCTGCAGAGCCTGTCGCTCGATACAGAAACATCACCTCCAGTAGCCTTACAGACCAGCTCAACGGCCTGGTAATGGTCCTTGGCAACGAACACGTGCAGATTGGCTGTCCGGCCGGCACCTGGATCTATGAGGGCTGCGTCAAGGCGGAGGGCAGCCTGACCACCCAAGTCAACGGCCTGGTCGTTGGAGTCGAGGGCGGTTGTCAGACCACAATACCTCACTTCCCCGGCATGAACGGTGTCTGGTCCGAGTGCGACACCGTTGAGAAGCTCCCCAACGGGATGGTGAAGACCGAGGCGGAGATCCAGTTTGCTAGGGAGCTTGACCTCCGTGCCAACCACACGGTCCAAATCAATGGAGGTTTGCTTTCCAAGATCACGGATAACCGCATTTTCGTCCCCCAGGTCGGACCACCACCCCCGTCGTCCTGAACTGGGAAAGCAAGCTGAGGAAAGTGGATGATGGTCCAGATTGTGTTTTTTCACGTCCGCTTTCCTGTGATAGTTTGTTTTGAATTGGATAGCCCTTTTGAATGATTTTAATCTATACTGCGTTTTATGGCATCTTTCGCCAAATTGAATGTGCTTTGCTCTCGGCCTTGATGCCATGGTAGTTCTGCCAACAAGATCCAGGTCCAGTGTCCCGCAAGGAACACACTATCCCGACGGCCCCCGAATCGCAGAAGCATACCTAAGTACCCGTGTAAATCGAGTAGAGTAATAAATTCTCCGACGACTTCCAGAAGCAGAAAACAGTGCATGATTATGACGCTCCCGCTGATTGCTGGCCGGGCGGGGGAGTCGGGGAGGCCACACCAACCAGTAGATCACCCGCCTACCAACAAATGCTACATGGTATCTCGTATCTTACGGAGGGCTTATTGGTCATTTTTCAGCTAGAATGCAATATGACGAGAGATGAGGCCTGTTTCCCCGCCCCTTAGCACCTTCTCCTCTTCTCTCACCGGTCGCAGAGGTCGCAGAAGCAAGACTGAACGCAGAGATTGCAAAAGCCCAGCTATCTATACCCAAACACTCACACGCTTGAACCAAGGAAAAACAAGATCCATAATGACGTCCAACGCCAAGCCGATCCCTACGGCCGAGTACGACGCCGTTATCGCCGCCGCCCAGCACTACTTCGACAGTCTCAAAAAGGCCGACCGCGGCCTCCTCGAGGACGCCTTCCACGAGGACGCCACCATGACCGGGTGGTTCCTCAACGGGACCCTGTCCAAGGGCTCGTACAGGGACCTTTACGGCTACTACAAGGCCTACGGGCCGGCCGTCGACATCAAGGCGCGCGCGGACGTGATTGGCATGACGCCCACTACGGCGGTGGTGCGGGCCGAGATGGAGGGGACTCCGGATAATCCGTATGTCGACTTTTTGACCTTGATTAAGGTGGATGGGAAGTGGAAGATTATTTCGAAGGTGTTTCATGCTTATGAGAAGCAGTAGGCGGATTTGAACATGTTTTCAGTGGCTGGATTTTGGAGATGGATTAGGTACGCGTAGTTGCCTCACCGGAAGAGACGCGCACCATTCCTTCAATCTAACCATGTTGCTATTCCACCATCACGGCTCTACCGATGCAAGTACGTTATCCTTTCGCTTTGGTGCCTCCTTTTGGGCAACATGGAAATTAGAGCGAGACCTCTCCTCAATACCCAATAGGAGCAATATCATTGTAGCTCTATTCAAAGAATCAACCAGTCACTCCCAGTATATCTTTGGTCCTGCGTTCTTGATCATAGCTATAGAACCATCGCTCCAACAGCACTGAACCCCGTCGATGATGCTCGCAATCTGACCTCTCATATCCAACTTAATCCTGGCAAGAGCAATCGCATACTCCAACCTAGACATCTCTGGGACTTGCATCATTGGATCCAATCTCAAGCGAGCTTGGGCTATCCCACTCCAAAACTTGAGATTCTTGTCATCCCAGCTATTGTTCCTGGGATCTGCGTCTCCAATTCCTCTAGGTCTTTGAAACTGGCCAACCAAGAGGAAACGGCGGACGGTCTTGGATCGAGCTACTGAAAGGGCGCTCATTGTGCCCTCTTTCCCTGTGTAGGATATTGCGCTGCCATGCTTCACAAGCACCTTCACAGCTTCAAGCTGGCCACACGTGCTTGCAGCCATTAGAGCAGAGCCAAGCGGGGATCCTTCAAAATCAACTTCCGCCCCAAGAGAAAGACAGTTTTTGACGCAGACAACATCTCCAAAAACTGCGGCTCTACACAGTGGGCTCCAGCCCTTTTCGGGCTGTAGATTTGCCCATCTTTGGAAGTCGTCTTGTGAAAGTCGTCGGCTATAGTGGCGAAATAGCCGTTTAAGAAAGGGCGGTATATGGCCAGTTGCCAACAACTGCCAGTTAAATGGTTCAAGTCGATCGAGAAGGTGGGGCGAGTTGAGAAAATACTCCTGCCTGTGATGATCTTGGAGTAGAGCATTGATAAGACTTGTATCTCCAAGTTTCTCATCTTGTAATGATACGCCCATAAGCTCTAGACTTTGCACAAAGCCCCAGTTTTTGACACCGATGCTCGCTTGATAGTAAGGCTGACAAGATAGAGACCGCCTAAGAACATGATTGAGGATAATTTTGAACGCATTTTGAGACGTGCTCGCAGTACTTTTTGGCTTAATGACGAAAACTAGCCTCTCTGAGATTATTCCCATGTTTGCAATAGCCATGGCAGGTGAAATAGAGATATTCCATTCAATCAAAAGCTGTGCTGCCGAGCTTGATCGTACCAGATCTAATGGACTGCCGCCATGTGAATCTAAAGTGTCAGGATTCGCCCCATTTTCGAGAAGAAGTTGCATTGACTCGGCTAGGTCATAATATGTAGCAAAATGCAAAGGTGTCAACAGCCACCCGTCCTGGTTGAAGTCGTAACGTTTATTCAGTATTGAAGGGACGACTTCTTGAGGCTCTAACTGGCTTCGTCGACTTCAGCGTGGGTTAGTCAGAGCTTCAATTATCACCCAATCGAGCTACATACCTAATTTGATCCAAGTTTTCGCTTAAAAAATCCAAAATGGTTCTAACGCCCTGGATATTCCTGGACCTGAGGGCTCTGGGAATCGGTCCCAGTGAGTCAGCGAGTTGCAGAAAATCCCCGCCTTCCTCCAAAAATCGAGATAGTATGTTTGGAAGTAACGGAAGGCACATTTCCCCCGAGAACGCAGATACTGTTATTGAATGGTTACAATGTGCTAGATACTCATTCTTGATTATCCAAGCATTGCTTAATGTGCTTGCTCCATGATCAAGGAACATCTTGGCAATTTCTGGCTGGTTCTTGAAAATAGAATATTGCAAGGGGTTGCAATTATAAGGTGATATTTGGACATTTAGCGGGCATTTTTTTGTGAGGAGGAGTCGGCACCTCTCGATGTTGCCGTTTTCGATTGCTGGATATAATTTGCCAAGCAGCGTCTTCTCCTGTATCTGAGACATAACAGATATTTGGTGAGGCTCGTGGTACGACCTCTTGCCAAATTCCTGCATAAGAAATTGTGCGATTTCTGGGTGATCAAATTCTGAAGCAAGCAGTGCGGGGCTCTTGAACCTCTTGTTAATCCCATCCGTTGCGCCAAGTTCTACCAGCAACTTGACAGTTTCAATCTGGCCCTCCCGAGCAGCCAAATGCAAAGGGGTATCACCATTCACATCTTTGCTATCTATCCTAGCACCGGCTGCTACTAAGTACTTTATAATACCCGGGAAGCCCTGGTTTGCACAAAAATGAAGGGGCGTTTTCTCAGAACTATTCAAGCACTCTATACTCAGAAGGCTTTGTTCGTTAAAAAACTTGACACACTCCAGATGGCCCGTAACACAAGCCGCATGGATCGCGGTGCAGTTCTCCTCCTGCTGTGAATCTTTCGTACTGATTGAGTTCATAGTAAAAGGTGCTTCCCAGCGAATTTTGAGGCCAGATTTCTTGGAAGAAGCCAATGCTGCATTTAAAACAAAGGTATAACCCCGAAATGCAGCCAGCATAATAGAATTCCACCCATAGGATCCTGGAATGATCAGATTAGGATCAGCCCCAAGCTCCAATAAGACCGAGGCACAAAAGAGGGATCCCTGATTTAGATGATAGAATAATGGCGGGTCTCTGTCATTTATTGCGATTCCTGGCGAGGAGTTGAACCCATTGGTATCCAATCCCATTTCAACAAGTTTGTTAATCAGCCAGTGAAGTCCTGGTTCATATGATTGCGTTTCAACTCGATGAAGGAGACTCAGTCCTTTGTAGTCCCAGTCCTTCAGCTTTTCTGGGTTAGAGCGATCTAGAAGGCATTGGAATACCGCCATTCCCTTCTCGCTCTCACATAACCGCCATGCGTTCGACCCTGAACAGACGTACTCAATTGTTGTCTCTTTTCCTAGACGCTGATGGAGATCTAGCCCGCTGTCTAGGAGGTATTCGACGGTGGCGAGGTCTTTGCACATGATTACCTCTCGCAAGAATTCAATTGCCCACGGGCTATTGGGCTCCCAGTACTGCGATGAGTTGATAGCCTGTTTAGTAGTGTTCATTGCTATGTAATCTTGGGTTCCAAAAATGATGCGGCCTGAATGACTCTTTACAGCCAGGAGAAAAGCCTCGAATAATAGCTTGACACCAGGCAAGGCGACCTGAGATTCATAGTCCTCCATAGCTCCAAGATCTATCATTACTTCGATAATCGATTTGCCAATGACTTGGTCGTGATTTCCATAGCAATGCCACGTACAAAGAGTACGTGCATGGATAAATCGTGTCAAAAGCTTGCACATGTAGCTCCACAATTCTGTCCTACCAATTTGGCCGGATTCTGAGAGTGGTTTCCAGTATAGACTATGGATTATGTCTTTATCTGGGATAAACACTTCATCTGAAAGTTTGCATTCGGGTCCGCATAAGATGTTGTTAAGATAGTATTCCAAAGGGGTGTGACGTCCAACTCTGAGTTGATATGCTGCAGGATAGAGAGTTTTCAATACCGTCACAGTTTCCAAGTCTGATTTTGGCCCCAGCCCATGTAGCGGGCTCATCTCGCTTGGGCCAATTGTTTTCGGGGTGACATTCAGGTCCATAAGCTTCTTGAGGACCTTTTTATACCCCTTCCTTGCGGCGATTGGGAAAACGCATCTGTGATCTTGCCAGAAATTTGGTATTTTATCACAATAGCCAATGAACCAAACAAGGTCTTCCTCCTTTGAGTGCTCGCCGAAGCAGAGTTCCAAAGGGGTGAACCCATCGTCGTCTTCCACCAAGAGAGAACTATGCTCTCTTTTCATGTCTATCTTGAGAAAAATATCAAGAATTGAAACGTGAAAATATGACCCCACAGCATAATGATGCCAAACATTTCGGCCCGAGTCGTCTTGCGAGAAAACGTCAGTGTTATATTCCACAAGAAGTTTTAATATTTCGACATCATCCAACCGACGGCACCCATGCACAGGTGATTGGCCGTCATAGTCTCTAGCGGATGGGTTACTCTTCAGGCTGAGAAGAAGCCGCGTGCAATGCAGTGCACTCTCCCAAACGGCATCGTGCAACCAGGTACTGCCATGACCGTTGTCGGTGATGCTAGCGCGTGGGTCCTGTAGACAGACTTGAAGCCGTTCTACATCATCTATCTTGATGGCAGCGAATATTGTGTCGATCAAAGTCTCTTCTGATAACGAAATTCTCGTGTCTGTAAGTTCTGGAAGTTTCGTGAATGAGAAATTTGACTCAACGCAGGCGGACCAGAGGCATTTTCCAAGCTCAAGACCCCATGTGGAGTTGTAGGCGTGTGAATTCTTAAGGTATTCTAGAATCTTATGAAAAGATAATTCTAGCTCGTGATCCTCTTCTTTTGGATTTATCGAAGACAAGAAGCTGGCAAATTCCCAAATATCGTCATCAGAAGGCACAAAGCCCGCCTTTAATAATTGAAGACTTGAGTCAAACGACTTTAAGTGAAAACTGATAATGCTTGCTTTACAGAAAATCTCCGAGTTGTCTGGTGGCATAGCAAGATCTGCACCAGCGTTGGTAAGGTATGATATTGTGTCTACACGCCGCCGGCTAACGGCGCAGAGGTCAGCATTGAAGCTGAATGACTCATTATCGTCGTTGAATCGAATGGGAATGCCCAAGATAGATGCTTTTGCCAAGTACAATGGTGTACCAAGTCGCGACTTTGCATGCACGATAGTTTTGACCTCCTTTGAAAGAAGAAAAGCTGTTATCTCTGGGATATTCAAAATCGCTGAAAGATGCAGAGGTTTAATGCCGCTTCCTATGATCTCGACTGGAGAGTATCTGCCTTGCAGGGTGCTGTCAAACCTTGTTTGTAATTGCTGCCAGCTGGCAATCCCCATTTCCATTCCCTCCATAACATAGTCAATTAAGGTTTCGGCCCAAGAAAGGAAAAATGACGTCCTGAAGGGATGAAATAACGATTTTACCGCGTCGAGTAACTCTTCGCCTTCTAACCGTTCCCGAGAAAGAATAGGCCAAGCAATAGCGGCTTTATCATAAAACGGATAGGAGGTGGTCCTCTCAAACTTATATTTCCACCATTCTTTTGTCTCTGAAGGCTGCCTGTCAAAGTTCCTTAACTGCAAGAACTTCACACATTGAGTAGCTAAAATTAAGTTGCTTTCTGTTTTGCTTATATGGAAGCCCTCAAGGTCGGGGGTTTTCAATAGGCTGCTGTCTTGAAGGAACTCTTGGACAGTGAAGTGTGCAAACTCGAAACCTTTGCTATCGGCAGAAATTCGAATCAGGCTGCTACACTCTCGTAAAATGTCTCTTTCGCTAACCATGCGTGATTCACTGAGAGTGACGCTAGTGCCTTCAGGTACCGACACTGCCTGACAGAGCTCTTGAATAGACAAGCCCCAAGGGAAAAAGGCGATAAAATGGAGGCACAACTGGACCATCTTACGGACTTTCAGGGGTCTTCTATTTATTCTGACCAGTAATCTGGTGTAGGATTCGTGAAGGGTTGGCGGCAGCTCCTTAAGAGCTTCGCGTCTGTCATCATCTGTGGAAAACTCACAGAGATAGTCAAGTTGGCATACCACCCACCGGAACCTAGAGACGATAGGGTTAACAGAACAATCAGTCTCGCTTATTATAGATTTGCTTAGGGCCACTCACATTCCATGAGCTCTCCTCACCAACTCTTCTCCAATTTCGTTCTTAAGATCCAAATTGTTCAAAGACAAGCGACCTGAATGAGTACGCTGCTCTAACTCGGCCCTCACATAGTCCCGCAGATCTTCAGTGTGGGCCGCAATAGGGATTTGGTCAAAGCTCTGAAGATAATCTTGGATAACAACTTCATGTCGACTGAACAACGCGATTGTTACATTGTCGGCTGTATCCGCCAGCTCCACCAACATCTCGAGTACATCAGGTGTACGATCACCACATTCGTCGATGCCGTCGACAACAACAATAAGATTCTTCAGCTCTTCGGCCATTGAACAAAGACGCGCTCTTAGTTCATCTGCATCAGCCTGTTTATCCAGTCCGCGAAATGGATGGAGTTCTTCATAATATTCCTGTAATAGGTCGAAGAACTCATCCCTCTGACGGGCAATTTGTGAAGCAAGGCCCCCAAGAATGTTAACTGGCGTGAGGGTGGCCTCCATTTTATAGTCACAGAAAAAGAAGGCAACCCCAACGTCGGCTGAACTGGCTGATAGAGCATCTTGGATCACGGCTCCAGCCAAAATTGTTTTGCCTCCGCCAGCGAGTCCGTTCAGCCACAGCCTAGACCCAGGGCGATCAAGCCAATCTCGATATGTCTCGTCATTGGAGAGCCATCGGCCAGTTGTGGGATGTCGAAGTTTGATGCTCTGATCAAGGTTGATCTGGGGGTTTGTTTCCGGTTTGAGGAAGAAATCCAGGACGTTTCTCTTACGATCATCTAACATGATTTTGATGGGAATTTCGACACAGGCTTGGAAGGCGTCCAATTTACGGTCCAGATGGTCGATCTTCTGCCCCTGCTCGACCTGCTTGGTCAAAACCAATTGCAGCTCGTTGATAGTGTCCACGGATGCCGCGAGAGTCAATGTTTCTTTGTAGCGAGATAGCTTGGCAAGCAAATCTTTGGTTTCAGAGCTGGAGAATGGCCATTTGAGTTTCTCCCGAAGTTCGATTAGCTTAGCACGCTTGTTAAAGGCTTCTGTGGACTTTTTGAGCCTCTTTTCAATTTTGTCGAATGTGTCCTGGATTTGGAAAAAGCAGTGAAGTCGAAGGCTGGGATCGAAACATTGGTTAGGTTCAGTCTCGAGTGTGCGACAAAGGGCGTCTAGATTACGGAGAACTCCGCCGAGGTCATGGATTTCGGTTGAGAGAGCTTGGATCTCATCCTTGGCCCCGGCAGCTGCGCGTGCATAGTGAAATACACGTCGAAATACAATGTCCGCTAGGCTGATGATACCCGCGATACTGGCCGATACTGAGAGGGGGTCCGCCATTACATAAATTATGCGTGAACCGAACCCTTAATGGCGTTTCGTATCGCACAGGATCGTGATGTATTCAAATTGAACAACTGTAGAAGTAACGCCTCTGGATGCGAGGCTTCCTGCCGAAGAATGTGCGTAAGACCAGACGAACCAGTGGCAGTGGAAAAAAGAAATGGCTGAAGCCAGCTTACTCTCTCAGCTTGTCATGTGACAGACATGACAGTAAGGCTCTCAGGCTTTTTCCATGTCTGAAATATGCAGCTTATTGGTCCACGAAGCATTAATGTGGCTGAGTGCATATTCTGCTTGGCCAAACAGAAGCCTTGACGTAGTCGACACATCGATAATGGCTGTGCATAGTGACCTTCTCTCCCCCAGCTGTAGCCACTTGAACGTTGCTAATAACAATGGTGTATCTTTTAGTACATCAATGTTGGCGTCATGCTCAACGGGCGCTGAATGAGCCCAATGTAACCTCTTCTTGTGGCCGCCTAGAGCTGTGTTAATTCATGGGCGAGCGGCGGTGCATTGTGGCTCCTGCCCACGGCGGCAAGAAGTGCTGTTTTGTTGAAAGAATCACCACTAGCCTTTGCTCCTTCATCCTGAACCGCGGTGTTTATGGAAGCCTTCTCGGTCACAGGTTAACAATCAAAAGGGAGCGCGAAGCAGAAATTCAGGATAATATTTGTGTATTCTTCTTTATGTCATTCCCATGAAAATTGACGAGTGGCTACAACGCTCATATGAATTTGCTAGTCGCATCCATCCCACATTCAATCATGTTTTCCTATCCTCAACACCGTGTCTCCCAGAAAAAAATAGCAAAGTAACACCAGACATGTATTCAAACAATATAACATCAAGAAAACGCATTGTCGGCTTAGCCTCCCCTAGGGGATCTCGACCTCGAACTCGTCCACAATCTGGACCTTGACGACCCTTTCCCCAGGTGCGGGCTTGGTGATGCCAGCAACCAGATTCATGGCATCGATAGCATCCTCAAGCTTGAAGCGGTGGGTCACCAGGCCGTCGACCTTCGTGGGATCAATCAGGCCACCCTCGAGGGCGCGGAGGGCGGCGGGCCAGGTGTCGTGGTAGCGATTAATAAAGCGCAGCTGGATCTCGGCGAGGGACATGTGCATGAAGGGGATGTTGTTGATGGACGGGCGCGAGGACACGCCGACGACGTTGATGGAGCCACCGCGGCGCACGGTGAAGGCGGCCGTGGCGATGGACGACTCGATGCCGGTGCACTCCAGCACGACGTTGGGCATGTCGTACTCGGTGCGCCCGGCGGAAGATTCCCACCCCTTCCTCTCAAACAGGTCGCGGACCTTGGCGGCTGACTGCTCGGGGGAGTCGGCGGGGTCGACCTTGTAGGTGCGGCAGTTGGGCTCAAATGCCTTGGCGAAGGCGAGGCGGTTCTCGTCAATGTCGGAGATGACGATTGGGTAGGCGCCAGAGGCGCGGGCGACAGCCATGGTGAGCAGGCCGATTGGGCCGGCACCGAAGACGGCGACGGGTGTGCCCATGGTGATCGGGGTGATGCGCAGGGCGTGCATGGCGACAGACAGAGGCTCGAGGAGGGCAGCAGAGTCAAAGGTGACATTGTCGGGTAGACGGTGGGCAAACTTGGCGGGATGGACCTTGTATCGCTGGATGGTACCGTGGTAAGGGTAGACGCCAGCAAAGGCGACGTCCTGGCACAGGTTGGGACGTCCGCCGGTGCAGAGGAAGCAGTGGCCGCAGGGAACGCCGGGCTCGATGGCTACACGGTCGCCGACTTCGAGATGGGTGACGTCGGCGCCCTTCTTCAAGATAACGCCAGCAGGCTCGTGGCCGAGGATGCAATCGCCGTCAATGGTGAGGTCACCAATGCGACCGTGCTTCCAGAAATGGACGTCGGAACCGCAGATTCCAGTGACCTTGATGTGGAGGAGGACCTCTCCTGGGCCAGGCTCATGAATGGGGGCTTCTTCCATCCGGATTTGGTGATCAGCAGTCACCACGAGGGACGGGTTTGCCTTGAAATGGCCATGGGTGCCGTTTGTGCCGTTTGTACCGTTTGTCACCGCCATCGTGATCTTCTCTTTCCCAGTCTACCTGGAGTCTGTTGCGGAGCTGGCTGGGAGTGTCGAGTTATGGTGTTTCGGCGGGGGGTAGAGAGGGAGAGGTATAGAAGATGGACACGAGAGGAAAGCGAGGGTTCTCAGAGAATGGGGACGAGGGGAATATAACAGTCCGACAGGAAAGACAGGCCGTGGGGTCAAGAAACGGCCGAGATGGTCAGAAGGCAAGTCCAATTGAATTTAGCGGACATGATTGGGATAGGAAAGACAATTATTGGACGGGATAGATGGGCATTGGGGAATGAGGGTCGCGAGACAGCCGGAGAGCAGAGAATCTGCATGTTGAGCCCCGCCAATTGCTCTGCCATCTGCCTGAACAGGCATTGCAAAGCGCTTTTCTCGTCGGTCGCTGCTAAAACCCCGCGATGCTTTTGCTGAATCTGTGGGGCGACGCGCATCCACAAGATCAGCTAGCATCTGGCCACACGGCAAAGCAACGGTAAAACGCGTAGTGCGCGCTTGCAGCTTCCTGATGGGATAAATGGGTGCTTCTGGACTGGCGGTTCCATTTTCCTTCTTCAGGATCGTGACTGGCACAAATTGCCTACCCTATAGCGGATCGCTTTTCTCGTAGCGACACACCTCGTGACCAACAAGAGACTTCTCTTCAGGCCTATACTTGGTTCTGAGCCCTATCCTCAATTAAACGGCTCTCTTTATTCCTGAAAGAAAAACTGAGAAGCTAGCACGTGAAGTTACCAACCAAATTGTACGTAATTCTGTCATGTGGAAAAGAACCATCTCACGTTCGAGGAAAATTCCAACTGCTGTACCGTTAGGACAATAAATTTGATAGATAAGAGAGGACAATGTTTTGACTTGCATATGATCTCGCTCCATATCGCAGGGCTTTGTCCAGGTTATTTGCAAAGACGATGTTGAAGACGAAGCCCGCCATAGTGTCACTGCAGTAAAGTACCTTAACATATAAGGGGGTAAGAAACAACTAAGACATCTTTCTTTCTTTAACAATGATGCTAGAACTCGAGAGAGTTGGTGTTGATATTACGACGGTATAAGTAAGTTGAAAGAATATCTGTGTGAAAATACAGGGTGTTGGACCTTAAAAGGTGAACAGGTTAAGGCTGGTAGCGAACATAGTGACATGGAGCAGCTGATAGGACTTGAACCCACTTAACAGTATGCTATCTGAAACTGTAAGCACCATAGGCCAGAAAAAATAATAGAAAAATGTACCTGAATTCAATATCGTAGTAGTCTTGATGACCAGGAAGTGGATGGTGGAGAATATGGGACAACTTCATCAAACAAGATTTTATATATGGAAGTCCTCTTGTTATTCACAGGAACATATTCCCATTAATCTACTACGACGACAAGCATTATGCGGACCCCATCCTCCACGACTAATTCCGTTTTGCTAGCCAGAAATGCACCGAGCGGCTCGACTCTTGAGAGGTAGGTAGAGCGACTGTCACGCTGGATAATACCATCATGAGCTTAGAGTCGTACGCACTAATGAGTGCTTGGGTGGTTTCTTTGCATACCCGGAGACCACTTTTTTTACATATGACCGATGATGTTCAGGTTGTTTGAGGAGAGCTAATGCCTAGAATAATGTTAACATTCTGTTCCAGCATAATACGAACAATATCTTTTCAGAACACCAACCGAAGATTATCAAGCCATCGGATATGACCCTACCACAAGCCCAATTCTGACATTCGCATCTTAAATCTGGATATTAACGGAAAGATGCAGGCTAAGAAAGGTTGACTAGGCTCCAAGAGACTTCTGGTATGGTGTTAACGCCTCCATACATACTGGTCTCATCCGTGCGTTACGTTGGGCTGCTCCTTATCTTGCATAGTCTGTCAACTGTCCAACTTCCGCATCTTACCAGCCCTTACCCGCATCCTCCCGCATCGTGTACGAATCCCAGTCGCCGAAACCGGCCTATCCAGGAATCCTGGCTAATATATATCCCTGCTCATAATGTTCATTAGGGGCAGCACTTTTCTATTTTCTCAAGGTAATAAAGGCCTCGCGATCTATGAACACAGATGGCCTGATTTTCAATTGATATTTAAGTCTCTGGCGTTTTAGGAACATTCTAAAACCGCTGAGCGTTGGAGTGATCCGACGTAAATGCCAGGGTTTCCCCGCTCTGAGAGGATCTGATCATTCGATCCCTCATCCGCCTCCTTATCTTTCCATATCCGACTTTGATAGTCCAATAGCTACCAGCTCGTATTAATGTCCAATCTAGATCCGCTTAGCTTGCCTTTGCCTGGCTGCTAGGAATAGATAGGTTATCTCATGCAGCCCGATGTCTGCTACCCACCGTCCGCCTTATCGGTCCTTACCCGCACCCCTGTGCGTTCAACTCATTATGGGATTTCTAGACAGCCAATATTAAATCCGGAGCGAGATGTGGCTAGTCGGCTACTAACCAATAACAAGGGTTAGTATTAGCTATTGTCTCATTTGACTTTTTAAGGTTACCTTTATGCTTGGCGTGCTCTTATAAAAGCACTGCGCCCAGGAGATTGTAGCCCGCAGCCCCAACCAGTTTATCCACTTCCCCGACTGCTTGAAGCCATCATGTCAGAATCTCACCATCTGCCAGATAAACATGAAACCGACCTTGTGGATGGCGTCTCGCCATCGCATGGAAGCAATGTCGATGCCGAGGTTGCCATTGAGTATGTTATTGACCCTGTTATGGAGGCCAAGCTGGTTCGCAAGCAGGACCTGCGAGTCCTGCCCATGGTCTTCCTCATGTACTTCTTCACCTTCCTAGACCGGACCAACTTGGGCAACGCCCGCGTCGCTGGCCTTGATAAGGATCTTGGTTTGGGGACGTATGGCTTCAACATCGGTGCCTGCATATACTATGCTATTTATTTCTTTGCGGATATTCCTGCATCGCTGAGCGTCAAGAAGTGGGGTTTCATCGTCTTACCCGCCAGTTGTATCGCGTTCGGCATCGTGACTCTTGCCACGGCCTTTATCCACAACCAGGCCAGCTTCTACGTCATCCGCCTGCTTCTCGGCCTTACAGAGTCTTTTCAATTCCCTGGCCTGAGCTATGTGGTGTCCCGCTACTATCGTCGTAGCGAGGTTACCACACGCGTATCGTTCTTTATGCTTGCTGCTGCAGGTCTGGCTGGCGGTTTCGGTGGGCTCCTGGCCTCCGCGCTGCTCTCTATCCCCAGTATCGGCACTGTCAGCTCTTGGAGGAATATTTTCCTTGTGGAAGGGTATGTCAATACCTTTGTTGCTACTCCGGCAAAGTAGCTCTGGCTCGTATACGGCCTGGTGGTAGCGTATGCTGATCCGTCAATAGTATAATTACGATTGTTGTAGGTATCATCTCATTATATCTCTTCCCAGACGACCCGTCAAAGACTCGTATTTTCAATGAGTCAGAGCGTGCCCTAGCTATGGCTCGTATCTTCTATGATCAACCCGCCATCGTTGACCATAAGGAACGAATCACCTGGAGCCTCGTCAAGCGCGGTGTTTTCAACGTCAATGTCATGGTTGGCGCCTGGATCTACATATGCGACCAGATCACTGTGCAGGGCCTGTCGATTTTCACACCTACTATTCTACGCCTCAACTATCCAGGCCGATCAACGGTTGAGATCCAATTGTTATCCGTACCCCCACCCATCGTCGGCATGATATTTGGTCTTGGTGTCGCCTATGTTACCATGAAGACACGCATGCACGGAGTTGCCATCGCGCTCTGCGCAAGCCTGTGCGTAATCGGCTACTCTATCTGGCTGGCCTCGACCAATGTGCAGGCTCGCTACGCTGCCATATTCCTCAACACGGCTGGCGGATATAGCTTCGGGACACTGATTCTCAGCTGGACGCTGGCCAACGCCGCGCCTGACACCGTGCGGAATGTAGCTAACGGTGCTGTTTCGGGTCTGGCCAACATCGGTAAGCTGAATCTCACATGAGAATTGCGTAGTTTTTCCTTTCAGGTGCTAATGATATGTGTCTTCATAGGGTCTATTACTGCTACTTGGAGCTACATCAGCACTGACGCCTCTTCTGGCTACCGTATCGGAAACAGCCTGAACACGGCCACCGCGGGCTCGGTTATTGTGGCATCAATTGGTCTCTTGTTATACCAGCGTTGGGAAAATAGGAAGCGAGACAACGGCGGTCGCGATTACCGATTGCAGGCGCCCCCGGAGCAGGTTGCCACCCTCGGAGACAGGCACCCGCAGTTCAGATATATCCATTAGCTGGCTGAGGAAATTCTTTGAACCCGTGCTCGAGTACCAAGTCGGCAGCGTTGTTTCCATATCTCATTATCGTGTAGATAAGACAATTATCATACGCCAACTCTTCAGTCATAAATATGATGATATGCAATGTTTGGAAGAGCCTTGGCGGCAGCATGCTACAGCCTCTTCAATAATTGTTTACTCTTGCGGAACCGAACTGCAGCGACGAGACCAGCGGCCGCCAAAGCAAGAGATCCAGCGTAGTACATGGCTGGACGGTATGCGCCAAGATCGCTGTCAGCACCACCATATGCCTCGAGCATATATCCAGCAATTGGTGCGCCCTGTAGACAAGTTAGTGGAAACTAGCTCATTTGTGCTTTGGCTGTGGTTTTCATCTTACCATCAGATAACCGCCTACCCACCCGGTGACGATCATGCCCATTGCCGTAGTCACCCTTGCCGACCCAAACACGTTGCCTACGACGGTTGGCATGGTTGAGAAGAACCCCCCGTTTGATATCCCGTTCAAGATCACAAAGGCAATCATGGGAGCGAGGGTCGTCGAGGCCGGCCATAAAGCGAGAATGCTAAGGCCAGTGGTGATGAGCGATAGCAGGAGAGTGTTCAAGGCTCCCAGCCTGTCACAGAGGGCTCCGCAGCCGATTCTGCCGAGCGCCGAGGAAAAGTTGAAGGCTGCCACGAGACCCGCGCCGGCGCTGGAGGGGAGACCGATGGATTTGGCATACAGTGGGATGAAGAAAGGAGGCACGAAGAGTGGGAAAGTCCCTATGGCGCCGGCCAGGAAGATAACGTCAAAAGTAAATGACTTGAAGAGTCGCCTGTATACGTTGTGGTCAGTATGGTCTGAGGCGAGGTAAGGCTCTGATGATTTCTCACCATTCCACAAATCCAGTCCGTCGATAGGGAACTCTCTCTTTAATGAGGTATGCTGCAGGCACACCTGTCGCAAAGGTCATGAGAGCAAGACAGCGGAAGGTCCAGGCTGGGCCCAGGCGGTTAAGCAACTCGTCAAGTGCAAAACTGGTGGTGGCGCCCCCCAAACCGCCGCCGGCGAAGACAATGCCGTTTGCAAGGCCTAGTCTGCGGCTGAAGTACTGGGCTGGTATTGTTGATGAAGCCTAAAACGTCCATCGTCAGCTTTACCCGCAAATTGTGGCATGCGTCTAGAAAGGAGTCTCACCGAAAAGCCCAAGCTACAAGTTCCACATGTTAGTACAACGTTTCATATTGCGCAATGGAGATTAAGCTGTCTGAACTTACCTAACACCTAACCCCATCATGAATCCACTCGTGAAAAACAGCGCGGTGATGTTCTGGAAAGTGAAGCTACTCAGGAACTCGCTGAGGCTGATCAGGACCATGCTCATCATCGCCGTTTTCCTGGCCCCGAACTTCTGCAGGACGACCGAGTTCACGAGTGCCATGGCCGATATGAGCGCCGCGGCGAGCGAGCCCACAAACGCCAGGACGGCCGGTGTAGAAACGTCCCTCTCTACCAGGGCGCTCTGCATGACGCCCCATGAGTAAGGCGTGCCAATCCACCACCAGCAGGTGACAGCGCAGGCGCCCACGACGACCCAGCCGTACCCGCCATCAGGGACAGTGGAATCGTTGAGTCGGGAAGTCTGTAAGACTGGGTCCAGATCCGAAGAGAAGAGGTTCAGGTCCTCCGTGACGGACTGCTGAGAGCGTGCAGCCTGAGTGGGCTGCAGCTCAATTGCGGTAGAAGTCGAGGTCGCCATGATTAAACGTAAATTGGCTGCAAGTATTCACCAGACGTAGGGTTACGAGCTCTGCCGATCGGGAGTTTCAATGCAAAGAGGAAAGTTTTCTCCTCGTTGTGGGAAAACTTGAATATTCGATGGTAGAGGGCGTAAATGACATGGTTACGGTGGAGTCATAACCACGGGAGCTAGAGAGTTCTGGGTCTGAAGGAGACAGAGGCTAAATATCAGCTCCGGCGGTAGTGCCGAGACCGGAGCACCCAGACCTCGACTCACACGGTTGGGATGCAACTGGCACTGCTATAAAAATATAAGGTTGGTAGAATATAAATATAGGAATTGTGCTTCACTAGAGGAGAAACCACAACAATTGGTAAAGTGAATTTCATGTCAGGGGTATTGGTTTCTCCCATTTCACCTCGCGAACAAGAAATTCCTACAGAGGACATGCGCAGTTCGATAACATGTTGTCAAAGGCCGTTTGTAGAAATTGTCCGTATTTCTATTACTACTCACGGAATTGGATAGAGTTGCTCCGCTGAATTTCACTGGTATGCGTGAAGAGAAATAACGGAATCTACTACTTTATGTGCATTCCCAGTCTCTTTCAATGTTGCCTGGGTAGCTATACACCCGGTTCCGAGGAAAAGGACCCTTGATGATAGTTCACCATGCACAACTGTCATAAATCTTAGGCTCACCCATAGCCTACCTGATTTGGACTCCTCCTTGAGTATTAATAACGAACTTGACGTCGCATTTGCTTGGTATAACACATTTCGGCATCAAAATATTCTTCGTTACTCGGTCCATCTCGTGTGTCTCCATGCAATTTTATGCTCTTCCCATCCTTTCTCCCTACATCGCTGCAAGCCTCAGCCGTATGGTGCTCCTCGTTACTCCTCACGCACAAGTTCTCATATTGCGGCTATAGAATAAATCAGCTGATAAGCGAGCACTCCCCCTTACGGAACGGCTTATTGCAAACGTCATCCTGCTTGAAAGAGAGCTGCAGAATTAGCTTCTGAGGCTGACTGTGGGAACTTTTATTGGCTGTTGGCGATTACACGCCTCAATGAGTGGGATTGAGCAAGTTTTGTGTCTGACAATCTCACGAGTGTGGATCTGCCTCAATACACACCACCAGTTCAACATGAGTTGCCCCACCCAACATCCCTCTGCACGGCCGAAAAGGTGATATTTGGAGCAAGTTAATAATGGTTGGAAATCGGGATACCAAGCCCGGTGATCCTATTGTGCACTGTTTGTTGCATGCAGTCCTTTTTGGCCGAACTTAGTGAGTACATTATAGGTGGGGGTCAGCAGCTCACGAAGGTACAAAACCTTCGGGAGCTCCCGCTGGATGTACACTTTAAGCTTTTCCCATCGCTTCGTCGAACCACTGTACCTTCTCTTGTCTACCCTTTACTCTTCATACCAACCTCATTGCGATGGGTGAAGCTCAAACTCCAGTCGTGACAGCCGACGCTGACGAGCACCTTAACAAGGACAACGACAATTTTACACACGGAGACGGCTCCAAAACGCAAGATGGCAACGAGCCAATCGACAAAGAGGCCCAGGCCGGTGTCCAGAAGGTCGAGGCCCTCGCCTCTGTTTGGTCTAGGAAGACCCTCCTCCTGACCTACGGACTGATATGGTTCGTCTACTTCATCATGCTGTTGCAACAGGTGTCCTCGTCTGCGCTCATCCCCTACGTGACCTCGACATTCGCTCTTCACTCTCTCACGGCTACCGTGGGCACACTCGCAGCAGTCATCGGAGGCGTCTGTAACCTTACTGTCGCCAAGATTCTCGATGTGTTCGGACGACCCCAGGGTTACCTCATCGCCCTCATCATTGCGACCCTCGGTCTCATCATGATGGCGGCAACTCAAAGTGTGGAGCTATATGCTGCTGCACAGGTCTTTTGGACTGTGGGAAACGCGGCTCTGGGATACAGTATCAACATCTTCGTTGCCGATACCTCGTCTCTTCGTAGTCGTGGCCTGATGACGGCACTGACGACCTCTCCCAATATTATCACCATCTGGCTTGGCGGCCCAATTTCGGAAGCTTTCTACCTTCGCGGACCTGGCTGGGCGTGGTGTTTCGGGGCTTTCTCCATCATTTTGCCCGTTCTGTGTCTTCCTTTGTTTGTTGTCATGCTCGTGCAGACCAATAAGGCGAAGAAGCAAGGTATCATCGGCATTGAGAAATCTGGAAGAAACCCCCTGCAGTCGGTTCTCTATTACCTTCGCGAATTCGACGCTGTTGGCCTCCTCTTGCTGACAGCTGGCATCTCTTTATTCCTCCTGCCGTTTAACATCTGGTCTCTGCAGCCGGATGGCTTCAGAACCCCCATGATCATCTGCTTCATCGTCTTCGGCTTGGTCCTCATGATCCTGTTTGCGATTTGGGAGAAGTTCCTTGCTCCAGTTACTTTCATTCCTTACTCGCTGCTTCTTGACCGCAACATGATCGGTTCCTGCATCCTGTGCCTCGTTCTCGGCATCAGCTATTCGACGTGGAACAGCTTCTTCAGCTCATTCCTTCAGGTGGTTAACAATCTGACCATCACCGAGGCTAGCTATGTCACCCAGATCTACGGCTGCGGCAGCAGTATTGCCTGCATTGCCACTGGATACTACATTCACTACACAGGTCGCTACAAATATGTGACGCTTGCCGTCGCCATCCCCATCTACACTCTGTTCATGGGTCTCATGATTTACTTCCTGAGTGCGGATCAGGGCATTGGCTACATCATCATGTGCCAAATCTTCCTCGCCTTCTCCTCCGGCGTCCTGATTATTTCCCCTCAGATCGCCGCTGTGTCCTCGGCATCCCACCAGCATGTCGCTGTCGTCATGGCCATCATCTCCATGTTCACGTCCATCGGTTCCGCCATCGGCCTCACAGTAGCTACTCTTATCTGGAACCAAACCTTCCCCGTCAAGCTCCTCGAGTACCTTCCCCTCGAGGATCAAGAAAACTACCTCGACATTTACAGCTCCCTCGTCGTTCAGACAGGTTACCCCGTAGGCTCCCCTACTCGCATTGCCATCCAGCACGCTTATAGCGATGCGCAAAAGATGATGTGCATTGCTGGAACAGTTCTCTGGGTCGCTGGTGCTGCTTCCGTTGCTATCTGGCGCAACACGGATGTGAGGACCATTAAACAAGTCAAGGGCCAGGTCATTTAAGCTGCGAAGCACTTTCTTCCCAGGATACCCAACTGCTAATTAGAATACCCCGAAGGATAATCGAGTCGTGTGTGCTAGTAATCTTAGTACAAATAGACTCTTCTGTTTCTATCAATAGAATAATATTCTTTATCTTTCAATACAAAGAATGTATTGAGAATTGAAAGATATGTCTCGGAAAGAATTTTAGCCTGAGCTTGTGAAATAAAATTATTGATTGAGAAGATGAAATTTATGCACAGTTTATCTCATCTAAAACTCAAGTGCCGTACACATAACAAAACAACATGACAATTAGTTGCAACAATATTTTTGGTTGAATATTGGAACAGTAAATTAATTGTAACAAGACATACTATCAGCAATCTGTTTAGTATGTGAAGAATCGAAAACTGAAAAAACCAAGCTATCTCTTCAAGCTGCTTTCTTAGTTACATGGGTCGACTTCGTCACCAGATCACCGAGTGCCGACACTGACTTTCCTCCAATGATTTCAAAGACCGGCACATCTGCGCCGAACTCCTTTGATATCCAATTCCGCAGTTCAATGGCTACCAATGAGTCCACTCCATAGCTGTAGATGGGCTGGTCGGTCTCAATGTCCTCGACCTTCATCGACAGGGCCCTTGCTAGCTTCGTCGCCAGAGCTTCTGTGACAATGCCGGCGCGCTCCTCAGCTGATGTGGCCTGCCTGAACAAAGCTGCAAAGTTCACGGTGTCTGCAACGTTGCCAGAAGACGCGAGACCGCGTGGGCGGCTGAAGTAGGAGAACAGCGGTCGCTGGAGCATTTCAGCAACCTCTACTCCTGCTGCAAGCATGTCTGCTGGTGTTATGAGTCCAACGGTCATTTGGCTCTTCTCTTCGATATGAGATTCCACGGGGTTGCAGCAGATATCCATCAGTGTCAAGAACTCATCCTCTTCGATTTGGGCGAGTCCGATTGACCTCTCAAAGTTCCTTTGCAGTGTCTCCGTCTCAGCGACGATACCGATAGTGCGCATCAGACCCAAGTCGATGGCTGTTGCACGCTGGCCCTTGGATACACGGTAACGAGCCAGGGCATCTTGGAATGTTGATCCGGCTGCGTAGTTAGACTGGCTGATGTTTCCGACGATACCAGCTCCCGAGGAAAGGAGGATGAAGAAGTCTAGACCATCACCCAGAAGGTTGTGGAGGTTTACCGAGGAGCCAACCTTTGAGCGGACGGCTGTATCCCACTGTGCGTGAGTCATGTTTTCATATACTGAGTCCTGTAGCACCATGACTGCGTTGATGCATCCTCGAATTGGCGGCATTGTAGTCTTGACCTCTTCAAGCAACTGAGAGAGTGATTCCTTCGAGGTAACATCGCACTTGGGCGTCAAGATATTTACGCCTTGTTCAGTCAAAGCCTTGACTGTCTCGGCCGCTGCTTCGGATGACGCTCCAGAGCGCGTAGGGACCACGAGATTCTTAGCTCCCTTGCTGGCCATCCATGTGAGAATGGAGCGTCCGATACCTCCGAGACCTCCTGCGATCAGATACGTGGCATTCTCTGGGAATGTCCACAGTCTACGGTTGATGAGGTGTTTCTATTAAGAGATTAGCCAATCTGTTCAACTACTTGATCATTCTCGCGGTACTTACCTCAACCTTAGCAGCGGGATCGATCTTGACCACGATTCGGCCAGTGTTCTTTCCGCTCTGGAGCAATCGGAAGGCTTCGTGAATCTCCTCGAGCCCGTACGTTACAGTCGGCTTGCAGGGATAGACCTTGCCTTCCTCAGCCAAGACCATCAGCCCAGGCAGCAATTTCGCCGAGATGTCCTTTCGGCACTGTGCCACATGGCGCAGATCGACAGCGGAGAAGGTCACATTCTTGGCGAAGTAGGCCATGGGTAGTGATGAATTGTTGTGGATATCCGACTTGCCGATCTCGATGAATCGTCCGTGAGGAGCGATACACTCCCAGGATGCGATCAACCCGTCTCCGGCAAGTGAGTTAAGCACAACGTCTACACCGTAGCCGTTGGTCACTCGCTTTACACCCTTGGCAAAGCTCGTATCACGGCTGTAGAAGATGTGGTCCTCTGGGATGTGATATTCATCCATGAGGAGACGCTTCTTGTGATCGTAGCCGACTGTGGTAAACACCTCGGCTCCGACCATCTGGGCGATCTGGATCGCGAGCTGTCCAGTGGCACCCGATCCTGCGTGGATGAGAATCTTCTCACCCTTCTGCAGGCGAGCAACCTCAACGAGAGCGTAGTACGAGGTAGAACCTCCATTCAGGATACTGCATGCTCCCTCGAAGGACAAGGAATCCGGCATCATGGTAATGCACCCCTCCTCGTCTCGGGCATACATCTTCATACATCCGGTGCTGCCCATAATAACACGATCGCCGGGCTTGAAGGCTGTGACTTCAGAGCCGACTCTGCTGACGATACCGGCACAGTCTGATCCCATACCTTCCGCGTCCTCAAGACGACCGAGAGCGAGGAAAATGTCACGGAAGTTGACACTCCAAGCCTTGGCTTCAACTTCGACCTCCTTCGGCTTGAGAGGCTCATAATATGCGGGGTCCTCAACAAAGCTCAATGTGTCAATCGATCCACGTTTCAATACGTCGACCTTCAGTGGGGGTCCAGGGAGCCAGCTCTCCTGCTTTATTTGAGGAACAACTGAGGATCCCATGTTCTGGTTCAGGGCTGTTTCCTGGATGACCCTTCCAGTCAGGATCAAGTCATCCTTGACGAGATATTCATCTTCTGGAGATAGAAGGTCAAATGCGGATGAAAAGACAGACACAATCTTGTCTGCGGCAGATGACTCGGGCAAAGGCGTGTCAGGCAAAGTGAGTGACACAATGCGCTTTCCTTGATACTCTGAGCGAAGAGTTCGAAGGAAACCGTCCTTGAGTCCGGCATAAGCAGACACGGAAGGATCGCTGCCATCAACTGTAGATACCCACAGGATGTTCTTTGAAGCATTGATGAACGCCCTAAGCTTGCCGAAAGCTGCCTCAGACAGATTGGCCAAGTAGGAAGAGCCCTCTTCTCCCAAAAACACGACGTGCTCATACTTTGTCGAAGAAAGGGTTTCTTCGTCCAACTGTCCCAGAGAAACCGTCTTGGGCTTGTATCCCCGGCCATTGGCAGCCCAGGCCTCAATGATCAATGAAGCCAGGGTCACCTTGTAGTTGTCTTTCTCATCTACCACAAGCAGGATCTCGGTCTCTTGAAGCTCGCTGCCCGCTGGCTGCCCAAGAGTAGTCATGATCATACTACCCCAGTAGGCGTCGTCACTCTGGAAGTCCTTGATAACCATGTCGTTTCCGGAGAATCCATTTTCCTTGAGCACTCTGTCCCATTCAGGAACTGTGATGATCGGACCCCATGGACGGTAGTCCTCCTCGCTTAGCCACCAACCAGACAAGGGACCAAAGCCAAATGAGATCTGGAAACACTCCTCGGCTGTAGTCTCATGCATAATAAGCTTACCGCCTGGCTTTAGGAGCTTTTGGAGGTTCTGGATAGTGTTGTTGAGGTTACGCGTAGCATGGATAACACTGCCGGCAAAGATGACATCGTAAGATCGTGCCTGCCATCCCTGAGTGAGGGGATCCTTCTCAAGATCGAAAGTCTTGAAAGTCATACGATCTTGGAACTTGGCAAAGCGCTTCAGAGCCTTGTCGAAGAATCCAGTAGAGATATCACTGTAAGCGTACTCAGAGAAGGCAGTTCCGCCAGTGCGCTCTTCGACGCGATCAAGGTAAGACAGGAGCACGCTCGTCATGCCACCAGTGCCAGCACCGACTTCGAGGATCTTCTGCTCCGGGACCTCGTGCGCCAGGAGCTGGACGTATGACTCCAGCTTGGGGTTGTCCATGCGCTCAAAGAGCGTGTCGTAGAGGTCCTGGGCTAGAGAAGTTGAGAACAGGAGTCCGACAATGTCCGTCTCGCCGCTGACAATTGACGCAAGCTTCTCAGCGATCTCGATGAACATTCTGGCTGCTGGTCGCATCTCGCGCACCACGTCCAGCTCCTTGGCCAGTTCTTCAGCTGTCAGGGTCTCAACAGTATTCCTTCCGAGCTCTCTTTCCATCCAAGCGACAAACTGCTTCATATGGGAAGGCGCCTTAGACCAGTCCGTCTCTTGCATCTCCTTCATGTGGAACTTCATGGCTGCCAAGCAGACATTCTTGAGCCTGATGCAATACTTGGCTGCTTCGGTCTCATCATCATCAAAGTGATCTACATTGCAGAACTTCTGAAGCTGGTCTGGCTTAAGAAGTGACAGCTGAGGCTTCCAGTCGATACCGTGCAGCAACTTGGGTACATCTGTGCTGGCTGCCTCATCTTCGCCCTTGACGGGGTGCATGTCTACATGCTCTACGTGGCAGAGTGGTTTTCCGTCATCTCCTACGACAATGAACGAAGCTTCAACTCCCATGGAGGTGCTCTTGACCTTGGACTTCGCCATTGTTCGGATGCGGTTCGTATCCGGATACTGCCAGCCAGTCGCAGAGAGCCAGGCGGATGAGATCTTGTGGGGGATGATGGTTGGTAGTTTCTTTACCATTCCCTGTGAGGGAGAGATAAAGCACATTTGGCAAGAGGCGTCAAGCACGGCCGGGTGGAAAATACCCTTGTAGGGTTCTGCGGGAGGGGCAACGTCAACGGTGGACATTGCAAGATCCTCACCATTCCAGCGGAGGTGGTCAGCCAACAGGAAGGCGTCACCGTACTTGAGACCCTGCTCTTTATGCCAGTTGTAGAAGGTTTCAGTCTCGATGGTGTCTTTGCACAGCTCATCCGCATTAGAAAATGTGCGAGCCAGTGCCTCAGCGGCAATGACGGCTTCTTGTCCTCCGTCCACTTCGTTCGGAGCAACATCTTTGTACTCAACGAAGATGGTGACACTCAAGCATTCATTCCAGTAATCATCGGCGCAGGTAAACAATTTAACCTCGTAACGAGGCGTAGCCTTGGTATGGGCCAGCTGAAGTCGGCGCAGC